TTAGCGTCGAGCTAACGCTAAAGCTAACATTCCGTCATTTATGGGGCTGAATCATTAGCCAGCTGAGAAATGCACAAAATAATGTGATGTGCAGTTTGTAGAGTTTACTGACATTTGGACTGACGGGGATACTAATATTGTCAAGTATTAACTTACTAATGAAGCTAGCGCTGTTGCTACAGGTAGTAGGCAGACAGTTCATCACTGTGACTGAGTCATAGCTGGGGAATTGGTCTGGAGACGTCAGCTGTTTAGCTCCTGGTCACTTTTTAGCTCCTGGTCACTTTTTATCAGCCATTGTAGATGTATTAAAATATAGGCTGCATTTAGCAAGCATCCAGTTATAACACAAATGTGAGTGGTTTTTCTTTTTTTATGTGTCAGAATGACACTAGATGGTCCTCTATTATTGAAGGTGTTATTCATGATGGGGTTGATAGAGATATTTACATTGCAGACCATAAAATTAATTCAATAGTTAATGTTCTACAATATGAAGTTCTAACTAATACAAGTTCTTACTGAATTTCACTTTAGGGATCAATTAAGTTCTTCTTATCTTAATATTGAGTTAATGGGTGGATAGTTAGCTGCCTTAAAGTTGGTGAACCGACTCCTGGGCTGTCTCTGTCTCACTGGCTGCTGCTGTACCTCACATTATACTGTACCTAATTTACCTTTGATCACAAGCTGTTAATTTGGATATTGGTGATGTGCTAACACCACAGCAAAGATATTTTATCTGAGGTATAAATACTTTAATACAGTATATATTATAGGACATTTTCAGCTACAGCTAACAGCCAAGTGATCTGTTGGAGCTGTTTAGTTTTCAATTAGCCCAAGTACTGTAATAATGTTAGTTTTCTTTACAGGCCAGTTGTTTTTAGTGTGCTATCTGTCAGAAAACACTAATGTATTGTTTCTTATCTCAAACAAACAGAAGATACATCCACTCCAGTGCACTTGTTGGTAAGTATAAGTGTTTTAAGCAAGACTGACAACAAACAAAATAAGAATAACTCGATTAATGATTGAGCTTAATCCTGTTAAACAACGTGATATTCTAGATAATGTACAACATATGATTCATTTTTCAAATACTGAGTTTAAATTGATATGAAATGTTTATTTTTCTGTAACACTGTTGTATATCCTACATGAAAATCATAGATGGGATACAGTTTTTTCCTAGTAGAAAATAATGTGCTTACAATATTACAACAGTACTAAATTATTTTTTGTAAACATTTTAATTTGCTGGGAAATGCTGAATCTTGATTTTGACAATAATAAAGTGGGAAAATCATTCAGGAAAAATTTCTTTAAATGAAGTGAGCTGTGAAGGAGGTTCTTTTGAGTGTGTTAAAAATCTTTTTTCCTCCTTCTCCCCCTCCTCCTGACTCATCTTGTCCTTTGACCTCCTGCCCTATCAACTCTGAAGTGTAAGTTCACACTTGTATACTTATTAAGCAATCAATTAAGTGTTGCATTTTTGCTATGCAGTTTATAATGACATTTCACTGTTTTGTATTTCACCTCAATAACATACATAACAAAGTAAAGAGAGCCTTCGTGCATTTTCTCTCCATCTTAAACATTTTTTACAGGCCAAGGGAGCTGCAGTAACATCCTTTTACTAATCAAGGGCTACCGATTGTAGACTTTGATAAGAAATGAGAAAACTAATGATCCACACTGAAAAGCGGTGTGATTACAGTAAACTATGAGTTACTGATTTTTTTTGCAACTAAATTTATTTATTTTTTGTCCCTCTGTCTTTTCCCTCCTTCTGAACTCCTCAAATCTACCTCTACTGCGGGCCCAGTTCAACGTTAGCGACTCAGCTGTAAGTTCACAAATAAAGTAACTCAAAAATATTTACAGTTACTTTTTACAACACATCATGTGAAAACCCAACATTATGTCCTTATTTGACAAACTGCAGCACATACTCATTGTAACACAAACCATTTTAAATAACACTTTATTTAAACTAATGCAGAACCAAATGGAAATAATTTTGCTGGCTGATTACAGTTGGAACTACAATGCAGTGAGATGTGCTGGTTTTGTACAACTAAACTAAGAATCTCTTGTCTCTGTTTTTCCATTTTCCTTCTTGCCAACTCTATCCTGTCTCCAAGTGCAGACCGCTTTGTGGTGACTCGACGTAAGTTCACACAGGAATGACATTTTCATGATTAACATAGTGTGCCTTTATTCAACACGTTATAGACCCCTCATCATGTACTAACTTAACAAGTTAGTACCCCCCCCCCCCCCCCTTACGTTTTCCCATCTGTCAAGATATTGTGTCATGAAAATCAGTATTTTGAATCAGTAATTAAAAGCACAAGAGCTTTCGGTTCAATTTTTTTTCACACACACACACACACACACACACACACACACACACACACACACACACACACACACACACATATGAAATTTAAAACTAATGTGTTTTGCCCATGTCTGATTTTGTCTCACAGGTTTGCTGCTCCCCAGGTGCCCGGCACCTCTCCACTTCTCTCTCTCTCCTAATCTGTCCATTTTGGAATTTCTATCTTTTCTCCTTTCTTTCCCCTCACAACTAATTTTTGGATATTTCTGTCCATTTTGGAATTTCTATCTTTTCTCCTTTCTTTCCCCTCACAACTAATTTTTGGATAGTTCTATCTTTTCTCCTCTCTTTCCCCTCACCACTAATTATTGGATATTTCTATCTTTTCTCCTCTCTTTCCCCTCACCACTAATTTTTGGATATTTCTATCTTTTCTCCTCTCTTTCCCCTCATAACTAATTTTTGGATATTTCTATCTTTTCTCCTCTCTTTCCCCTCACCACTAATTTTTGGATATTTCTATCTTTTCTCCTCTCTTTCCCCTCACCACTAATTTTTGGATATTTCTGTCTTTTCTCCTCTCTTTCCCCTCACCGCTAATTTTTGGAATCTCTATCTTTTCTCCTCTCTTTCCCCTCACCTCTGATATTTGGAAAACCCTCTAATTTTGGGTAGTTCTATCTGTCCTTTCTTCTATGATCCACTATTCTATCTACATTTTGGCAAAGACTTTGATCCAACCATTTTGTTTGAGGAACTGATTTTATGAAAACCATTCTGTTTGGAGAAACCAGGTGATTTGGTGCCTGATCTTGCTGTTTTATGGACCTGTGAGCTTCTCTGCTCACATTTTCTCTGCCTCTCCTGTCTCTCTCCCCACATCATTAATTACAGCTAAGTTTCATTAACCTCATAATTACAAGTATACAAATTACTCCTACAATTTTTATAGGGATTTCTATATTCTTACTGGCTACATTTGATAGAATATTGTTGTAAACTACAAGTTCATACAAAAGTTTTGGAAAATTAAATTCAGAGGTTATTGTCATACACTTACAAACATTTACAGAAAATATCTGTTATTATACTTTCACTGCATACGTTTTGAACTTTGAAATTAAGTGATCTGACGTTGAAGTAGTACATATTCAAATTCACTTATTTTGTCAGACCAGTAGTTCCATATTTGTCAAGGAAATAAAAGCTTAGTTTTAAGAGTTTGCTGCTGAGAAGTCCTGTGAAAGGTTTGTTTTAATACATATTTATATTTGTCAGCTATTTACATTTAATAGCAAGTTTTTAATTCACATCATTTATAATTTGTTCCATTTGTGAAGCAGCAGTTTGGTAACAAAGGTGATTGTTGTTGAACCTGTTGATATCAAATAAAAGACATTTTGCAGGAGGATTTCTTTGCAGTTTCCTGTCTGTGGATCCAGAGTTTCACGTTTAGAGAGTTTAAAGAAGAGTCGACAGCACCACCACATCTGCATCCCTGAGTTTAGGGGGCAAAACACCTTTCATATTAAATATTTGATCTAGATTCATTTAAAGCACAAAGTTCCTAAGATTTATAAACTGTTATTGATTTGTGTGTTTTGTTTTTTTTTCTATTTCTGAGAACATTTAAATAGTCTTGCCCAGGACTTTATCAAACACTTGATAAGCTACTGTTGTTATAAATTACATTTTTTTTTCAGACTATAATACAGCTCTTTAAAACTTGACCTCAGAGTAATTTGAATTATTTTTGTCTGCCCTAGTGCTTATTGGTAACTAAAATTTTCTATAAAAGAAAGGACAGCCACAATGCTGAGGAAGAGTACGAAGTCACAAGCTGCAAGCCAGCGCTGGCAGAGGTTACATGACATTGACTGTGTGAGTATTGGACAAGCAGACGGTATTTCTCAGAGCAGTGAAGAAGCAAAGATGTCCGAAGTGTCTGATGCTGTGAAACAGGGAGGTCAAATTGCATCATGTCAACCAGGGGTACCCCATGCAGACGTGCTTAAGAGGAGACGTGTAAGTGAGCCACCTGCCCGTCTAACTCTGAACAGATAAACCACAGAGGTGAAAGTAATGATCCAGGTGCACAACAGGTAACATATGCAGACATATTGAAGAGAAAACGTCCTTGTGTGTCATGTACTGCCGCTACGTACAACTCTCGTCAGGTAAACTATGTAGCCCAAACAGACTCTGTAAAGGGAAATCGCAGTAAGTATCAGTCTGTACCAGCCTCTTCTCGAGCAAGAAATATTAACGCTGTTAATCCGTCAGGTGAACAAAACGTCTGTGCGTCACGCAGCCAAGCATCTCTGAAATACGGCCGATCCAGAAACCAGCAGTGCACCTGTAACTCACTGACATTTCTAGCATTCCTGTATGAGAGCGAACACATCACCAGAGCAGACCTGGACCGTGTTTTGGATAAAGGTGATGTGATGTACAGAGAAGTCAGAAAAACTGTTGATCACATCCATCTGACAACCGATGAGCTCCCTAAACAGGTTCCTGCACGCAGACACACGCAGAGAGTTGACAAGTCACAGCTGTCTAGATACGGTACATTTGGAGATCCGGATCCCGGAGCTGTTGATACCTTTCTGGGCCTCGAGATGGGACTGAGCTGCTTATTAACAGATGTGCAGTATGCTTTGCTGCTAATGACTTCACTGTGCATTGCAGTTTTCAGAACCAGAGATGGCAGGTACGGTTTCTTTGACCCACATGCTCGGACAGCTAACGGTTTGCCTCTGCTTCGGGCCACGCCTACTCCTGGTACCGCTGTCACGGTTACATTCACACGCCTCAGTGACATGATTGACAGGCTCATCAGATATCACCGCATATTGGGCACAGCAGCGTCCTGTACCTATGAGCTCAAGCCAGTTGTGTTCAATGATGAGAACCCAAGTGATGCTATCCCAGCCACAGAAAGTCCGTCCACAAGTCCCTCTGTAACAACCACTGTGATAAATGATGACACAAGTGCTCCACAGATGAACACTGATGTCCATGAAAACACTGAACATGACATGGAAACTGAACCAGAGCCACTAATCAACTTCACTACTGTAAGTGATGACACATCACAGAAAGTCTCAACTCTGATGGAAACACAAGCTCGTCAACAAGGTCAAATCAGCAACAATTCTGTCACATCAGAGGTAACTGTCACAACAGAGGAGACACAATCAAATTTGACTGAACCGTTGATAAATATCCCTGTCACCAGTGACAATGTCCTCCATGGAATCTCGAATAAACTGTCAAGATTAAGCAAACAACAAAAACAGAAGTTTAAGAGGAGAGAAATAAGATCTGAAAAGACATCACAAAAGAAAGAGAATCAAAAAAGGAAAGAGAGAGAAAAGTATGCTAAGGATGAAACATATAAAGCAAAGAAAAAGTCTTACTCAAGTAACAAATACTCTGTAAATCCTGAGATACAGACAAAAAAAGACAAAAGATCACAACTAAATATAGAGAGAGCACAGACTTCAGACTGAAACAAAAAGAATATATCACCAAAAAATACAAAGAAAATGTTGAATTTCAATGTAGACAAAAAGAATATTTAAGGAAAAAATACAGAGAAAATGTTGATTTCAAAGGCAGACAAAAAGACTATATCACTAAAAAATACAGAGAAAATGTTGATTTCAAAGGCAGACAAAAAGACTATATCACTAAAAAATACAGAGAAAATGTTGATTTCAAAGGCAGACAAAAAGACTATATCACTAAAAATTACAGAGAAAATGTTGATTTCAAAGGCAGACAAAAAGACTACATCAGGAGAAAATATCTAGAGGATGCTACATTCAGGCAAAGACAGCAATTATATGTCAATTATCGATATGCAAACGATGAAATATATCGTCACCGACACAAACAGCTAATGAGACAAAGGATGCTAGACAGGTACAAGACAAATCTTGCATACAGGACTATGCATAAAATGAGGTGTGCATTGAAAATATCAAAGAAATACAAACGGATAAGTAAACAAACATGTGAGACTGACAGAGAGAGTGAAAACCCACTTATTGAAAGTGCCATAAATGATTTCAGATCACACATTAAAGCTGGTCCCACCCATGTTTGCACAGTTTGTCACAAAGCCTCATTTCCAAACCAGGTGCAAAAGTGCAAGAGGTCCAACTATGTGAAAAATCCAATAATGGTTTCAGCTTGTCTCAAAGGTCAGTACGTCCATGATTGTAACGATGACTACAGAAATCAGTGCACTGTCCCTGATGAGAGAAAGACTGAGTGGATTTGTCACACCTGCCATGACCATCTGAAAAATGGATCCATGCCCAAACTTGCCATAGCAAACAACTTGGAGCTTGCTGACATACCACCTGAGCTGTGTGACCTCAACATACTGGAGAGACATCTAATAGCAAAGTGCATAACATTTGCCAAAATCATTCCTCTTCCCAAAGGCAGACAGAGAGCTATACATGGTAATGTTGTATGTGTTCCCTCTGAAGTCCAGGAGACAATTCAGGCTCTACCCAGATTGAGAAATGAGTCTCAGGTGATGAGAGTAAAACTGAAGAGACGTTTGAGTTACAGAGGTCACCATCTGTTTCAGACTGTTACCTGGTCCAAGCTAGTGCAGGCCCTGCATAAGCTGAAAGAGATACACCCCCAGTATGAAGACATCACTATTAGAGATGAGGAGGAGTTATGTGACCCCACACTTCCTGATGATGGTGATGAGGATGATGATGATGATGATGATGGTAATGATATTACAATGAATGATGACGATTATGATGATGAGGATTTGATGGAGATTGATAGAATTGAGGCTGCTGCCATGTATGAGGCTGAAACTAATGTTGAAACTGAGGATGAGAACACAGAGCTGTGTGATAAAAGTCAGACCCAGGACAATGATGATCAGACACAACAACAGGATGCAGACATATCTAATGGTGGTGTTGTTTTGGAGTCGTGCCTTCAGCCACGGGATGTTTCTGAGGAGATATTGTGTTTCAGTGACTCGACATACTCAGTAGCTCCAGCAGAGAGAAACAGTCCAGTCAGTTTTTTCAAAACTCCCAAACTAGAGGCCATGGCGTTTCCTGTTCAGTTTCCCACTGGTGAGAATACACTGGATGAAAACAGACCCATGAAACTATCACCCAGTAGTTATTTTAAAGCAAGGCTCTTTGGTGTTGATGATCGCTTTGCCAGAGATACCAACTACCTGTTCTTTGCACAGTTTGTGACTGAAATACACTTGGCTACCTCCAGCATGTCCATACAGCTACGCAAAGGCAAACCTTTCACCAGAGACGGACGTAAAATAACATCCAGAATGTTGAGAGACAAATATGAAGTGGAGAGACTGGTGAGAAACAGAGATGCTATCAGATTTATGCAGCCGCTCAGAGGAACACCAGCCTACTGGGACAAAACTACAAAAGATCTGTTTGCTATGATCAGACAGTTGGGCAGTCCTACGTTCTTTGTCACATTTTCTGCAGCAGAAATGCGTTGGCCTGAGGTGATTATTGCCATAAAATCACAACAAGGTGAGGAAGTGAATTTTGAGGAGCTCGACTGGTCCACAAAGTGTGACACTCTGAGAAGCAATCCTGTGACAACGATGCGCATGTTTGATAAGCGTGTTGAAGCACTGTACAGAGATCTGATCATGTCTCCTGCACAACCCCTGGGCAAAGTTTTTGACTTCTTTTGGCGCCTCGAGTTTCAACACAGAGGAAGTCCTCACATTCATGGTCTTTTGTGGGTAGAAGGTGCACCTGTGTTTGAGAGAGACTCTGACAAAATTGTGTGTGACTTTGTGTCCAAACACATCTCTGCTCAGCTCCCTGACCCAAATAAACAGCCTGAACTGTACAAAAAGGTCAAAGAAGTGCAAATACACAGTAAGAACCACTCAAAGACATGTTTCAAAAGTGCAAGTTCAGGATGCCGTTTTGGATTCCCAAAACCACCCTCCAGACAGACAATGATAGCAAGACCTTTGGATGATGATGAGGAGTCAGAGAGACTTAAGAGAGCCAAAGAGAAACTTGCACCGCTGAATCAGCTGCTGAACGAGACACAAACTGAATCCATGAGTTTTCAACAGCTCCTGTCTGTCTGTGACTTAACCGCTGATGAGTATGAGAAACACATGAATGTGATGAGTCGGTCCAGCAACATCATTCTGAAGCGTGAGCCAAAAGACTGCTGGGTAAACACATACAACCCTCACCTGCTCAAAGCTTGGGATGCAAACATTGATGTGCAGTTTATTCTCAGTTACTACAGTCTGATCCATTACATATGTACGTACATGTGTAAAAGTGAGAACTCTGTGAGCCAGTACCTGCAAACACTCATTCAGAACTCCGACAGAGAATATGTCAATGAATGTGATGAAATGAAAGCGGTCATGCAGGCGTATTCCAAAAAGCGAGAAGTATCAGCACAAGAAGCTGTTGCCCGAGTGACTTCACTGAACATGAAAAAGAGTTCACGCAGTGTGGTTTTTGTCCCAACTGATGACAACCCAGTGAAAATGAGTCTGCCTGTGTCAAGCCTTGAGAACACAACACCAGACAGCTTGAATGTGTGGATGACATCCTTAACAGACAAGTACAAATCCAGACCTGAATCACCAGAGTTTGAAGAGATGTGCATGGCTGATTTTGCTTCTACCTGCAGACTGGTGTATGGTAAACAGACCAAGGGCAAGAAAGTGGTACCTTTGCTGAATGAACTGGGCTTTATACAGAGACGAGAAAATGACAACGCTGCTGTCATCAGGTATCGCCGTATATCGAAAGAGAAATACCCTGAGCAGTTTTACGGCACATTGCTTAGACTGTATCTTCCATACAGATCAGACGATGAGCTAAAAAGACCATATTTTCCCACATACGAGTCATTCTATGAGAGAGGTGTGGTTCAGCTGCCGTATTCTGACCGACCCCTGAGTGTGAAACTCATCGTGAAAAGAAACAGAGAGAGATATGAAAAAAACAGTGAGGAAATTGACTCTGCTCTCGAGGACTTTGAACAGAACAGAGGTGTGGTCGATGAATGGTGTAATTTGGCACCTGAATCTGAACTGGTGAGGTTGGAGTGTATCGATGAACTGGATGCCAGGCAGTGTGAAAATGTCCAAGAGGATGTACCGGATTACAGTAGACAAGCAAATGCTGCTACAGAGGCCAGAGTCATGAGAGAGCCCCCTACAATCGATCCCACACTGTTACGACAAATGTATCAGAGTCTGAACCAGAAACAGGCGTGTGTGTTCTATGCAGTGAGAGACTGGTGCATAAAACGAGTCTGTGGACCACAACCAGAGCAGTTTTTCTACTACATCAATGGTGGTGCTGGCACTGGAAAGTCACATCTCATTAAATGCATTCATTCAGAAGCATCAAAGATTCTGAGAACACTACCTAGACGTGCTGAGGAAGCTGACATCTCAAACCCAACTGTGCTGTTGACTGCTTTCACTGGAACTGCAGCCTTTAACATCTCTGGAACAACACTGCACTCTCTTCTCAAGCTGCCCAGAAGTCTGAAACCTCCTTTTCAAGGTCTTGGGAACCAACTTGATGAAATCAGGTGTGAGCTTTTAAATGCTGAAATCATCATCATTGATGAAATCTCCATGGTGTCGAAGCCTCTGTTTGCCTATGTGGACATGAGACTGAAACAGATTAAAGGCAGCCACAGACCCTTTGGAGGAATGTCAGTCATTGCTGTGGGAGACTTTTACCAGCTACCGCCTGTGCGACAGTCCAAACCACTCTGTGTCTATGATCCAAGTGAACTTGACCTCTGGAGAGACAACTTCCAGGTGATCACTTTAGATGAGATCATGCGACAGAAGGATGACAAAACTTTTGCAGAGATGCTGAACAGACTCCGTGTGAAAACAAGGTCAGATGAGCTTTCTGAAGCTGACAGAGCTCTGCTGTCACAGCGTGTCACTGAACCACAACTGTGTCCCTCTGATGTGCTGCACATTTTTGCTACAAACAAACAAGTCGCAGAACACAACTCTGCTACACTATCTCTGCTCCATTCTGATATCACCACCATTGATGCAGATGACTTTAAAAAGGACCCACACACTGGACACATGAAAAGACAAGGTGCACCATGTCATGGAAGCAGAAATGATCTACCTGACACACTAGATGTTGCAGTAGGTGCTAGAGTCATGCTTACCAGAAACATTGATGTGTCTCAAGGATTGGTGAACGGATCATTTGCTACAGTAGGCCGTCTCATAAGCTCTGAAAACAACGGTTCTGCTTTTGTCACGATGCTTGGTCTCAGGATGGATGATGAAACAGCTGGCAGGAGCTATCGTACTAGAGGAGACAATCTTGTGTACATCGAGAGATCTGAGGAGGCTCTGCAACAGAAAGGAGTGGTACGCAGACAGTTTCCTGTGAAACTTGCCTTTGCATGCACGATACACAAGGTTCAAGGTATGACCAGAAAATCAACTGTTGTCTCTCTGAAGCACATTTTTGAGCCCGGCATGGCCTACGTAGCTATCAGTCGAGTGACCTCTCTCAGCGGACTGTACATGCTTGATTTGGATGAGAGTAAAATCCATGCTAACCCTGCAGTCACTGTATCTTTGGAGACCATGACGCAAGCTAACTTTGATCACCTCATGCCTTTTCTCCAGATCCAGCATTCTCTCAGCAGACAGGACACTGTGAGCATCATTCATCACAACACCGAAGGATTACCTGCTCATGTGAATGACATCAAAAGCCATCATGAACTGTGTCTTGCAGATGTTTTGTGTCTGACAGAAACTCACCTACAGGGCTCCTTTGTGGCGGACAGTCTCCAGTTTGAGGGCTACACCATGTTCAAACGCAACAGACATTTGTCCTACACTAACTTTCCACAGATGGCCAGTAAAGGAGGTGGTGGAGTCGCTGTTTATGTGAAAAACCATTTGCAGGTTGTGGAGAAACAATACCTGAATAATGTGACTGACCTTGAGTTTGTGGCTTTGAAGGTTGAATCTCCTGTAAGTGCTCTGATTGCAGCTGTGTACAGACCTCCAGACTACAGTGTGCCATCATTCCTGTCCAATCTGGGAAGCCTTCTGGACTCACTTGAGATCATGGACTGTCATCCCATCATCGTCTGTGGCGACTTCAATGAGAATCTCTTTTCTAATGCAAGTAAGCCAATTTTGGATTTCTTTCAGTCCAAGGGATATGGTCAACTGATCACTACTGCTGCTACAACGGACAAGAACACACTGCTGGACCTGATCTTCATCTCACGACCTCAGCTATGTCTCTCTTCAGGTATCGTGCAGACCTACTACAGTTACCACAACGCCACTTACTGTGTCATTTCGTCCAACAGGTCATAGAGGAAACTGCTCTGAAGGAAAAGACAAACTACAGAGGGTTTAGCTGATGTTCTGCTTATATTTTCAGTGCCCATTTGGTGTTTGGTGATTGTAAGTTTTTGAATGCAAAAAAAAAAATTTTATGGCTGAATTTTTTAGAAAGGCAACATTTTTCAGGTTGTACAATTTTCAGCTATTTGAATGTTAAAAGTTATGATATTTGGCCTTTGCACTTATGTCCAGACAAGTTAATCCATTTAACTCACAACTGCAGCAATGTCTTGCCTCAGCTATCATGCAGACCTGCTATAGTAACCACAATCCCACTCACTGTGTCATTTAAGGTCATAAAGGGAAACTGCTTTAAAGGGAAAGACAAACCAGAGAAGTTGTGGCTAATGTTATACCTATATTTTTATTAGAACAGATTGAAATCTTTTTGGCAATTTAAAATTTTCTGGTGCAAAAAATATTTTTATGGCTTAATTTCAACATTTTTCTGGTTGTACAACGTTTTTGAACTATTCAAATGTTATACATTATAATTTTTGGCCTGTGCATTTATCAAGTCCAGTCAAGTCAAGTTAATCCATTTAACTTGACTTGACTGGACATAGGGAGGGTGGGTGCGGATTGATAAATGCACAGGTCAAAACTCTCAGCTGCTGTGTACAATTATGTATACAGCAGCAAAAATTAAAAACCTCCATCAGAAAGTGTGTGTTCCCTAATGAACACACACTTTCTGATGTTCTGTGACCTACCAGCTGAAACCCCCCTTTTCTCCACCCAACTTTACACCACTTTCTTAGCATGGGTGGCTGTAAGTACACTAGAGCAAACATAAGTTTCCTTTTCTTTGGGTAGGTTTTTATTTTTTATTTTTTATTATTATTTTTTTTCAGTTGTCCCCGCCATCTTTAACCTGACCCCCATTAGTACTATCCTGACTAGCTCACTGTAAACTGAAAAAAATTATCAAACTGTCAACCAAAAGTAAACACATCACCTGTAGGTACAGTAGAGTAAAGCTAAGTTTCCTTTTGTGTGGGTATTTTTTTTTTCTTCTTTAGTTGTCTCTGCCATCTTTTACCTGACCATTAGTGCTGTCCTGACTAGCTCACTGTGAGCAGAAAAAAATGATCAAACCATCAACCAGAAGTAAACACATCACTTTGGACCACTCAAAGACACAGTCTACCTGCTGTTTAACCCAGTCTTTGGTCGGAGGTGAAGAAGAGATGACATCCTCCACACCATCCCCCTGCTGCTCTCAACAACCATCATCGCTGTGCTGGACAGACTGCAGCACCCACCAGGACCCTTCTCTCATGGACTACACAAACATGCGTTTTACCTGCTCGTGCTCCAGATGTCCTGAAGCAGCTCTCAAGGACCACCAGACACCAGGCTGAAGCAGAACTGATGCTGTACCTGTCACTCACTGGGCTCGTTCCTGCTGAACCTCCAAGAGATAAACCCCTCTTCAAGAAAGTATGAGGTAATGTCTTGGTGAACTTGTGTTCATTTATTTTTTCTTAGTTATCTTAGCTGCTGTATTAATGCTTGTGATGCTATTGTACAGCTCTGCTGATACCATCGTCTTTAACAGCAGTGTTTTCTCCCAGGTCTTCTTCAAGCCAGTTAAGAGAGGAAGAACAGCTTAGACACTCAGGCAGCTGAACGCACCAAAGGTGGACATCATGCAGCCACCCTGAGCCTTGAGCCTCTCTGTGTGAGGAAGCTTTGCTGCTGCAGACCTGGTGAAGTGTCTCTGCTGCAGTGCTGAAGGTATTCATTGTAATGATGTGTGTATTTATTCAACATGTTTAGTTTCACAGATTATCAACACAAATGTTTCTGTTTATTTCCTGTTTTGAACCAGCTACATTCTCCTACTTCAAGTCACTGTCTGTCCATCCACGGTGTAGCTAGTGCAGCTAACTAACGGTGATCCTACAATCAATTGTATTGATGACAGAGTTAAAGTGAAGGGGATTTTGTTTGTTTTTTTCAGACCTCTCCTCCTCCTGCCCCTGACTCCAGTGATGCTGTCAACTCGAACACTGATAACTGCACACAGCGATTCTACAACCACAGGTCAAAGGTCAAAACATTACCTCACTCAAAACCTTCATTCAGAACTGTACCGGGCTCGGGTTTTGGTTTTGAAAAAAAGTGCCGAGACAGAACACAGTACTCACTTGAGGAACTGACTGATTTTCTTCAGGACAGGACAACTATTACTCTTATATTGTTTTGAATCCTGTTTTCTACATTAAGTGATCGGTTGTCGATATCTGTTAATATTTTAAGTTTCCTTTATGTTTCTTGGACTTTATTTGTTGTATTTTATTTTAGTATTTTCTTCCCCTTTTACTGTGTATCTGTCCTTATTTCAATAGATGACCAACACTGATGAGGGGAAATAATACCAGTTACTTCAGTTGTTGCAGGCAGCTGAATTTCTCATGTTTTAATATGCTCACCATATCCCTCAAATTTACCTACAAGAGAAGATGTGTTTTAGAAATTAATGATGTACTTTGGGTTTCAGCTGGTAGGTACACTGCAGGTTTTTCACATGTGCTTAGTCTTGGGCTAATGTTTTGGACAGCAGTGATCCCAGTATTACAGTGTGAAACAATCCCTGCTGAAGGTTGTCGTCACAATCCTCTAAACACAGGGCTTGGTTAAACGAGCTGTGTCAAGTGATTTCATAGAAGATCAAAATTTTTATGCCTATCCTTAAAATGTAATTCTCCATTGTAGATGATTCTTTGAGCAGAAACTATCAACGTGAAGACAACCCAGCATTTCAGCAAGGATGAGTAGTCTGAATGTCTGGATAAGAAAACACTGGGAACTAAAATGCTGATCAGATTGTCAGTCCACTACAATGAGCTGATGACAGTATTAGCCTTGGTCTAACTACTGTGAAAAGCCCTTTGGGTGGTAAGGTGGACCAATACATACTGTAAAAAATACTTCAGTGCCATATTTAAGTTATTAACCTTTCATCTTACTTTGCCTGTATATTTCCGCTAGCCCATAACACAAGACTTGGCTTAATGGGCCATGACAAATTTTACAAGCCAGCTTTTGTTCAGGCTTAGTAATCTGAAAACACAAGAAAAGAGGTGAATGTGGGTCCAGGGCTGCTGGAGTTTGAATCCAGTAAATAATGGGGTGTTAGCCTCAGTCTAACCACCATGTGAAGAGCCTTTAATGGGCTGAACAATATTAGAAACAACTGAAAATGTGATACCTTTGTCCATCAACAATCACAGCAACTCCAATCTTAAAATTGGTCACCCATGTAAAGATTTCTGCTTACAAAACCTGTTTACAAACAAAGAGTTCATACTTTAAATCAAGGTACTATAGAATGTTGTTTCTTTATATGTTTATGTTTTGTTTTTTTATATGGTTTTTGATTTATCATTTCATTGCACACAAAATGTTACAGGATTGACAATAATATTTTTCTTTTTTTCTTTCTTTCAGTTTCACTTATATGAAAACTCAGTTTGATTTTTTCAAGTTGATGTAAATTGTAAATTAAATATATTGTGTAATGTGTTCATGTGTCATTTACATTTTTTTTCTACTTCTTTCATCATGAAGGCCTTTTTAGCCATCTTTAAAATTCTTTACCATATTTGCTGCAATGTTCAAATTCAGTTCTTTAACAATTTTAACATTCATAGAACTTCTACTTTATCTCTCCAAGTGTTTTTTCATTCATACAACTTCTATTTCTTTTTCATTATCTTCTTCTTCAGTTCTGTTATGGTTTAAACATTCATACAACTTCTATTTCTTACACTTCAACTCTTCAACATTTACATTTTACATGTATACTTTCCTCCATTTTTTTCACAGTTTTGCTTTTCAGTTTTCAGCATTCAGCATTTCCACGCATTTTCTGCAAGGAAATGCAACTTTTCTAGTTTGCCTTTGATCTCACAGCTGTTCAGGATGCAGTCATTAATGAGACACACACACACACACACACACACACACACATTCTTGTACTTGTTGCATTGTCAGGTCTACCTTGCAGTTCACCTGCTTGTACACACAGGTATTATGTGTCTGCTTCACCACCTATCTCCACCCACAAACTTTGAGCTACAGAAACCATTCTGGGCTTGAAAAATTCAGCTCATTGAAGATATTATGGGGTGTTTTGAGGATTGTGATAATAAATTGTATGAATGTGTTCAGCAAAATCTTGTGTTCTCACAAGCTCCTTATGAATATATACAGAGGATGAGCGTCAGGGCCTACTTGGAGTCCTGTTTCTTTAGCTTCAAGCCTTCTTTCTCCTGCTAAAGTTATGCATCCAAGGTCCCCATGGCAACCAATTTGTGCACCTGGAGACACACAGCTGACTGGAAAGCTGCTTCTAATGGCCAAATGAGACACATGAAGCCAGGCTCAGTACACATAGCACTGGGGATGACACTTAAAACCCTTTCCTAGAGCGCTTGAAAAAACTTCAGCCCCTATCTCCTCACATGACCTTTGACCTACAGAAACCATTCAGGGCTTTAAAATTTAAGCTCATTGAGGACATTATGGGGTGTATTCAGGATTTATATTCATCTACATTTTTCACTTTTATAAGTCACTCATTGATGATTTATCATTTAATTTTTCAAACTAATTTAAACTCATTCAAACTGATACTTGAGGATTTTTAAGTATTTAAATTTTCCATGTTTTAAATTAGTTTTAATATTCATGCATTACTCCATCCTTCAAACAAAATCCTACCTCAAGTACGACAACTACTGCTAATGTCAATTGAACTAGTACTTTCCCCTCTACTTCAACTGCTATTGCTCCTATTTCTACTTTCTCTACTTCAACTGCTATTGCTACTGTTTCTACTTTCTCTACTATTTTGACTTTACTTCTTTTATTCTCAAACTACTTCTACTGCTGACACGACTACTAGTATCACGACTTGACCTCTTATCATACTACTTCTAGTACTACAACTTAAACTAATGCCACTTCTCACCTTCCTGCCTTTTAAGGCAATTTCCTTCTTCATTCAAACTTTGTGCAATTTTAGACATTTTTCTAGCCTCATTCAGCATGAATCAAATTTCCTTTTATAGAGCATATTCATACCATTTGTCCTTCAACCAATGAAACCATTATCCAACTCATATTTCTTTTTCATTACTTCAACAGCTTTAACATTTATACCTTTCTCCATGTTTTATTAGCAGTTTAGCATTGCTTTTTCAGCTTTCAGCACTCAGCATTTCCACGCATTTTCTGCAAGGAAATGCAATTTTTCTAGTTATTATTATTATTCTTCCGCCAATTTTTGTCCGCTTTCTCCTCCTTCAAATTTTGTGCTATTTAAACCATTCAAACTTTAAACTATTCCACTCCTTCAGGACATGAGGGCTTGTATTTTTTACCTTTCTACCCTTTATACTTTTGTTTTTTTTTAACTTTTTGTGCAAAATTTGTACCATTAGAAATGAATGGGGAAATCTTAAAATTCTACCTTTTACTCTTCCACCTTCTAAGCCTTACTACTTCAGCATACTTTCACCTAGAGAATTCATTTTTGCTTTAAAATGTTCATTCACTTGTCGACTATTAAAGTTGTTTTTCAGTTTTTTGATATCTTTTATAGTTTTCCCACAATATAGCTTTAAGCAACTCGTGGTTTTCAGCAAATTTCAGGCTTTATAATGGGTGTGTATTGGAGAGGCTTGAGTGTGTAATTAAGAAGCTAGAGTGCAGACCTCATCTTGGATCGACAGAACCTCGCTTGAATATATTGCTCCCACGCTCACAAATTTCACTCCACAGCCATAAAGAAAACATCAAAATGGAGGTATATGTGTCCTGCTTCTCACAAAAGAGGTTTCAAATCATTAAATCCTACCCCTTGGCCAGCAGGTGACCAACTGTCCAAAAAAGGCAAAGAACCCTGGCATTGGCCCTAATGTAATTTTTCTCCAAGAAAATCCTGATCATCGCTCAGGCTCAGACTTTTTTAACTTGCTGTTGTGGCCACATTTTTTGGAGTAGAGACATGAAAAACACATCATTGTGTTCATGAAGGGCGGAGGATTCGTACGATGTTCTTATTTTCATTCTGGGATTTAAGGAAATCACGCTGTGTGAAGAAGTTCACTGCAGATAAGCAGCTTCTCATTCAAACAGTAGGTCAGTTAATGCCTTTGATCTCACAGCTGTTCAGGATAAAATCATTAACGAGACACACACACACACACAGTCTGACTGTGTGTGTGTGTGTGTGTGTGTGTGTGTGTGTGTGTGTGTGTGTGTGTCACTGCCTATGGCAACCAATTAGCGCACCTGGAGACACACAGCTGACTGAAAAGCTGCTTCTAATGGCCATATGAGATACATGAAGCCAGGCTCAGTACACAGAGCACTGGGGGTGACATTTAAAACCCTTCACAAGAGCAATTGATGAACTTAGGCCCCTATCCTCTACCACAAACTATGACCTACAGAAACCATCAGGCCTCCAAAAATTCAGTCCATTGAGGACATTATGGGCAATATTCAATTCTTGAAAAAAATTTAAACTACTTTAAACTGATTCAGTCCTCTCTGATACTTCAACCCTTTCTTATACTTTAGGATTTTTAATAATTTAATTTTCCACAAGTTCAATTTTTTTCATAATTCATGCATTGTTCGATTCTTTAAACAAATTCTATGCAAAGAAGTTCAGAGGGTTCAATTTAATTGGGGTTAGGATGCGTCTCATGAAAATAGTTGGTCAAGTTAGTCCCTCTGACCTCTAACAGCTGTTCAAAATTCATCAATTAACTAGACACACTCTGCCCATGTCACTAATACGTGTCGCTATCATCCTATTTTTACAGTGAGCCTTTGTGGGAGTTCGTTGATTAGAAAAATATTAAATTTTTCACGTTATACGGATGTCATTTTGTGAATGAACTGGTATTTCAAGGGTTGAATTGTGAAAATAAATTTTGATTTTTCATACACTACCAAGACAAGATTATAAGTACCCCCCCCCCCCCCAAAAAAAAAAAAAAAAAAAAAACAACTACATACAAAAAAGACAATTAAACCACCACCTTTCCTTCGTATGAAGAGTGACATTTCCGAGTGTCCCTGAACGCCTCAAACATTTTCTACTGCGTCCCTGTGTGTGCACGCGCCATCCTGCTTGAAGCTCAAGCCGGGTGAGTAACAGGAGGATCTCTGTTAACATATAAACACTTCAAAATGGGATTTAACGTTTTTAAAATGACACTGGTTTGGGTCATAATAGATGAAGAGTTCATTCGTGATAGAAGTGGTCGAGATATTGACTTGAATGAGCTTGAAATTAATTCTAAACGGCTAAAGAATATTACGCTAACGCTGTTAGCGACGAGCTAACGCTAAAGCTAACATACCGTAATTTATGAATCATTAACCAGCTGATAAATGCACAAAATAAAGTGAATATGTAAGCCACCGCGGTACCATACAGCATGCCAAATGATGTACAGTTTGTAAAGTTTACTAACATTGAGACTGTCAAGGATACTCATATTGTCAAGTTTTAACTAACTAACCAGCTTACTAAAGATGCTAGCGCTGTTGCTACATGTAATAGTTCATTACTGTGACTGAGTCATAGCTGGGGGTCTGGAGACGTCAGCTGTTTAGCTACTGGTCACTTTTTTATCAGCCATTGTAGATGTATTAAAAATATAGGCTGCATTTAGCAAGTATCCAGTTATGATACAAATGTGAGTGTCTTTTTAATGTGTCAGAATGACACTGGATGGTCCTCTATTGTTGAAGGTTTTATTCATGATGGGGATGATAGAGATATTTACATTGCAAAACTTAAAATTTATTCATTATTTAATGTTCAACAATATGAAGTTCTAATTCATGTATATTCCTGTTGAATTTCCCTTTGGGGATCAATAAAGTTCTTATCTTAATACTGAGTTAATGGATGGATAGTTAGCTGCCTTGAAGTTGGTTAACCTACTCCTGGCCTGTCTCTGTCTCACTGGCTGCTGCTGTACCTCACCTTCTACTGTACCTTATTTACTTTTGATCACAAGCTGTTAATTTGGATATTGGCTAATACCACAGCAAAGAAACTTTATCTGAGGTATAAATACTTTAATACAGAATGTAGTATGGGACATTTCAGCTACAGCTAACAGTCAGGTGATCTTTTGGAGCTGTTAAGTTTTCAATTAGCCCAATGAATAATGTTAGTTTTCTTTAAAGGCCAGTTGTTTTTAATGTACTATCTGTCAGATAACACTAATATATTGTTTCTTGTCTCAAACAAACAGAAAATACATCCACACCAGTGCATTTGTTGGTAAGTATGAATGTTTTAACCGAGACTGACAACAAACAAAATAAAAAAAATAATGATTAGCTTTATCCTGTTAAACAACATGTCATTCAAGATAATGTACAAAAATATGATGCATTTTTTCAAAAACTGAGTTTAAATTGATATGAAACATTGAGCTATCTGTGGCATTTCCTGTATGAGAAATATAGGCGGGATACTGTTTTTTCCTTGTAGACATCAGTATGCTAACAAAATTACTACACTACTTAATAATTTTATTGAAACATTTTAACTTGCTGGGAAAGTCTAATTCTTGATTTTGGCAATAAATAAGTGGGAAATTAATTCAGGAAAATTACTTTGAATGAAGTGAGCTGTGAGGGAGGCTTTTTTGAATGTATTAAAAATCCCTTTTCTTCCCTCTCCCCCTCCTCCTGCCTCATCTTGTCCTCTGACCTGTGCGAACCCCCCAACCAACTCTGAAGTGTAAGTTCACACTTGTATATACTTATAAAGCAATCACTTAGATGTTACATTTTTGCTCTGCAGTTTATAATGACATTTCACTGTTTTGTATTTCACCTCAATAACACACATAAGAAAGTAAAAAGTAAAGAGGTCCTTCATTGTGTTTGTGCATTTTCTCTCCATTTTAACAAACATTTTTTACAGGCCAAGGGAGCTGCAGTAATATCCTTTTACTAATCAAGTGCCACAAATTGTAGACTACGATAAGAAATGAGGGAAGCTCATGATCCACACTGAAAAGCGGTTGTGATTACAGTTAACTATAAGATGCTGATTTTTTTTTGCAACTAAATTTAACTGTTTTGTCCCTCTGTCTTTTCCCTCCTTCGGAACTCCTCAACGCTACCTCTACTGCTGGCCCTGTTCAATGTTGGCAACTCAGCTGTAAGTTCACAAATAAAGTAACTTAAAAATATGAACAGTCTTAATTTTTACATCACATTATGTAAAACCTGACATTATTTCCTTATTTGACAACCTGCAGCACATTTTCATTGTAACATAAACCATTTAAAAAACACTTTATTTAAACTAATGCAGAACCAAATGGAAATAATTTTGCTGGCTGATTAAAGTTCGAACTACAATGCAGTGAGATGTGCTGGTTTTGTACAACTAAACTTAAAATCTCTTGTCTCTGTTTTTCCATTTTCCTTCTTGCTAACTCTATCCTGTCTCCAAGTGCAGACTGCTTTGTGGCGACTCGGCGTAAGTTCACACAGGAATGACATTTTCATGAGTAACACAGTTTATTTATTATTTATTAACATTTATTGTTACATTTATTCAACACATGATAGACCCCTCATCATGTACTCACTTAACATTTTTTTTTCCTTTGATTATGTAATACTTACAGTTGGAAACAAACACCTTTGAATTATTGGAAGCAATTTGTTACTATAAAATTGTGGGGTTGTAATTTTTTAATGATGAAAATTTGAATAATTACTAATTGAATGTGATTCCTTCCTTTGTGCATGTTTTATATTAAAAAAAAAATCTCATTTAATTTTCCTTCATATGGAATTAGACAATTATTATCTAAACCACCATTGAATTATTTTATTAGTCATTTAATTATACATTTGCAAACGTGTATAGGGGAGAGTGGGGTAAGTTGAGCCAAAGGGTAAGTTGAGCCACCCCTTGTTGCTTGGAAATGGTCAAAGAAATTGATCATATGACCAAATATTTAGGAGATGGGCATCAATTCATGGAGTCTGTGAAGGGGTTAGACAATAATTAAAAAAAAAAAAAAAAAACATTTTTCAGTCTTGAAAGTGAATTTAGTCTGTCATAAGTTTTATTAGAATTGTGTTCAGACCAAAAAAGATCGTTTTAAATTTCTTTTATCCATCAATTGTGGTATCTATGAGCTACAACATAAAAGTCCCCCATTTTAGCTTAGAGGACTAATAAAGTCATAATAGTAGTTCTGGGGTAAGTTGAGCCAGTGTCTTAACTGAGAAATTAAAGGAGTATGATAAGAGGATCAGAGTTTCAGTTCAGATTGTTGAAATGTGTAACTTTTTCTTTTCAGACATATAGCTGCGGATGTTCTGAATCACTTAAAGGCATTCTCATGTCAAAATGACTTTTTACAAAACAGCTTTTTATCAGTTATATGTAATAATAATAAAAGAGTTATTGTACCAGTTGAATAGCGTATAATAGATAAAAATACTCATGAATGTGAAGAAGTGACTGTCATACATGGGGTAAGTTCACCATAAAGACCACTTTTTTTTTTTTTTTGGCATGCTATGTTATCAAGACAGTTCTGTTTACACTCATTCTGTTGGTTTGCAGGGATGGACAACATCCTGAAATATATGCAGATACACTAGTTAGAGACAAAACTATGATTGACTTGATGTAGTGATCAGGAATATGAAAAATGGCTCATCTTACCCCACTCTCCCCTATCCCTCTAAGGTACCTTGCATGATTCTGAGCTGCTTGGCCTCATTACAACTTACTATATTGTAGGAATGCTTTAAACACTAAAAAGGAAATTACGTTTTCCAAAACACATTAATATTTCATCAACAGAGTAATCCATTTTTATTATTGCTCACCAAGACATGGTTATGAACATTATAAAGGGAAGTTTGAATGATTCTGAAGAGTCTAAAATATGCAGGCATAATAGATGTTTTTGTAAAATACTTTAAGGTCCTGAATACATTTTTAATGAACTCTTATGAACATTTAGTCCTTATTAATTTTATTGAACGGTTATCTAAGAAGACAATGGCCAATTCCAGCTTTTGACTCAACTTTTGATAGATGTATAGTTAAAGACAGCCATTTGGTGGGTTGAGTGAAAGCACATTATAATGACAATAGCTTTGGGTGAATGTTAGTTCATCTTATTTTATTTCCTTTATAAAAAAAGATTAATGTTTGTTTCCATTGTGTCTTACAGGTATCCTGTCCAGTCTCCCAGCTCTCCCCTATCATTTTGGCCGCTCTGACTTTCCTGTCTCCTCTACCACTCTGTCTAATTGAAAAGCCACTCTGTCTTGTGTCCCCCTTTTCTCTATCCCTCTAGCTAAATTTTGGACGCTCTGACTTTCCTGTCTCCTCTACCGCTCTATCTATTTGAAAAGCCACTCTATCTTGTGTCCTCCTTTTCTCTATCCCTCTGACTAAGTTTTGGCTGCTCTGACTTTCCTGTCTCCTCTACCGCTCTATCTGATTGACAAGCCTTCAGAAACCTATATAAAAGCCTTTCAGAAACCTATATAAAAGCCTTTCAGAAACCTATATAAAAGCCTTTCAGAAACCTATATAAAAGCCTTTCAGAAACCTATTGAAATTGCCTTTATTGAAAAACCATCTTATGAAACTGCTTCCATTGAGAAACCTTTTGAAACACCATTTTTGAGAAACATTTTATTAAACCATTTTTGATAAACCCTTTTTGAGAAACATTTTGACAAACCATTTTTGAGGAACCTTTGTAAACCATTTTTGATAAAACACTTTTTGAGAAACATTTTGATAAACTATTTTTGAGAAACCTCCTGATAAACATTTTGTTACACCATTTTTGAGAAACCTTTTGATAAACCGTTTTTGAGAAACCTTTTGATTAACCTTTATTGAGAAACATTTTGATAAACTGTTTTTGAGAAGCCTTTAGATAAACCGTTTTTGATAAACCTTTTGATTAACCGTTTTTGAGAAACCTTTTGATAAACCGTTTTTGAGAAACATTTTGATAAACTGTTTTTGAGAAGCCTTTAGATAAACCATTTTTGGTAAACCTTTTGATTAACCATTTTTGAGAAACCTTTTGAAAAAGTTGTACTTCTAATACAACCATTATTTTGAAAAATCCCTAATTTTGCAAAAGTCTGATTGTTCTAGGTTTTGCTTTCCTGTCTGTGGATCCAGAGTTTCACCAGAAGAAGTGTCATCAGCACAACCACATTTGCATCCCTGATTTTGAAAGAACATAAAAACACATTTCATATAGAGTATTTGACTTAGATATTATTTCAAGCACAAAGTCTGAAGATTTACAAATTGTTGCTGATTTGTGTTTTTTCTGTTAATCTTTATATAGTCTTGCCTAGGATTTTCTTATAAAACATTTGATAAACTATTATTGGCATACACATAGCTATAAATTAGATTTTTTTTGGCGACTGTAAGAGCTGTTAAATAACATCCTCTCTTGAAGAAATAAAGCATTTTTGTCGATACTGCTGCTTATCTGTCACTTTAAATTGTTGCATAAACACGTTGTTAAAGAACACCTACAATGCCAAGGAAGAGTCAGAAGTCACAGACTGCAAGCCAGCGCTGGCAGAGGGTTCATGACATTGACTTTGTGAGTACTGGACAAGCAGATGGTGTTCCTCAGAGCAGTGGAGAGGTAAAGAGGTCTGAGGTGTCTGAAGCTGTGAAACAGGGAGGTGAAAATGCATCATGTCAACCACAGATATCTAATGCAGACGTGCTTAAGAGGAGACGTGTAAGTGAGTCACCTGCAGCAGATCCATCTAACACTGAACAGGTAAACCACAGAGGTGAAATTAATGATCCAGGTGTACAACAGGTAACATATGCAGACATGGTAAAGAGAAAACTTCCTCGTGTGTCACGTACTGCCGGTCCGTCCAACACTCGTCAGGTGAACTACATAGCCCAAACTGATGAAGCATGTTCAACTCAGATATCGTATGCAGACACTGGTAAGAAGGGAAATCATAATTATCAGTCGGTATCAGCCTGTTCTCGGGCAAGAAATACTAACGCTGTTAATCAGTCAGGTGAACAAAACGTCTGTGCGTCACGCAGCCAAGCATCTCTGAAATACGGCCGATCCAGAAACCAGCAGTGCACCTGTAACTCGCTGACATTTCTAGCATTCCTGTATGAGAACGAAAACATCACCAGAGCAGATCTGGACCGTGTTTTGGATAAAGGTGATGTGATGTACAGAGAAATCAGAAAAACTGTTGATCACGCCCATCTGACAACCGATGAGCTCCCTAACCAGGTTCCTGCACGCAGACACACGCAGAGTGTTGACATGTTACAGCTGTCTAGATACGGTTCGTTTGGAGATCCGGATCCCAGAGCTGTTGATACCTTTCTGGACCTCAAGTCGGGACTGAGCTGCTTATTAACAGATGTGCAGTATGCTTTGCTGCTAATGACTTCACTGTGTATTGCAGTTTTCAAAACCAGAGATGGCAGGTACGGTTTCTTTGACCCACATGCTCGGACAGCTAACGGTTTGCCTCTGCTTAAGGCCACGCCTACTCCTGGTACCGCTGTCATGGTAACATTCACACGCCTCAGTGACATGATTGACAGGCTCATAAGGTATCACCACATATTGGGCACAGCAGCGTCCTGTCACTATGAGCTCAAGCCAGTTGTGTTGATGAGAAACCATGTGATGCTATCCCAACCACAGAAAGTCCGTACACAAGTACCTCTGTAACAACCACTGTGATAAATGATGACACAAGTGCGCCACAGATGAACACTGTTGTCTGTCAAAACACTGAACATGACATGGAAACTGAACCAAAGCCACTGATCGACTTCAGCCAGTGTTCTGTCACATTAACTGGTCCTGAATCTCTTTTTTCAGAGATGAACACTGCTGTAAGTGATGACTCTCATGACACATCACAGAAAATCTCAACTTTGATGGAAACACAAGCTCATCAACCAGGTCAAATCAGCAATAATCCTGTCACATTTGAGGAAGCTCAGGAGATTCAATCAAATTTGACACAACCATTTATTACTATCCCTGTTGCCAGTGTTAGCGTTATCCATGACATTTCCAGTAAACTGTCAAAACTGGAAACAAAAAAAAGGAAAAAATACAAGAGGAGACAAATGGCATCTAAAAAGACAACACAAGGGAAAGAGGATAAAAAAATGAAAGAGAGAGAAAAGTATGCTAAGAATGAAACATATAAAGCAAAGAAAAAGTCTTATTCAAGTAACAAATACTCTGACAATCCTGAAATACAGACAAAGAAAAGACAAAATATTGCAACTAAGTACAGAGATAGCACAGACTTCAGACTGAAACAAAAAGAGTATATCAAGAAAAAATACAGAGAAAATGTTGAATTCAAAAGCAGACAACAAGAGTATATCAAGAAAAAATACAGAGAAAATGTTGAATTTAAAGGCAGACAAAAAGAGTATATCAAGAAAAAATACAGAGAAAATGTTGATTTTAAAGGCAGACAAAAGGAATATATCAGGAAAAAGTACTCAGAGGACACTAATTTCCGGCAAAGACAGCAATTATATATGAATCATCGATATGCAAATGATGAAATATTCTGTCACCAACACAGACAGCTGATGAGACAAATGATGCGAGACAGGTATCAGAAAAATCTTGCATACAGGACGATGTATAAAACGAGATGTGCATTGAAAATATTAAAGAAATACAAACAGATAAGTAAACAAACATGCAAGACTGACAGAGAGAGTGAAAACCCTTTGATTGAAAGTGCCATAAATATTTTCAGATCACACATTAAAGCTGGTCCCACCTATGTTTGCACAGTTTGTCACAAAGCCTCATTTCCAAACCAGGTACAAAAGTGCAAGAGGTCCAACTATGTGAAAAATCCAACCATGGTTTCAGCTTGTCTCAAAGGTCAGTACGTCCATGAGTGCAATCATGGCTGCAGAAACCAGTGCACTGTCCCTGATGAGAGAAAGACTGAGTGGATTTGTCACACCTGCCATGACCATCTGAAAAATGGATCCATGCCCAAACTTGCCATAGCAAATAACTTGGAGCTTGCTGACATACCACCTGAGCTGTGTGACCTCAACATACTGGAGAGACATCTGATAGCAAAGTGCATAACATTTGCCAAAATCATTCCTCTTCCCAAAGGCAGACAGAGAGCTATACATGGTAATGTTGTATGTGTTCCCTCTGAAGTCCAGGAGACAATTCAGGCTCTACCCAGATTGAGAAATGAGTCTCAGGTGATGAGAGTAAAACTGAAGAGACGTTTGAGTTACAGAGGTCACCATCTATTTCAGACTGTTACCTGGTCCAAGCTAGTGCAGGCTCTGCATAAACTGAAAGAGATACACCCCCAGTATGAAGACATCACTATTAGAGATGAGGAGGAGTTATATGACCCCACACTTCCTGATGATGGTGATGAGGATGATGATGATGATGGTAATGATATTACAATGAATGATGACGACTATGACGATGAGGATTTGATGGAAATTGATAGAATTGAGGCTGCTGCCATGTATGAGGCTGAAACTGATGTTGAAAATGAGAATGAGAACACAGCTATGTGATAAAAGTCAGACCCAGGACAATGATGATCAGACACAACAACAGGACGCAGACATGCATAATGGTGGTGTTGTTTTGGAGTCGTGCCTTCAGCCACGTGATGTTTCTGAGGAGATCTTGTGTTTCAGTGACTCTACATACTCAGTAGCTCCAGCAGAGAGAAACAGTCCAGTCAGTTTTTTCAAAACTCCCAAACTAGAGGCCATGGCGTTCCCTGTTCAGTTTCCCACTGGTGAGAATACACTGGATGAAAACAGACCCATGAAATTATCACCCAGTAGTTATTTTAAAGCAAGGCTCTTTGGTGTTGATGATTGCTTTGCCAGAGATACCAACTACCTTTTCTTTGCACAGTTTGTGACTGAAATACACTTGGCTACCTCCAGCATGTCAATACAGTTACGCAAAGGCAAACCTTTTACCAGAGACGGACGTAAAATAACATCCAGAATGTTGAGAGACAAATACGAAGTGGAGAGACTGGTGAGAAACAGAGATGCTATCAGATTTATGCAGCCGCTCAGAGGAACACCAGCCTACTGGGACAAAACTACAAAAGATCTGTTTGCTATGATCAGACAGTTGGGCAGTCCTACTTTCTTTGTCACATTTTCTGCAGCAGAAATGCGTTGGCCTGAGGTGATTATTGCAATAAAATTACAACAAGGTGAGGAGGTGAATTTTGAAGAGCTCGACTGGTCCACAAAGTGTGACATTCTGAGAAGCAATCCTGTGACAACGATGCGCATGTTTGATAAGCGTGTTGAAGCACTGTACAGAGATCTGATCATGTCTCCTGCACAACCCCTGGGCAAAGTTTTTGACTTCTTTTGGCGTCTCGAGTTTCAGCACAGAGGAAGTCCTCATATACATGGTCTTTTGTGGGTAGAAGGTGCACCTGTGTTTGAGAGAGACTCTGACAAAACTGTGTGTGACTTTGTGTCCAAACACATCTCTGCTCAGCTCCCTGACCCAAACAAACAGCCTGAACTGTACAAAAAGGTCAAAGAAGTGCAAATACACAGTAAGAACCACTCAAAGACATGTTTCAAAAGTGCAAGTTCTGGATGCCGATTTGGATTCCCAAAACCACCCTCCAGACAGACAATGATAACAAGACCTGTGGGTGATGATGAGGAGTCAGAGAGACTAAAGACAGCCAAAGAGAAACTTGCACCACTGAATCAGCTGCTGAACAAACCTGGAACTGAATCCATGAGTTTTCAACAGCTCCTGTCTGTCTGTGACTTAACCGCTGATGAGTACGAGAAACACATGAATGTGATGAGTCAGTCCAGCAACATCATTCTGAAGCGTGAGCCAAAAGACTGCTGGGTAAACACCTATAACCCTCACCTGCTCAAGGCCTGGGATGCAAACATTGATGTGCAGTTTATTCTCAGTTACTACAGTCTGATCCATTACATATGTACGTACATGTGTAAAAGTGAGAACTCTGTGAGCCAGTACCTGCAAACACTCATTCAGAACTCCGACAGAGAATGTGTCAATGAATGTGATGAAATGAAAGCGGTCATGCAGGCGTATTCCAAAAAGCGAGAAGTATCAGCACAAGAAGCTGTTGCCCGAGTGACTTCACTGAACATGAAAAAGAGTTCACGCAGTGTGGTTTTTGTCCCAACTGATGACAACCCAGTGAAAATGAGTCTGCCTGTGTCAAGCCTTGACAACACTACACCAGACAGCTTGAATGTGTGGATGACATCCTTAACAGACAAGTACAAATCCAGACCTGAATCACCAGAGTTTGAGGAGATGTGCATGGCTGATTTTGCTTCTACCTGCAGACTGGTGTATGGTAAACAGACCAAGGGCAAGAAAGTGGTACCTTTGCTGAATGAACTAGGCTTTATACAGAGACGGGAAAATGACAACGCTGCTGTCATCAGGTATCGCCGCATATCCAAAGAGAAATACCCTGAGCAGTTTTACAGCACATTGCTTAGACTGTATCTTCCATACAGATCAGACGATGAGCTGAAAAGACCATATCTACCCACGTATGAGTCATTCTATGAGAGAGGTGTGGTTCAGCTGCCGTATTCTGACCGACCCCTGAGTGTGAAACTCATCGTGAAAAGAAACAGAGAGAGATATGAAAAAAACAGAGAGGAAATTGACTCTGCTCTCGAGGACTTTGAACAGAACAGAGGTGTGGTCGATGAATGGTGTAATTTGGCACCTGAATCTGAACTGGTGAGGTTGGAGTGTATCGATGAACTGGATGCCCGACAGTGTGAAAATATCCAAGAGGATGTACCTGATTACAGCAGACAAGCAAATGCTGCTACAGAGGCCAGAGTCATGAGAGAGCCCCCGACAATCGATCCCACACGGTTACGACAAATGTATCAGAGTCTGAACCAGAAACAGGCATGTGTGTTCTATGCAGTGAGAGACTGGTGCATAAAACGAGTCTGTGGACCACAACCAGAGCAGTTTTTCTACTACATCAATGGTGGTGCTGGCACTGGAAAGTCACATCTCATTAAATGCATTCATTCAGAAGCATCAAAGATACTGAGAACGCTACCTAGACATGCAGAAGAAGCTGACATCTCAAACCCGACTGTGCTGTTGACTGCTTTCACTGGAACTGCAGCCTTTAACATCTCTGGAACAACACTGCACTCTCTTCTCAAGCTGCCCAGAAGTTTGAAACCTCCTTTTCAAGGTCTTGGGAACCAACTTGATGAAATCAGGTGTGAGCTTTTAAATGCTGAAATCATCATCATTGATGAAATCTCCATGGTGTCGAAGCCTCTGTTTGCCTATGTGGATGTGAGACTGAAACAGATTAAAGGCAGCCACAGACCCTTTGGAGGAATGTCAGTCATTGCTGTTGGAGACTTTTACCAGCTACCGCCTGTGCGACAGTCCAAACCACTCTGTGTCTATGATCCAAGTGAGCTTGACCTCTGGAGAGACAACTTCCAGATGATCACTTTAGATGAGATCATGCGACAGAAGGATGACAAAACTTTTGCCGAGATGCTGAACAGACTCCGTGTGAAAACAAGGTCAGATGAGCTTTCTGAAGCTGACAGAGCTCTGCTGTCACAGCGTGTCACGGAACCACAACTGTGTCCCTCTGATGTCCTGCACATTTTTGCTACAAACAAACAAGTCGCAGCACACAACTCTGCTACACTATCTCTGCTCCATTCTGATATCACCACCATTGATGCAGATGACTTTAAAAAGGACCCACACACTGGACACATGAAAAGACAAGGTGCACCATGTCATGGAAGCAGAAATGATCTACCTGATACACTAGATGTTGCAGTAGGTGCTAGAGTCATGCTCATCAGAAACATTGATGTGTCTCAAGGATTGGTGAACGGATCATTTGCTACGATAGGCCGTCTAATAACCTCTGAAAACAACAGTTCTACTCTTGTCACTATGCTTGGTCTCAGGATGGATGATGAAACAGCTGGCAGGAGCTATCGTACTAGAGGAGACAATCTTGTGTACATCGAGAGATCGGAGGAGGCTCTACAACAGAGAGGAGTGGTACGCAGACAGTTTCCTGTGAAACTTGCCTTTGCATGCACAATACACAAGGTTCAAGGTATGACCAGAAAATCTGCTGTTGTTTCTCTGAAGCACATTTTTGAGCCCGGCATGGCCTACGTAGCTATCAGTCGAGTGACCTCTCTCAGCGGACTGTACATGCTTGATTTGGATGAGAGTAAAATTCATGCTAACCCTGCAGTCACTGTATCTTTGGAGACCATGACACAAGCTAACTTTGATCACCTCATGCCTTTTCTCCAGATCCAGCATTCTCTCAGCAGACAGGACACTGTGAGCATCATTCATCACAACACCGAAGGATTACCTGCTCATGTGAATGACATCAAAAGCCATCATGAACTGTGTCTTGCTGATGTTTTGTGTCTGACAGAAACTCACCTACAGGGCTCCTTTGTGGCAGACAGTCTCCAGTTTGAGGGCTACACCATGTTCAAACGCAACAGACATTTGTCCTACACTAACTTTCCACAGATGGCCAGTAAAGGAGGTGGTGGAGTCGCTGTTTATGTGAAAAACCATTTGCAGGTTGTGGAGAAACAGTACCTGAATAATGTGACTGACCTTGAGTTTGTGGCTTTGAAGGTTGAATCTCCTGTAAGTGCTCTGATTGCAGCTGTGTACAGACCTCCAGACTACAGTGTGCCCTCATTCCTGTCCAATCTGGGAAGCCTTCTGGACTCACTTGAGATCATGGACTGTCATCCTATCATTGTCTGTGGCGACTTCAATGAGAATCTCTTTTCTAATGCAAGTAAGCCAATTTTGGATTTCTTTCAGTCCAAGGGATATGGTCAACTGATCACTGCTGCTACAACGGACAAGAACACACTGCTGGACCTGATCTTCATCTCACGACCTCAGCTATGTCTCTCCTCAGGTATCATGCAGACGTACTACAGTTACCACAACGCAACTTACTGTGTCATTTCATCCAACAGGTCATAGAGGAAACTGCTTTGAGGAAAAAGACAAACTACAGAGGCTATGGCTAATGTTCTGCTTATATTTTCAGTGCCCATTGAATTGTGTTTAGTGATTGTAAATTTTTCTAGTGAAAAAAACATTTTTATGGATCAGATTTTTTAGAAAGGAAACATTTTTCAGGTTGTACAGTTTTCAACTATTCAGATGTTATAAATGATCATTTTTGGCCTGTGCATTTATCAAGTCCAGTCAAGTCAAGTTAATCCATTTAACTTGACTTGACTGGACATAGGGAGGGTGGGTGAGGATTGATAAATGCACAGGCCAAAACTCTCAGCTGCTGTGTACAATAATGTATACAGCAGCAAAAATTAAAAACCTCCATCAGAAAGTGTGTGTTCCCTAATGAACACACACTTTCTGATGTTCTGTGACCTACCAGCTGAAACCCCCCTTTTCTCCACCCAACTTTACACCACTCTCTTAGCATGGGTGGCTGTAAGTACACTAGGGCAAACATAAGTTTCCTTTTTTTTTTTTTCTGTTGTATCTGTGATCTTTGACCTGACCTCCATTAGTACTGTCCTGACTAGCTCACTGTAAGCTTAAAAAATGTTTAAACCGTCAACCAGAAGTAAACACTTCACTCTGGACAACTCAAAGACTCAGTCTACCTGCTGCTCAACCCAGTTGTTGGTCAAAGGTGAAGAAGAGATGGCATCCTTCACACCGTCTCTTTGCTGCTTTCAACAGCCATTACACGCTGTACTGGAGCTGAAAAAATATTGCCGCACCCACCAGGACCCTTCTCTCATGGACTACACAAACGTGTGTTTGACCTGCCAGGGCTCCAGATGTCCTGGAGCAGCTCTTAAAGACCATCAGACACCAGGCTGGAGCAGAACTGTAGCACCTGTCACACAGTGGGCTCTTCTCTGCTAAATCTCCCAGAGATATGCCCGTCTTCAACAAAACCTGAGGTAATGTCTTGGTGAACTTGTGTTCATTTCTTTATTCCCAGTAATCTTATCTGCTGTATTATTGCTTGTGACGTCATTGTACAGCTCTGCTGGTATCATTGTCTTTAACAGCAGTGTTTTTTCTCAGGTCTTTTTCAAGCCAGTTAAGAGAGGAAGAACAGCTTAGACACTCAGGCAGCTGAACGCACCAAAGGTAGACATCATGCAGCCACCCTGAGCCTTGAGCCTCTCTGTGTGAGGAAGCTTTGCTGCTGCAGACCTGGTGAAGTGGCTCTGAAAAGAAATATTTAGCTCTGCAGCAGTGCTGAAGGTATTCATTGTAATTGTATGTGTATTTATTCAGCATGTTTAGTTTCATAGATTATCAACACAAATGTTTCAGTGTATTTCCTGTTTTGAACCAGCTACATTCTCCTACTTCAAATCAGTGTCTGTTCATCCACAGTGTAGCCAGTGCAGCTCAGCAGAGTCCTACTGATGGTGATCCTTAAGTCCTGCAGTCCTGTGAAGCAAGCTGCAGCAAATATCACATTCAGCTCATCAGTTCATCCTCATGGCAGCTTTAAACTTTCCCTGAGGTAACGCTGTATTTCCTTGCCCCATAACAACAATCTTTTTTGACCAACAAACAAAAGCACAGTATTACTGTTAGAACATGATTTTTGTTTTGATTACAAAGTTCAAGTGAAGGGGATTTTGTTTTGTTTTTTCAGGCCTCTCCTCCTCCTGCCTGACTCCAGTGATGCTGTCAACTCAAACACTGATAACTGCTCACAGCGATTCTACAACCACAGGTCAAAGGTTAAAACATCACCTCACTTTAAACCTTCACTCTGAACTGTAGCGGGCTCTGCTTTTGGTTTTGAACGAAAGTGCCCAGACAGAACACAGTACTCACTTGAGGAACTGACTGATTGTCTTCAGGACAGGACAACTATTACTCTTATACTGTTTTGAATTGTGGTTACTACATTGTGTGATCAGTTGTATCTGTTGATATTTTAAGTTTCCTTTGTGGGTTATTTTTTACTTTATTTTTTTCATTTTATCTTAGTGTTTCCTTTCCCTTTCACCATATATCTGTCCTCATATCAAAAGATGACCAACACTGATGAAGGGAAAAAATACCAGTTACTTAAGTTGCTGCAGGCACTTGAATTTGTCATGTTTTAATATGCTCACCATATCCCTCCAATTTACCTACAAGAGAGGACATGTTTTTAGGACAAAATTATGTACTTTGGGTTTTAGCTGGTAGGTACACTGAAGGTTTTTCACATGTGCTTAGTCCTGGGCTAATGTTTTGGACAGCAGTGATCCAAGCATTACAGTGTGAAACAATCCCTGCTGAAGGTTGTTGTCACAATCCTCAAAACCTAGGGCTTGGTTAAATGAGCTGTGTAAAGTGATTTCATAGAAGAACAACATTTTTATGCTTATCCTTAAGCCACTGTAATTCTCCACAGTAGATAATTTTTTGAGCAGAAACTGTCAATGTGAGGATGACCCAGCATTTCAGTAAGACTGAGCAGTCTGAATGTTTGGACAAGAAAACACTGGAAACAAAAATGATTGTCAGTCTGCTGCAATGAGCTGATGACAGTATTGGCCTTGGTCTAACTACTCTGTGAAAAGCCTTTTGGTAGTAAAGTGGACCAATACATGACATCAATGTATTTCAAGTTGTCAATTCTATTCTTTGAAATGACCATTTTAGATTTTTTTCCAAACTTTAATTTCATTGTTTTTCTAAATTATTTTGTATACATGAGAGGGCCCACACTTCACTGCAGTTGGCTTTAAAAATACTATAATGCCATACTGAAGTTATTAACCTTTCACCTTACCTTGCCTGTATATTTCCACAAGCCTGGATGACATTGCATTTTTGCACTTGCATTCTTTATCTAACCCTTTACATTATTTTAAACCAATTTCTGTTTATACTGCTTTACTTCACTGTACAGTAAACTGCTGAGTTATTTTTTCCACATTATTCCTCATGTTCCATTCCATAATTTTTGTGTTTCACATTTGTTGTTTTACTGTTGACTAATTGTAATAATTATAATTCAATTGTTCAAGGTTTTTCACATGTGCAAACTTAGCCTTAGGCTATTCTAAACCCTTAAAACATGTATAACAGTCCTGTATCAGACTTTGAAAACAAATTTCATGGTCTGTTTTTAAAGCCCACAACAGAGGACTTGGCTAAATGGGCCATGACAAATTTTATGAGCCAACTTTTGTTAAGGCTTAGTAATCTGAAAACACAAGAAAAGAGGTGAATGTGGGCCCAGGGCTGCTGGAGTTTGAATCCAGTAAGTAACAGGGTGTTAGCCTCAGTCTAACCACCATGTGAAGAGCCTTTAACAATTGAGCTAAACAATATCAGAAACCACTGAAATTGTGATACCTTTGTCCATCAACAATCACAGCAACTACAATATTGAAACTTCAAACTTAAAAGACAAAATGGACATGCACAGATTTTTGTTGTTTGCTCTTGATTTTTTTTAATTGATATTATCATCCTGGTATCAGGGGCAGCGGTGAGGACAGGCTGCAAAACAAACAAATAAATCAAGAAATTGGTCATGTAAACATGCTACTTAAAGGAGTATTGTAAATAAAACACTTCCTACTGACAGCCAGAGCTCAGCAAGCCAGCAACCCAGGGCTCCACAGGTGATGGCTGAAAGGGAAAGAATGTCATCTCCTTTACCAGACCATCAATGGCTGGATATAACACAGGCAGACAACAAAATGCCTTATCAGTTCATGTGGGGGAGATGTACATAAAATTGTACTGTTCGAAGCTGTGGAAGGAAGAGTGGCACAGAGGAAGGCATAATGTTGAGAGCGGGACACAGTTTTTCCAGGGCAGCAAAATTGACTGCCCCACGGAACTCCACGAAAGAGCAGAGACCCTGCTGCATCCGGCCTTGCCACAGGTAACACTCCATCATTGCTGGGAGCAGCAGGGCCTGATGTTGATAGAGGGAGAAGTTGAAGAGGTCAGTATTAGCTTCTATGGTACATCCATGGATCTGGGAAATTAAAAACATCACAAATAACAAGAAAAAAAAAAGATTTTCGGTTGTCTAAATAACCAAATACAGAATGTCCTCCTGTTTAGCTGTCTGCTTTTAAACTCAGAGGTTTAAAAAAAAGTTTAAACAGTCTTGGCGATGTCTACTGTGATCAGAGATGTCTACAATGTGCAGTTTCCATGCAGCCGTGACGCTCTTTTTGTTCCGTTTGGTTTTCACTATCGGGAGTTTGCGCTGCTACTAGCTATAGTACGGTAAATGAGCTCTCAGCCTGCAGGGGAAGTTTAGGAGCACAGACGCTCCAAAGCTCTCTGCTCGACCGGTGTTGCCAGGTTGGGCGGGTGTGAAGTCCCACTGCGTAATTCTACAGGACATTTCTCCCATTTTTCAGGTGTCATCCAGTAATGGAAAACTAGTTGACCGTTTTCCAGGACGCGAGGGAACCCTGAATTAGTTTGTTAGCGATGTTGAAAAACTACGTAATCACACCAATAACTTACTGAATTTAAAGCAAAATAACTCTTCCACACCTAAACCGTATCTTAACACATGGAAATATGTTTTAAAAATGATAATGTATAGTCAGACGCACCTTTAGCTCATGCACATGCGGTCCTCTTACCTCCGTAGACAATAAAATGATCTGCGCAGACTGCATGCGCAAAGGTCTCCTTCTTCAATGGGTAATTTTGGTGGTTGACGAACAAGAAATTGGCGTGTTAGGCCCATCAGCTGATGTGGAGTGAGGATCTCGACGCTTACTCAATCCTATAAAAAATTAATTAATTAATGCTATCTATTTCTTGCTCAGAACGTCTATTTCCCTCTAATATTGAAACAGTATTTAATAAGCTTTACTACCTGATCTTTGTCTCAGAATTTCTAAACTAAATTGTCTTTTAATTCTTTTTACGTTTATGGACAAAACTACTTCTTTCTTCTTCAACGTGATACGCGAATGCGAGAAAGGCCCCACGCCCCAAAATATCTCTCGACATACATAAAACATACATCAACGCCTTTGTTGCCTTTCATTAACAGAAAGGTACCAACAATTTTGTTTTGTCTGCCTGTCTACAGCCATCTACGGTGAGGGGCACTGAATTAATGGCAGGGAAGATTTCACTGGGTGGAAGTTTTGTTCTGACACTTTTGTACCCGGTCTCACATCTGACCCACCATCCATCATCCCCTCTACCACATATTTGGGAACATTACACACATTACCAATGCTAATAGGCTATTGTTTATTGTTGGAGAGCACTCCAACAACGACTGAACCCAGTACATGCACCGCAGTAGCAGAGAGTTTGCTGACACACCTCGCGGGTACACATCATTAACCACCATATGCACAATATGAACCTTCATTCACCAAGCAGCGTGAGCAACAGCAACTGACCAAGTTTTTCCTTTTTAATGAGCGCAAGCAAGGTCAATGTCACTTAATTTATATTTCAAGACTGCGAAAAATACCCGCACCTAATTGATGCACGTAATTGAGAGAGCGCAAAACGCTTGGTTACCTCTCAGGCTGCTCACGAGCCCAACAGAGCTACGATTTCCAAGCCCTCTGACCAAGTGAAGAACTCAATCTTTAGCATATCAGCAAAAACACGAGAGCTCGGCTATGCGTCAGAGGCAAATACAAAGCACACTGTCCGCTCTTATAATGTCCTTTAAGCCCTCTCACAAATAACCATGCCCCCTGGACATCAGTAAAGTACATTTTGACCTTAAGACCAGGGGCCTTATTTATCAAACGTGCCTAGGAAAGGTTCTAAATTGTGGCGTAGGAATGAAATTTAGAATGTGCATAGATACAAAAAAATCCGTATTTGTTAAACGTGTGGACACCGGTCGTACGCACACACCTAAGTAATCGGTGATGATAAATCCCACCTGTTCTTAACTACCGTGCTCGTGCATGGTTAGGGTCATTTGCATTCAGGAACGCCTCCAATTGACCATATATGGCATCAGCAATCCCTTTAAAAATGCGTGAATGAATGTTTTTCCTCCTCCTGGAGGTGCACACTCACAGAGCTGCTCTGCAGAATGAATGAGTCGTGCGTTCCTTCAGGCCACCGGGCAACAACGTTTAACAGAATCAAATGTGTATCGAAGATTATTTGTGCATTGATTGAATGAATCCTTTTCCTGTTGACGAATCTGAATTTATTGTGTGAAGGTGCGCTTGTTGCGATGTGGGTGTAATCTATGGCTTCGATTATGTTTGGGAGTCCGCCGATGGCGTGAAATCCTCGTTTTATTTCGGCTTGTTGCTGATGTGTGTTTGGGAACTGGATGTAAATTGAGGTCACAGAAATTATTACATCCAACTCTGCCAGCATGATTCTGCTTAGCGTTGGCTGCGAAATATCGCATATGTCTCCAATCTCACGCTGAAATGTTCGGGTTAGAGTGGACAGGAGCTGGATGTGCGCTGGGATGGTTTTGGTGCGTTTTGTCTCTCAATCCAGCACGGGTAGTAAATCACGGCGTAAATACATTAAAATGTTTTGGGGAAGCGGTACCTGCTGAGAATCCACTCTGAGTTCTCACTGAACAGATCAGCACGGTCTGTCAAACGCGCTCCCTGCGGAGGAGCAGATGCTTCTTCAAGTCCTCAAATAGCGCAAAATAAACCATGATACTTGTATTTTTACTTGTATGACTTCTTTTGAGGTTGTCCTGTCACAGCAAATTTTATAGCTTGTCTCACCAATCATTCAAAATGTCTGCTAAATTACTAATTGATAAATTTTGTATAGCGGCAACGGGAACATGTGTGAAGTTTGAGATTGCGGAGCGCTGTGACTCCTTTAATGGGTTCTATTTGTAGTTTTACTGTCCTACCACTAGGTTTTGTGTGTGCGCATGGTCAGGGTTGTGCTTAAATTTACGCACATTCCTAAGCACAAGTACAGGTTGATAAATTCCAGACTTTGCGTGGGGATGTTCGTACGCACTCTTTACGCACACATCTATGCAAACGCACGGTTGATAAATGAGGCCCCAGGTTTTCTGATGGTGTGAGGCGCAGAAACGAAATGCTTCCTCCAGTTAGCAAGGCGCCTTTGCGCGCCACCACCACATCCAAGGTTCACCTGCTATTTACACAGAGCGTGGGATCTGGGCGTGAAAACTGGAGTGCAGCAGGTGAAAAATAACAATAACACTTCCGCTGCAAGTCAAATTACTTTATGCCGAGTGCACGATAGGGCCATAATGCTGTAGGTCGACACATTTTTGTTTACAGCACAGCAGGTACACCATGACTCATCCAGTGCATCATGATAGATTAAAACATTTTTCTGACCTCAACCATACAGGCTTGACCTTAATTAATTGCCGTCCTGACAACTATGACAAAAAAAATCCAGCTTTAATCCAGGATCTCAGGGACGGCCGCCCATTCTCAGCACAGGCACCTGTGCTTGATTTCATTCTTCAGAACTGCCAGTCTCAGCGAGAGGAGACGGTAGTCATTCATTAATGCTGCATTCAAGTTCCCCTCGGCCAAACTCACAGGATATTTTTCATTACCGTTTCATTACGTCTACAGTAGAAGACATTCACACAGTTATAGCGCTTAAGGATTTGATACCGTCATATTGATCTAATTCATGGAGCAATTAACGTCTGAAAGAATCATTCCATATTTTTCAGCAGCAACACTGTAGGTTGAAGCAACACCGAAACAGTGAAACTATCGCTCTAATGTAAACAATGCATATCACTTATTATAATCCACAATGTCAATATGTAGATTTTCTCAAACTGATAACAAGATGCGCAAGAACAAACTGGCACATCAGTAGCGCCCAAGCTAGCCAGAGTTAATAATTTACATGTCTTTCAGCCCAGAAATCTTTTATGTTTGCCAGAAAAGGCAGAAGGAGAACGACGAACGAGGAACATAGTTCATATTGCACCTGTCAAAAATACCCACTCGTGTGATATGAGAAGATTATGTGATATGTCTATTAATGCAGAACTGTCGTCTGTCTGTATGTGTTTCAGGTTCGCGCATGATGCAATGCAGTTGTTTTTTTAGCAGTTCTGACTGTCCACGAGAAATTTCCCTGCGCGGACAATAAAGTTTTATTGAATTGAATTGAATTGTTTTTAAAGTAAACCACTGGCGCCCAAAACGTCAGAGCAGTAGAAGACATTCAACTGAACAGACGCAGACAACGACATCTCAAGTGGGTAAAACAAATATAAAGAGATAGCTTACTTCAAGTTCGATAAATTTTGTGGCATAAATTTCGTTTTTGTTTTGTTTGAAATAAGTTTACAGGTGTAATTTGGTTGTTATGTTAGGGAAAGAAGGTGTGTAACATTCTACCGGTGTATCATTCTACCGGCAAGGTATACACCTAGCATGAACGAGGAACATAGAGTTCATACCTTTCCAGTCAAAATTTTGGACAATTTCTCATTCAGTGGTTTAATTTTTAAAAACTTTGATTCATTTAACATTACTGACTAATGTTGAACATATTCAAATTCAAAATTAAGGAAAATGGCGAATATATTTCAAGCTCCAAACGACAAATTTTGAAAATGAAGCCCTTTGATGTTTCACCGCTGACGGGATTGAGACGTGCACGTGCACTCGAATAAGGCGGGTTGAGATCAATCAGTAAATGCCGCCCATTCTCAGCACAGGCACCTGTGCTTGATTTCATTCTTCAGAACTGCCAGTCTCAGCGAGGGGAGACGGTAGTCATTCATTAATGCTGCATTCAAGTTCCCCTCGGCCAAACTCACAGGATATTTTTCATTACCGTTTCATTACGTCTACAGTAGAAGACATTCACATATTTAGCGCTTAAGGACGACGAAGAAATTAACACTCACTGAAACAAATATAAAGAAATTCTTCATTTTCGTTTATTTTGTGTCATAAATTCTGTTTTTAATTTGTTTGAAATTAGTTTTCTGGTATAATTTGGTTGGGGAGGGCAGCTTTTTACTATTATATCAGTAGCTTAAGGTATCGGCTAAGCTAAAACGAACGAGGAACATAGAGTGTGGGGTGACCAGATGTCCGCGATATCCGGGGACCGGGGTCCCCGTTTTGGCTGTCCTGTCCCCGGCTGAAGCTGTCGTCGGAAATGTCCTCGATTTGAGCGTTTCATGAATGACCAAAAAGTGTTGCGTGTAGACTACAACAAAGGTTATTACGGTAGGAGGATAGGTAGGAAACGCGAGTGCGCATGTAGCGCGCAGTCCTGACCAACAGTCGTTACGGGGGCGCGCGCTACTACCAAGTAGTCATGAACACCCCCCCACCCCCCACTCTGCCCTCTCTGAATCGATTACACACCGCCGTAGAGATCGGTGCTCTCCAGGAGTAGAGGACACAAAATAAAATTTTACTTTGCAACTTCTTATTCAAAGGTTTTATTTCTATTGTTCTTTAAAATATTGTACATTAATACTAAACGTATTTCAACCATTAATTAATTAATTAATTAAGAAAGGGAGGGATGGGGATAGAGAGGGAAGGGGGGAGGGAGGAAGTGGGAGAGAGAGGGGAAATGGGGAGAGAGGGATGGGGGAAGGGGAGAAGTGGTGAAGGGGGAGGGAGAGGGAAGAGGGGTGGGGGGAGGGATGGGAGAAGGTGGGAGAGAGGGGGATGGGAGAAGGGGAGAGAGAGGAAGGGAGTGGGAAGAGGGGAGGGGAGGGGAGAGAGACGACAGGAGGGAGAGAGAGGGATGGGAGAAGGGAAGAGATAGGAAAGGGGGGAGAGAGAGGGATAGGAGAAGGGGAAAGGTGATGGGAGAAGGGGCGAGAGAGGAAAGGGGAGAGAGAGAGGGATGGGAGAAGGGGGAGAGAGGGAAGAGGGGTTTGGAGAAGGGGAGAGAGGGAAAAAATAAACAAGATACAAGATACAAAAATAACTAGACAGCTATGATAAGTGATTGAGATTCCCTCACAAAAATTACACTTTTTGGAGCTGTGGCAGGGAGAGTGGGGGGGGGGGGGGGCAATGGGAGAAGGGAAGACAGAGGAAAGAGGGAAGAGAGAGGGATGGGAGAAAGGGAGAGAGAGGGAAGGGGGAATGAGAGAAGGGGAGAGAGGAAAGGAGGGAGAGACGGATGGGAGAAGGGGAAAGAGAGGAAAGGGGGCGAGAGGGAAGGTGGGTCTGGTTGACAAATAAAATGACAGGAAATACTGAACATGTTTAACCTTTTTTGTTGCAGAATGGCACTGAGGAAACTGTTGGACACACGGCCAGCCTCCCCCTACGTCAAGCTCCCGCCGCTCCATGTGATTTTTTAAAAAATTGAGGACTCCCCCAAAGTGGTGGCGTGGAATTTTGAGGAGTCCACCGCAACCCCAACCTGCATCAAAAATAATAAAACAGCTATAATCAGTGATGGAAATTCCATCACAAAAGTCACTCTGTTTGAAGCTGTAGCAGCGAAAGTGGAAGAAGGGGGGACATATTTCATGCGGGGCCACACCCTGTTTGGAAAGTCCCCTCCTTTTACTATTAATGTAGGGAGCGGGACTCAATTTTTCCGGGGCAGCAAAATTGACTGCCCCGGAGAACTCTACATAAGAGCTGAGGGCCTGCTGCACCCTGCCTCACCTCTGGTGGACCTCTGTTATTGCTGGGAGCAGCAGGGCCTGATGTCCATCGAGGGAGTGGTTGTTGAGGTCAGAATGAGCTCCTATGGTACAGCCATGGATCTAGGAAATTAAAAACATCACAAATAACAAGAAAAAAAGATGGCATTTTCAAGTATACAAATTACTAATACAGAATTTCCTTCCGTTTAGCTGTCTGCAGTGAGAAAAGCGGAGTCTGGTAAAGAGGCTGTGCCAATCAGAAAGATTGTCCTGCAGCAGGTAACTGCAGCTGCGAAAATTTTTGGTACACTTCTGTTCTAGAAAGAATAAGTCACATAAGTCACTAAAAGAACCTGAAAATGAGATAAGTAATAGTGAATAAAAGATCAATAAAAGTGTCTGTGTATATACGGTATCTCACAAGAGTGAGTAGACCCCTCACTTTTCTGCAAATATTTAATTAGATCTTTTAATGGGATATAACTAAAGAAATGACACTTTGATACCACGTATAGACGTCAGTGTACAGCTTGTGTAACATTGTAAAATTACAGTGCCCTCAAAATAACTCAACACAGAGCCATTAATGTGTACACCCCTGGCAACAAAAGTCTGAGCACTGACAGTCTAACCCCCCACCCCTTCAATTCCTGCAGCAATGCTAGCAGCACTCAAATGTCTATTTTCCAAAGACAACCTCTGGATATGACACTGAGCACATGCACTCAACCTCTTAGGTCGACCGTGGTGAGGTTCTGAGTGGAACCTGTCCCATTTAACAGCTGTATGGTCTTGGCCACTGTGCTGCAGCTCAGCTTCAGGGTGGTGGCAATCTTCTTATAGCCTAGGCCAACTTCATGTAGAGCCACAATTCTGTTTTTAGATCCTCAGAATTCTTTGCCATAAGGTGCGATGGTAAACTTCCAGTGACCAGTATGAGAGGGTGTGGGACAGATAATACCAAATTTAACACAGCTGCACCCAATTCACACCTGAAAGCTAGTATTACTAACAAGAGACATGACACCGGGGAGGGAAAATGGCTAATTGGGCCCCAACACTGTTACACAAGCTGTACTCTGACTAATGCACATTGTGTCAAAGTGTCATCTCTTCAGTTTTGTGCCATGAAAATATATATTTGCAGAAATGTGAGGGGTCTATTTGCTTTTGTGAGATACTGTATACTATTAACATTTACATAATGTATGAATCATGATGAAAGAACACTTGAATTAATGCAGATGTGTCAATTTGCCTTTTTCTTACTTCACACTAATGAGCCTGTCACTTTGAATTCACGCGATTAGTTTACACTCAATAGATCATCGAATGATGCTGATTTACAGTAAATTCATACATGCGTTGATGTGACTACATAAGCTTGATATCAAATTTCCCCTTGGGGATCAATTAAGTTTTTATCTTTCTCATAAATTAATGCTTAGTTTAGCACCATGCATCTGCTCAGCCCTTCAGGTTTAAATGAGACAAGAGCCTGTGGTATTTTTAGTGTTACATGTATTGTGACTACAGACAATAAGGTGTTCCCTTACGTTTTACAGGACAAATCTACCATTAAGGTCTCTTTTTGGAGGGAGGCAGCCACACAACCCCTCGTCGTTGGGGAGACCATCCGAGTGACCCATGTAAAGTCCATTAAAACGGAATATGGGGTTCAGGTCAACACGACCAATTTTACGAAAATTGAGGTAATTTGTTGTTGTCATTATTTTCAGGTAAATGCACTATTTGAAAATATAACTTCCATTATCCCCTACAATTGGTAGTTTACAGAATCACAATAAAGGAACTAGGTTTTATAACTATTTAATTAACTAAAAAATGACTTAAAGATATACACACACAGACAAAATTGTTGGCACCCTTATGTTTAAGACAGACAAACTCACATATAGTCACACAGAAAAGTATTTGCCCCTGTCTGATTTCTTATATCAATGCACATTAAAGTCAAAGATAACTACAGTAAATATAACATGCAGTTTACAAATGATTTTATTTAAGGAGAAAAGAAAGTGATCCATACCTACCTGACCCTATATGGAAAAGTAATTACCCCCTCTTGTCAAATCACAAATTAACTGTGGTAAACCTTTTTTTTTTCTTTAAAAACTGAGTGAAATTTCAATATTAATACCCAGACCTGATTACTGCTAGACCTGATGAAATCACTTTAAAAGAACCTGTCTTAACTAGAGGAGTGTAAAAGATGTCAAAAAGAAGCACAATATGTTGTGGTCTGAAGAAAAAATTCAAGAGCAGATGAGAAAAGAATCATTGTCACCTTCAATACATATCATTCTTGAGAGTTTTTAGCTGTAATTTTGGTCATTGTCCTTTTTGAGGACCACGAAGGACAAAATACTACAAAGTTCTGATCTCAATACTATTGAACATCTGTGGAGGGAGCTGAAACATGCAGTGGTGTCAGATTTAAAGGGTGTCATCTCCAGACAGCAACAGTTTGCTCACCAGGAGTGGGCCAAAACACCTGTGGACAGGTGCACAGGTCTCTCTGAGAGTTGTAGAAATCGCTTAATGGAAGTTATTGCTTAAAAAGGTTGCGCAACATAGTATAAAGTTAAAGGAACCATCAATTTTGTCCAGGCCAGTTTTGTTGATTTTTTTTGTTTTAAAGTGTGTTTAAATGTGTCAGTTTCATGCATTTACTTTTTAAAAATTGTTCTGCTAAACCAAAATTCAAATCCAATAACACAATTTCATTAGTTAATTTTCTGTTTATTATGTTTCATTCTTACTTCTGTTAGTTTCAAGTCATTTTTGTGAGCTTTATTAGTTTAGTTTTCTTTAACAGAAAGGTACCAACAACTTTCTCTGCCTGTGTATAGACATCGACATCTATTTGAGGGGCACTGAATTAATGGCAGGGAAGATTTCTGTGGATGGAAGTTTTGAATTGACACTTTTGTACCCGGTCTCACACCTGAACCACGTCCTCTAGCGCCAGGATAGGCAGGGCTTCAGGACAATAATACTCACAATATTTAGTTGAATTAATATTGGACCATTGTTCCAAAAAATACAAAATAAAAACACAATCCTAATAATCTAATTCCTTACCTGTGTTTGCTTAATTTGTAAACAGAGGCGTGAGTCAAGCCAGGACATGGACATCATCGGTGTCCTCAAGGAGGAAGGGGTCATGTCGACCAGCAACCCTCCAGTTCCCATGTTTGAGGTCCTGCTTCAAAGTGGGGAGACTTGCCACATCAAGGAGGCTTTGTGGGAGCCCTCTTTCGATGATGCCATCAGCCAGGGCACACTGAAAGTTGTGGTATCAGTCACGGGGAAGACCATCACTTCAATTAAAATGAAATTAATAAATGTTAATTAGTTCTGTTTTAATTAGTTTAATATTTCAAATACACACACACAAAAATGAATCGAAATACTGTAAATAGTTTTTTTGTCACGCACGCACGCACACACACAAAACACCCACACACACACACACATATTGTTCCTGAATTTGTTGAAGTTGTTTAAAATATGTTAAATAAAGTGGTTTGCTTCAGAGACATATCTTTTGAGAACATTTTTTTTTTCATTTCTGCATAGTGTTACATTACAATTAGCCTTCAAAACAGTGTATTTCGTTTGATAACAGGTGGTATGTTCGAGGCTACATTTAGCTTGTTAGCGATGTTGAAAAAAAAGTACCTTATTAAATCACATCTCACAGACCTTAGAGTAAAATAACTCTTTCTTACATTAACTATAGCTAAACACATGGCAATATGAAAAAACATTTGATAATGTATAATCAGACGCACCTGCAGCTCATGCACAAGTGGTCCTGTCACCTCCGCGTTCGATGAAATGACCTGCGCAGACTGCATGCGCAAAGGTCTTGTTCTTCTTCATTGGTTTAGGGAAAAAAAAAAAAAATTGATGCCAAATTAGCGCCCCCAACTGATGTGGAGTGAGAACCTCGACGCTTCCTCAAGCTCATCAAGTAAATAAATAAATGAATACATAATGGATTGTTTGTGGCGACTTTTACACGTTTGTTTCTGGAATGACAAGTGTTTTGTCTCGTGCACTGTTTTGTGGATGTCTAACTGCAATTGCCCTCCTGTCAAGTTAAAGTCCCACTCAAAACTTTTTTTATTTTATTTTATTTTTTACTCGTTAAAGTGGTCATCGAGGTCCTTAAATTGCGATTATTCTGTTTTTAGCCAAAATCACGTTACCTTTGTAATTATCTGCAGGGCTCCAGGTGAAATTCGCTTCTGAGTTGTTGGTGGAGACAGCGCTGCTCTGCACCCCCCTCTTCACACTAGCTTATAGCCCAACTTTACCGGTGTTGCAGAAGTGGCAGGCAATGTAGGAAATATTCAGCTCTGGGACACTAATGTCTTTGGGGACATGATCAAAAATCATCAGTGGCGATTTTGGTCTGGAAATTCTGGTGGGGTCATGGAGGAAAATCTCATAATGCAGTCCAGAAATACCAGATATTAATCTCATACCCTCACAACAAAAACACAGCAGGGAGAGAGGGGACCAGAGCACCTTTGACGACAAAACTGCAGCTGAATAATGACATCACAGAATGTCCATCTGGCCATCCGTTTCTGCTCTTACCCTGTCTGTTCGTCTGATCCCTGGCAATCTATCTCACCTTCCGTCCCTGATACCGAGCTGACTGTCTGTGACAATAATAAAAACACAATGGCGTGAACTGTTGTCTGCACACCCAACTACTCAGATTGTCTGTTCCCTGGCTGTTGTTCATCTGTCGGAAATGACATGTCATCTCTGTGTGTTCTGGAGACTTGGTTCCCAGCTTACATTCCAGCATCGATGGGTTCAGCGCTCTAATCAGTCTTAAGCTACTGCTTGTAAATTCTGTGTGACTGTGTGGCCCATAAGTAACGCTGCGCACTTTCCCGCAGGAGATAGGGGTACGAGTCCCGGAGGCATTTATGCAATCGCTTTGTGTTTTGTATTCTGCAAAGACTGTTGAACATCAATTTACCTGTTTGCATCTGGGTCCTTAAACGTGCAACACTAAAAGTCATAAGCATTGGTGTTTATTTCACCAGTCTTTTTTGTTTAAATTTATTTTTCACACTTTATATCATTACAAATAATTCTCTCTTTTACTGCCATGAAAGTTGTGTTCCAGCAGCTGTTGTAGACAATTACAGCTGAGTCTCCATCACAAATACAAATTCTGGTGCCTCATCAGCCGACTATCTGCATGACACCCTGCAATCCAAACACCAAGAAAAAGACAATGTGGAGAGGTGCACAGAGATGTCACACTGATCACTTTGGGTCACAACAACAACTACTTCTCCTTTTAACTTAAGCTATTCTCCAACTTCCACAATCATACACCTTCTACCTTTTCTTCCTTTTTACCTCCTTCAGCAGTTTTAACATTTATACTTTTCTCCTTTTTTTTTTGCATGGCTATTTCAGTGATCAGCATTTCCACGCATTTTCTGCAAGGAAATGCAACTTTTCTAGTTAAGTGGAAATGCTGATTAAGCATTTCCACTTATTGTTATTCTCCTGTTTCTTTATTATTAAGTGGAAATGCTGATTAAGCATTTCCACTTATTGTTATTCTCCTGTTTCTTTATTATTAAACTTATTATTATTCTTCCGTCCCTTTTTTGGACCGCTTCTCCTCCTTCAAACTTTGTCCGATTTCAACCGTTCAAACTTTAAACTATTCCACTCCTTCAGGACATGATGGCGTCTATTTTTTTTCTTTCTACCCTTTATACTTTTTGTTTTTTTTAACTTTTTGTGCAAAAATTTTAACATTGAAGTCAATGGGGAAATCTTCAACTTCTTCCTTTCATTCTTCCACCTTCTAGACCTTATAACTTCAGCATACTTTCACCTAGAGACCTCATTTTTGCTTTAAAATGTTCATTCACTTGTCGACTATTATAGTTGTACTCAGTTTTTTGATATCTTTTACAGTTTTTCCACAATTTAGCTTTAAGCAACTTGTGGTTTTCAGCAAATTTCAAGCTTTATAATGGGTGTGTATTGGAGAGTTTAGAGTGATGATGTCATCAGCTAGAGTGCAGACCTCGTCTCTGATCGACAGAACCTCGCTCGAATATATCGCTCCCACGCCCACAAATCTCACTCCACTGACACAAATAATACATCAAAATGGAGGTATATGTGTCCTGCTTCTCACAAAAGAGGTTTCAATTCATTAAATCGTACCCTTTGGCCAGCAGGTGACCAACTGTCCAAAAAGGCAGAAATCTCTCCCATTGACTGTAATGTTATTTTTCTCCAAGAAAATCCGGATCATCGCTCAGGCTCAGACTTTTTTAACTCGCTGTTGTGGCCTCATTTTTCGAAGTACAGACATGAAAAACACATCATTGTGTTCATGAAGGACGGAGGATTCGTACGATGTTCTTATTTTCATTCTGGGACTTAAGGAAATCGTGCTATGTGAAGAAGTTCAGAACCTTAAATTCACTGCAGTTCAGCAGCCTCTCCATTCAAACAATAGGTCAGTTCATGGCTTTGATCTTACAGCTGTTTAGGATGCAATCATTAACGAGACACACACACACACACACACACACACACATTCTTGTACTTGTTGCTTTGTGAGGTCTACCTTGCAGTTCAGCTGCTTGTACACACCGTTAATATGTGTCTGCTTCACCACCTATCTCCACCTACAAACTTTGAGCTACAGAAACCATTCTGGGCTTCAAAAATTCAGCTCATTGAAGATATTATGGGGTGTTTTAAGGATTGTGATAATAAATTGTATTAATGTCTTCAGCAGAGTCTTGTGGTTCTCACAACCTCCTTATCATGAATATAGCTGTTACAGAGGATGAGCATAGTCTGGGATTTTGTTTCTCAGCTTCAAGGCTCCTTTCTCCTGCATCTATGGTCCCCATAGCAACCAATTAGTGCACCTGGAGACACACAGCTGACTGAAAAGCTGCTTCTAACGGCCATTTGAGGCACATGAAGCCAGGCTCAGTATACAGAGCACTGAGTGTTACATTTAAAACCCTTCACCAGAGCACCTGAAAAAGATTAAGCCCCTATCTCCTCCCACAAACTTTGACCTATAGAAACCATTCAGGGCTCCAAGAATTCGGCTCATTGAGGACATTATGGGGTGTATTTAGGATTTTTATTCATTTACATATTTCAATTTTTAAGGTCACTCAGTGATGATTCATTATTTAATTTGTAAACTAATTTAAACTCATTCATACCTTTCTGATATTTAAAATCTTAATGATTCTTGAGGATTTTTGATTATTTAACTTTTCCCAGTTTAAATTAGTTTAAATATTTATGCATTATTCCATCCTTCAAACAAAATCCCACCTCTAGAGCTACAACTACTGCTAATGTCAATTAAAGTACTTTCCCCTCTACTTCAACTGCTATTGCTCCTATTTCTACTTTCTCTACTACTGCTATTGCTACTATTTCTACTTTCTCTACTACTTTACTGATACTTCTTTTATTCTCAAACTACTTCTACTGCTTACATGACTACTAGTATCACGACTTGACTTCTCATCATACTACTTCTAGTACTACAACTTAAACTTATGCCACTTCTCACCTTCCTGCCTTTTAAGGCAATTTCCTTCTTCATTCAAACTTGCTTGTACACACAGTTAATATGTGTCTGCTTCACCACCTATCTCCACCCACAAACTTTGAGCTACAGAAACCATTCTGGGCTTCAAAAATTCAGCTCATTGGAGATATTATGGGGTGTTTTGAGGATTGTGATAATAAATTGTATTAATGTGTTCAGCAGAGTCTTGTGGCTCTCACAACCTCCTTGGCATGAATATAGCTGTTACAGAGGATGAGCATAGTCTGGAAGTTTGTTTCTCAGCTTCAAGGCTCCTTTCTCCTGCATCTACGGTCCCCATAGCAACCAATTAGTGCACCTGGAGACACACAGCTGACTGGAAAGCTGCTTCTAACAGACATATGAGACACATGAAGCCAGGCTCAGTACACAGCATATTGGTGATTCATACTGCCACTGAAGTTTAACTTTGATCATGTGTGTGCAGTACTGTCTTTGTGTCTATAAGAGCTACTCGCACACACACACCACTTCTAATTGTAACATCTCTTTTAGTAGTACTCCACTTTTACTACATATACTACTAACATTTATACCACCAGTACTTCTACCACTTCTAAAACTACTACGACCACTTATTCGACTACAGCTACCACTTCCACTACTACTACCACCACTTCAACTACTACTACTATGACTAGCTCTACAACTGCAACTTGTATCCCTCTACATCTCCTTCTATTCTTTTTCTTTAAACATAACTTTCTTTATTTGAAGTAATTACACAGACAGCAACATGTCAGTACAATTTGACAGAGATCTCCACTCTATCCTTTTCCCCAGTTTTTTATCCCTCCCACATCTCCTTCTATTCTAAACCCACTATAAGTACTATGACAAGTACTAACGCTAATATGACTACTTCTATCACTTCTACCACTATTCATTTTACTACTACTACTACTACTACCACTAAAACTTCTACAACTTCTTACTCAAATCCTCCTAGGTTTTTTTTTAGGTCCTATCAGTTGTATTTTTGCTGTCATTTTCACATTCATTATGCTGGTATGACAATAATTTTTTTGCTGTTAATTTTTTAATGAATTTCTATTTCCCACAATGTGTGGATTAAGTTAACCACTGTGTTAACCACCTTGTCGAGTGAAGTGTGAAATTTCCGAGTGTCCCTGAACGCCTCAAACATTTCTACCGGGACTCCGCCTTGGCTCGCGCTATCCTGCTGCATCTTACAGAAGGGTGAGTCAGAGCTGAGTCTCTGTCAACGTCTAAACGTTAAAAAATGGGATTTAACCTGTCAAAATGGCACTGGTTTGAGTTATAATCGATGAAGAGTTCATTCATGATTGAAGTGGTCGAGATGTTGACTTGAAAAAGCTTATGCTAACAGTGTTAGCGTCGAGCTAGCGGAGTTAGCACCGAGCTAGCGGAGTTAGCGTCAAGCTAGCGGAGTTAGCGTCGAGCTAACGCTAAAGCTAACATTCCGTCATTTATGGGGCTGAATCATTAGCCAGCTGAGAAATGCACAAAATAATGTGATGTGCAGTTTGTAGAGTTTACTGACATTTGGACTGTAGGGGATACTAATATTGTCAAGTATTAACTTACTACTGAAGCTAGCGCTGTTGCTACAGGTAGTAGACAGACAGTTCATCACTGTGACTGAGTCATAGCTGGGGAATTGGTCTGGAGACGTCAGCTGTTTAGCTCCTGGTCACTTTTTATCAGCCATTGTAGATGTATTAAAATATAGGCTGCATTTAGCAAGCATCCAGTTATAACACAAATGTGAGTGGTTTTTCTTGTTTTATGTGTCAGAATGACACTAGATGGTCCTCTATTATTGAAGGTGTTATTCATGATGGGGTTGATAGAGATATTTACATTGCAAAACATAAAATTAATTCAGTATTTAATGTTTAACAATACGAAGTTCCAAATAATAAATATATTCCAGTTGAATTTCCATTTAGGGATCTATAAAGTTCTTATCTTAATATTGAGTTGATGGATGGAGAGTTAGCTGCCTTGAAGTTGGTGAACCGACTCCTGGGCTGTCTCTGTCTCACTGGCTGCTGCTGTACCTCACATTATACTGTACCTAATTTACCTTTGATCACAAGCTGTTAATTTGGATATTGGTGATGTGCTAACACCACAGCAAAGATATTTTATCTGAGGGATAAATACTTTAATACAGTATATATTATGGGACATTTTCAGCTGCAGCTAACAGCCAAGTGATCTGTTGGAGCTGTTTAGTTTTCAATTAGCCCAAGTACTGTAATAATGTTAGTTTTCTTTACAGGCCAGTTGTTTTTAGTGTGCTATCTGTCAGAAAACACTAATGTATTGTTTCTTGTCTCAAACAAACAGAAGATACATCCACTCCAGTGCACTTGTTGGTAAGTATAAGTGTTTTAAGCAAGACTGACAACAAACAAAATAAGAATAACTCGATTAATGTTGAGCTTAATCCTGTTAAACAACGTGATATTCTAGATAATGTACAACATATGATGCATTTTTCAAATACTGAGTTTAAATTGATATGAAATGTTTATTTTTCTGTAACACTGTTGTATATCCTATATGAAAATCATAGATGGGATACAGTTTTTTCCTAGTAGAAAATAATGTGCTTACAATATTACAACAGTACTAAATTATTTTTTGTAAACATTTTAATTTGCTGGGAAATGCTGAATCTTGATTTTGACAATAATAAAGTGGGAAAATCATTCAGGAAAAATGTCTTTAAATGAAGTGAGCTGTGAGGGAGGTTCTTTTGAGTGTGTTAAAAATCTTTTTTCCTCCCTCTCCCCCTCCTCCTGCCTCATCTTGTCCTTTGACCTCCTGCCCTATCAACTCTGAAGTGTAAGTTCACACTTGTATACTTATTAAGCAATCAATTAAGTGTTGCATTTTTGCTCTGCAGTTTATAATGACATTTCACTGTTTTGTATTTCACCTCAATAACATACATAACAAAGTAAAGAGAGGGCCTTCGTGCATTTTCTCTCCATCTTAAACATTTTTTACAGGCCAAGGGAGCTGCAGTAACATCCTTTTACTAATCAAGGGCTACCGATTGTAGACTTTGATAAGAAATGAGAAAACTAATGATCCACACTGAAAAGCGGTGTGATTACAGTAAACTATGAGTTACTGATTTTTTTTGCAACTAAATTTATTTACTTTTTGTCCCTGTCTTTTCTCTCCTGAACTCAACGCTATGTCTACTGCTGGCCCTGTTCACTGTTGGCGACTCAGCTGTAAGTTCACAAATAAAGTAACTTTAAAATATATTTTTACTGTTACTTTTCACAACACATTATCTAAAAACCTGACCTAAATAACACTTTATTTTAACTAATGCAGAAACAAATGGAAATAATTTTGCTGGCTGATCACTGTTGGAATTACAATGCAGTGAGATGTGCTGGTTTTGTACAATTAAAATAAAAATCTCTTGTCACTGTTTTTCCATTTTCCTTCTTGCCAACTCTATCCTGTCTCCAAGTGCAGACCGCTTTGTGGCGACTCGACGTAAGTTCACACAGGAATGACATTTTCATGAATAATACAGTGTGCCTTTATTCAACACATTATGGACCCCTCATCATGTACTAACTTGACGATTTTTTCCCTTTGATTATGTAATATTCACAGTTGGACATGAACAGCTTGAATGTTATATGCAATACACTTATTTGCATTTTATTTCCAATCATTGGAAAGCAATTTGTTACTATTAAATTGTGGAGTTGTAATTTTTTTAATGATGAATATCCAAATAGTTACTTATCATTGTGATTCCTTACGTTGTGATTACTTCGTTGGAAAACTTAAAACACAGTAAAGGAAATTACATTTCCTAAAATACATTATTATTTTATTAGCATAGTAATCCATTGTTATTATTGCTTAACAGGACATGGTTATGAACATTATAAAGGGAACTTTAGATGATTTCTAAGAGTCTAAAATTTTTTTGTAAAAAAAAATTCTTCTCTTTTTGTAAAATACTTTGAGGTCCTAAATTTAAAAAGCTGGCTATGTGGTTGGATTCAAGTTGGACTCAGTGTAGGATGTGGTAGAGAGATGTACGCTGAGAAGGTGGAGACTATTTTAAAGAACATGGATTACCCACTTCATAACACCTTGATGGACCAAAGGGCCTAAGGTGGTGGACGGCTCCTCTCTCTTCGCTGCAGGACAAAAAGATTCAGAAGGTCTTTTGTACCCACAGCCATCAGACTTTACAATTCTTTTAAAAATAGTAGATGACTTTTGGAGATATGACAAATGAGACTACAATCAAATTTCCCTTCAGGGAAATAATAAATAAATAATAATAATAATAAATAATAATTTCCCTTCAGGGAAATAATAAAGTTCTCCTTACCTTAAATACATTTTTAATAAAATACGAGTGTATGAGCACTTTGGATTTTTAGTTCTTATTAATTTGATTGATGGGTTATCAAACAGGGCAATTGCCAATTCCAGGGTTTGACTCAACTTGGCTTTTGATAGATGTATAGTTAAGGATAGCCATATGGTGGATTAAGTAAAAGCACATAATAATGACATTAGCTTTGGGTGGATGTTGGTTCATTTTGTTTCTCTTATAAAAAATGATTCATGTTTGTTTTCATTGTGTCTTACAGGTATCGTGTCCAGTCTCCCCACTCTCCCCTATCTTTTTGGCCGCTCTGACTTTCCTGTCTCCTCCACCTCTCTGTCTTATTGAAAAGCCACTCTATCTTGTGTCCCCCTTTTCTCTATCCCTCTAGCTAAATTTTGGACGCTCTGACTTTCCTGTCTCCTCTACCGCTCTATCTAATTGAAAAGCCACTCTATCTTGTGTCCCCCTTTTCTCTATCCCTCTGACTAAGTTTGGTTACTCTGACTTTCCTGTCTCCTCTACCGCTCTATCTGATTGATCAGCTTTTCAGAAACCATTGTGACAAGCCTTTCAGAAACCATTGTGACAAGCTTTTCAGAAACCAGTGTACCAGAAACCTCTGAGAAACCAGTGTACCAGAAACCTCTGAGAAACCAGTGTACCAGAAACCTCTGAGAAACCAGTGTACTAGAAACCTTTCAGAAACCAGTGTACCAGAAACCTCTGAGAAACCAGTGTACCAGAAACCTCTGAGAAACCAGTGTACCAGAAACCTCTGAGAAACCTATTGAAGCAAGCTACCTTTTTTTGAGCAACCATTGAAACAACCTACCTTTGAGAAACCTATTGAAACAAGCTACCTTATTTTGAGAAACCAAACTTTTGAAAAGCTGTACATTTAATACAACCACTGTTTTGAAAAATCCCCAATTTTGCAAAAGTCTGACTGTTGTTCTAGGTCCTCCTTTCCTGTCTGTGGATCCAGAGTTTCACCGGAAGTGTCATCAGCACAACCACATCTGCATCCCTGATTTTGAAAGAAAAAAAAAAAGTTCCATATAGAATATTTGAGTTAGATATTATTTCAAGCACAAAGCGCTAAGATTTAAAAATTGTTGTTGATTTGTGTTTTTTCTGAAAACATTTATATAGTCTTGTGTAGGATTTCCTTATAAAACATTTGATAAACTATTGTGGTATACACATAGTTATAAATTAGAATTTTGGAGACTATAAGAGCTGTTAAATAACGTCCTCTTGAAGAAATAAAGCATTTTTGTCTTCACTGGTGCTTATCAGTAATTTAATTGTTGCATAAACACATTGTTGTGAACGAATAGTTACAATGCCAAGGAAGAGTAAGAAGTCACAGGCTGCAAGCCAGCGCTGGCAGAGGGTTCATGACATTGACTTTGTGAGTACTGGACAAGCAGATGGTGTTCCTCAGAGCAATGGAGAGGTAAAGAGGTCTGAAGTGTCTGATGCTGTGAAACAGGGAGGTGAAAATGCATCATGTCAACCACGGGTATCTTATGAAGACGTTCTCAAGAGGAGACGTGTAAGTGAGTCACCTGCAGCAGGTCCGTCTAACTCTGAACAGGTAAAACACAGAGGTGAAAGTAATGATCCAGGTGTACAACAGGTAACATATGCAGACATGTTGAAGAGAAAACTTCCTCGTGTGTCACGTACTGCTGGTCCGTCCAACTCTCCTCAGGTTAACTACATAGCCCAAACTGACAAGCCATTTTCAACCCAGGTATCGTATCCAGACACAGTTAACCACCGTAATTATCAGTCTGTTTCAGCCTCTTCTCAGGCAGGAAATATTAATCAGTCAGGTGAACAAAATGTCTGTGCGTCACGCAGCCAAGCGTCTCTGAAATACGGCCGATCCAGAAACCAGCAGTGCACCTGTAACTCACTGACATTTCTAGCATTCCTGAATGAGAAAGAACACATCACCAGAGCAGATCTGGACCGTGTTTTGGATAAAGGTGATGCGATGTACAGAGAAATCAGAAAAACTGTTGATCACGCCCATCTGACAACCGATGAGCTCCCTGACCAGGTTCCTGCCCGCAGACACATGCTGACTGTTGACAAGTTACAGCTGTCTAGATACGGTACGTTTGGAGATCCGGATCCCGGAGCTGTTGATACCTTTCTGGACCTCGAGATGGGACTGAGCTGTTTATTATCAGATGTGCAGTATGCTTTGCTGCTAATGACTTCACTGTGCATTGCAGTTTTCAGAACCAGAGATGGCAGGTACGGTTTCTTTGACCCACATGCTAGGACAGCTAATGGTTTGCCTCTGCTTAAAGCCACACCTACTCCTGGTACCGCTGTCATGGTAACATTCACACGCCTCAGTGACATGATTGCCAGGCTCATCACGTATCACCACATGTTGGGCACAGCAGCGTCCTGTACCTATGAGCTCAAGCCAGTTGTGTTCTGTGATGTGAACCCAAGTGATGCTATCCCAGCCACAGAAAGTCCGTCCACAAGTCCCTCTGTAACAACCACTGTGATAAATGATGACACAAGTGCTCCACAGATGAACACTGATGTCCATGAAAACACTGAATGTGACATGGAAACTGAACCAGAACCACTGATCGACTTCAGCCAGTGTTCTGTCACATTAACTGGTCCTGAATTTCTCACTCCAGAGATTAACACTACTGTAAGTGATGGCACATCACAGAAAGCCTCAACTTTGATGGAAACTCAAGCTCATCAACCAGGTGAAATCAACAATAATTCTGTCACATTAGAGGAAACTCAACAGACAAAATCAAATTTGACACAACCATTGATAACTATCCCCATTGCTAGTGACAAAGTTATCCATGACATCTCCACTAAACTGTCAAAATTAAGCAAACAGCAAAAAAAGAAATTTAAGAGGAGACTAATGAGATCTGGAAAGACATCTCAAAAGAAAGAGAATCAAAAAAGGAGAGAGAGAGAAAAGTATGCTAAGAGTGAAACATATAAAGCAAAGAAAAAGTCTTATTCAAGTAACAAATATTCTGTAAATCCTGAGATACGGACAAAGAAAAGACAAAAGATCACATCTAAATATAGAGAAAGCACAGGCTTCAGACTGAAACAAAAAGAATATATCACCAAAAAATACAGAGAAAATGTTGATTTTAAAGGCAGACAAAAAGAATATATCACCAAAAAATACAGAGAAAATGTTGATTTTAAAGGCAGACAAAAGTTATATTTTAGGAAAAAATATGGAGAAAATGTTGATTTTAAAGGCAGACGAAAAGAATATTTCACGAAAAAATACAGAGAAAATGTTGATTTTAAAGGCAGACAAAAAGAATATATCAGGAAAAAATACTCGGAGGATGTTAATTTCAGGCAAAGACAGCGATCATATATCACTCATCGATATGCAAATGATGAAATATTCTGTCACCGACACAGACAGCTGATGAGACAAATGATGCGAGACAAGTACAAGACAAATCTTGCTTACAGAACTATGCATAAAATGAGGTGTGCATTGAAAATATCAAAGAAATACAAACGGATAAGTAGACAAACATGTGAGACTGACAGAGAGAGTGAAAACCCTCTTATTGAAAGTGCCATCAATGATTTCAGATCACACATTAAAGCTGGTCCCACCCATGTTTGCACAGTTTGTCACAAAGCCTCATTTCCAAACCAGGTTCAAAAGTGCAAGAGATCAAACTATGTGAAAAATCCAACCATGGTTTCAGCTTGTCTCAAAGGTCAGTACGTCCATGCATGCAACGATGACTGCAGAAATCAGTGCACTGTCCCTGATGAGAGAAAGACTGAGTGGATTTGTCACACCTGCCATGACCATCTGAAAAATGGATCCATGCCCAAACTTGCCATAGCAAACAACTTGGAGCTTGCTGACATACCACCTGAGCTGTGTGACCTCAACATACTGGAGAGACATCTGATAGCAAAGTGCATAACATTTGCCAAAATCATTCCTCTTCCCAAAGGCAGACAGAGAGCTATACATGGTAATGTTGTATGTGTTCCCTCTGAAGTCCAGGAAACAATTCAGGCTCTACCCAGATTGAGAAATGAATCTCAGGTGATGAGAGTAAAACTGAAGAGACGCTTGAGTTACAGAGGTCACCATCTGTTTCAGACTGTTACCTGGTCCAAGCTAGTGCAGGCTCTGCATAAACTGAAAGAGATACACCCCCAGTATGAAGACATCACTATTAGAGATGAGGAGGAGTTATGTGACCCCACACTTCCTGATGATGGTGATGAGGATGATGATGATGATGGTAATGATATTACAATGAATGATGACGACTATGACGATGAGGATTTGATGGAAATTGATCGAATTGAGGCTGCTGCCATGTATGAGGCTGAAACTAATGTTGAAAATGAGGATGAGAGTACAGAGCTGTGTGATAAAAGTCAGACCCAGGAAAATGATGATCAGACACAACAACAGGATGCAGACATACCTAATGGTGGTGTTGTTTTGGAGTCGTGCCTTCAGCCACGTGATGTTTCTGAGGAGATATTGTGTTTCAGTGACTCTACATACTCAGTAGCTCCAGCAGAGAGAAACAATCCAGTCAGTTTTTTCAAAACACCCAAACTAGAGGCCATGGCGTTTCCTGTTCAGTTTCCCACTGGTGAGAATACACTGGATGAAAACAGACCAATGAAACTATCACCCAGTAGTTATTTTAAAGCAAGGCTCTTTGGTGTTGATGATCGCTTTGCCAAAGATACCAACTACCTGTTCTTTGCACAGTTTGTGACTGAAATACACTTGGCTACCTCCAGCATGTCAATACAGTTACGCAAAGGCAAACCTTTGACCAGAGACGGACGTAAAATAACATCCAGAATGTTGAGAGACAAATACGAAGTGGAGAGACTGGTGAGAAACAGAGATGCTATCAGATTTATGCAGCCGCTCAGAGGAACACCAGCCTACTGGGACAAAACTACAAAAGATCTGTTTGCTATGATCAGACAGTTGGGCAGTCCTACTTTCTTTGTCACATTTTCTGCAGCAGAAATGCGTTGGCCTGAGGTGATTATTGCAATAAAATTACAACAAGGTGAGGAGGTGAATTTTGAAGAGCTCGACTGGTCCACAAAGTGTGACATTCTGAGAAGCAATCCTGTGACAACGATGCGCATGTTTGATAAGCGTGTTGAAGCACTGTACAGAGATCTGATCATGTCTCCTGCACAACCCCTGGGCAAAGTTTTTGACTTCTTTTGGCGTCTCGAGTTTCAGCACAGAGGAAGTCCTCATATACATGGTCTTTTGTGGGTAGAAGGTGCACCTGTGTTTGAGAGAGACTCTGACAAAACTGTGTGTGACTTTGTGTCCAAACACATCTCTGCTCAGCTCCCTGACCCAAACAAACAGCCTGAACTGTACAAAAAGGTCAAAGAAGTGCAAATACACAGTAAGAACCACTCAAAGACATGTTTCAAAAGTGCAAGTTCTGGATGCCGATTTGGATTCCCAAAACCACCCTCCAGACAGACAATGATAACAAGACCTGTGGGTGATGATGAGGAGTCAGAGAGACTTAAGAGAGCCAAAGAGAAACTTGCACCACTGAATCAGCTGCTGAATGAGACACAAACTGAATCCATGAGTTTTCAACAGCTCCTGTCTGTCTGTGACTTAACCGCTGATGAGTATGAGAAACACATGAATGTGATGAGTCAGTCCAGCAACATCATTCTGAAGCGTGAGCCAAAAGACTGCTGGGTAAACACCTACAACCCTCACCTGCTCAAAGCTTGGGATGCAAACATTGACGTGCAGTTCATTCTCAGCTACTACAGTCTGATCCATTACATATGTACGTACATGTGTAAAAGTGAGAACTCTGTGAGCCAGTACCTGCAAACACTCATTCAGAACTCCGACAGAGAATGTGTCAATGAATGTGATGAAATGAAAGCGGTCATGCAGGCGTATTCCAAAAAGCGAGAAGTATCAGCACAAGAAGCTGTTGCCCGAGTGACTTCACTGAACATGAAAAAGAGTTCACGCAGTGTGGTTTTTGTCCCAACTGATGACAACCCAGTGAAAATGAGTCTGCCTGTGTCAAGCCTTGACAACACAACACCAGACAGCTTGAATGTGTGGATGACATCCTTAACAGACAAGTACAAATCCAGACCTGAATCACCAGAGTTTGAAGAGATGTGCATGGCTGATTTTGCGTCTACCTGCAGACTGGTGTATGGACAACAGACCAAGGGCAAGAAAGTGGTACCTCTGCTGAATGAACTAGGCTTTATACAGAGACGAGAAAGTGACAACGCTGCTGTCATCAGGTATCGCCGCATATCCAAAGAGAAATACCCTGAGCAGTTTTACGGCACATTGCTTAGACTGTATCTTCCATACAGATCAGACGATGAGCTGAAAAGACCATATTTTCCCACATATGAGTCATTCTATGAGAGAGGTGTGGTTCAGCTGCCGTATTCTGACCGACCCCTGAGTGTGAAACTCATTGTGAAAAGAAACAGAGAGAGATATGAAAAAAACAGTGAGGAAATTGACTCTGCTCTCGAGGACTTTGAACAGAACAGAGGTGTGGTCGATGAATGGTGTAATTTGGCACCTGAATCTGAACTGGTGAGGTTGGAGTGTATCGATGAACTGGATGCCAGACAGTGTGAAAATGTCCAAGAGGATGTACCGGATTACAGCAGACAAGCAAATGCTGCTACAGAGGCCAGAGTCATGAGAGAGCCCCCTACAATCGATCCCACACGGTTACGACAAATGTATCAGAGTCTGAACCAGAAACAGGCATGTGTGTTCTATGCAGTAAGAGACTGGTGCATAAAACGAGTCTGTGGACCACAACCAGAGCAGTTTTTCTACTACATCAATGGTGGTGCTGGCACTGGAAAGTCACATCTCATTAAATGCATTCATTCAGAAGCATCAAAGATTCTGAGAACACTACCTACACGTGCTGAAGAAGCTGACATCTCAAACCCGACTGTGCTGTTGACTGCTTTCACCGGAACTGCAGCCTTTAACATCTCTGGAACAACACTGCACTCTCTCCTCAAGCTGCCCAGAAGTTTGAAACCTCCTTTTCAAGGTCTTGGGAACCAACTTGATGAAATCAGGTGTGAGCTTTTAAATGCTGAAATCATCATCATTGATGAAATCTCCATGGTGTCGAAGCCTCTGTTTGCCTATGTGGATATGAGACTGAAACAGATTAAAGGCAGCCACAGACCCTTTGGAGGAATGTCAGTCATTGCTGTGGGAGACTTTTACCAGCTACCGCCTGTGCGACAGTCCAAACCACTCTGTGTCTATGATCCAAGTGAGCTTGACCTCTGGAGAGACAACTTCCAGGTGATCACTTTGGATGAGATCATGCGACAGAAGGATGACAAAACTTTTGCCGAGATGCTGAACAGACTCCGTGTGAAAACAAGGTCAGATGAGCTTTCTGAAGCTGACAGAGATCTGCTGTCACAGCGTGTCACTGAACCACAACTGTGTCCCTCTGATGTCCTGCACATTTTTGCTACAAACAAACAAGTTGCAGAACACAACTCTGCTACACTATCTCTGCTCCATTCTGATATCACCACCATTGATGCAGATGACTTTAAAAAGGACCCACACACTGGACACATGAAAAGACAAGGTGCACCATGTCATGGAAGCAGAAATGATCTACCTGACACCCTAGATGTTGCAGTAGGTGCTAGAGTCATGCTTACCAGAAACATTGATGTGTCTCAAGGATTAGTGAACGGATCATTTGCTACAGTAGGCCGTCTCATAAGCTCTGAAAACAACAGTTCTACTCTTGTCACTATGCTTGGTCTCAGGATGGATGATGAAACAGCTGGCAGGAGCTATCGTACTCGAGGAGACAATCTTGTGTACATCGAGAGATCTGAAGAGGCTCTGCAACAGAAAGGAGTGGTACGCAGACAGTTTCCTGTGAAACTTGCCTTTGCATGCACGATACACAAGGTTCAAGGTATGACCAGAAAATCTGCTGTTGTCTCACTGAAGCACATTTTTGAGCCCGGCATGGCCTACGTAGCTATCAGTCGAGTGACCTCTCTCAGCGGACTGCACATGCTTGATTTGGATGAGAGTAAAATTCATGCTAACCCTGCAGTCACTGTATCTTTGGAGACCATGACGCAAGCTAACTTTGATCACCTCATGCCTTTTCTCCAGATCCAGCATTCTCTCAGCAGACAGGACACTGTGAGCATCATTCATCACAACACCGAAGGATTACCTGCTCATGTGAATGACATCAAAAGCCATCATGAACTGTGTCTTGCAGATGTTTTGTGTCTGACAGAAACTCACCTACAGGGCTCCTTTGTGGCGGACAGTCTCCAGTTTGAGGGCTACACCATGTTCAAACGCAACAGACATTTGTCCTACACTAACTTTCCACAGATGGCCAGTAAAGGAGGTGGTGGAGTCGCTGTTTATGTGAAAAACCATTTGCAGGTTGTGGAGAAACAGTACCTGAATAATGTGACTGACCTTGAGTTTGTGGCTTTGAAGGTTGAATCTCCTGTAAGTGCTCTGATTGCAGCTGTGTACAGACCTCCAGACTACAGTGTGCCATCATTCCTGTCCAATCTGGGAAGCCTTCTGGACTCACTTGAGATCATGGACTGTCATCCCATCATCGTCTGTGGCGACTTCGATGAGAATCTCTTTTCTAATGCAAGTAAGCCAATTCTGGATTTCTTTCAGTCCAAGGGATATGGTCAACTGATCACTGCTGCTACAACGGACAAGAACACACTGCTGGACCTGATCTTCATCTCACGACCTCAGCTATGTCTCTCCTCAGGTATCATGCAGACCTACTACAGTTACCACAACGCCACTTATTGTGTCATTTCATCCAACAGGTCATAGAGGAAACTGCTCTGAAGGAAAAGACAAACCAGAGAAGTTGTGGCTAATGTTATGCTCATATTTTCAGTACAGATTGAAATGTGTTTGGTCATTGTAAATTTTACTTGTGCAAAATATATTTTTATGGTTCAGAATTTTTAGATAGAAAATATTTTTCAGGTTGTAAAATTTTCCAACTATTCAAATGTTATAAATGACAATTTTTGGCCTGTGCATTTATCAAGTCCAGTCAAGTCAAGTTAATCCATTTAACTTGACTTGACTGGACATAGGGAGGGTGGGTGCGGATTGATAAATGCACAGGCCAAAACTCTCAGCTGCTGTGTACAATACTGTATACAGCAGCTAAAATTAAAAACCTCCATCAGAAAGTGTGTGTTCCCTAATGAACACACACTTTCTGATGTTCTGTTACCTACCAGCTGAAACCCCCTTTTCTCCACCCAACTTTACACCACTCTCTTAGCATGGGTGGCTGTAAGTACACTAGGGCAAACATAAGTTTCCTTTTCTTTGGGTAGGTTTTTATTTTTTATTTTTTATTTTTTATTATTATTTTTTTTTTCAGTTGTCCCCGCCATCTTTAACCTGACCCCCATTAGTACTATCCTGACTAGCTCACTGTAAACTGAAAAAAATTATCAAACTGTCAACCAAAAGTAAACACATCACCTGTAGGTACAGTAGAGTAAAGCTAAGTTTCCTTTTGTTTGGGTATTTTTTTTTTCTTCTTCAGTTGTCTCTGCCATCTTTGACCTGACCATTAGTGCTGTCCTGACTAGCTCACTTATGAGCAGAAAAAAATTATCAAACCGTCAACCAGAAGTAAACACATCACTTTGGACCACTCAAAGACACAGTCTACCTGCTGTTTAACCCAGTCTTTGGTCAGAGGTGAAGAAGAGATGACATCCTCCACACCATCCCCCTGCTGCTCTCAACAACCATCATCGCTGTGCTGGACAGATTGCAGCACCCACCAGGACCCTTCTCTCATGGACTACACAAACATGTGTTTTACCTGCTCATGCTCCAGATGTCCTGAAGCAGCTCTCAAGGACCACCAGACACCAGGCTGAAGCAGAACTGATGCTGTAGTACCTGTCACTCACTGGGCTCGTTCCTGCTGAACCTCCAAGAGATAAACCCCTCTTCAAGAACGTCTGAGGTAATGTCTTAGTGAACTTGTGTTCATTTATTTTTTCTTAGTTATCTTAGCTGCTGTATTAATGCTTGTGATGCTATTGTACAGCTCTGCTGATATCATCGTCTTTAACAGCAGTGTTTTCTCCCAGGTCTTCTTCAAGCCAGTTAAGAGAGGAAGAACAGCTTAGACACTCAGGCAGCTGAACGCACCAAAGGTGGACATCATGCAGCCACCCTGAGCCTTGAGCCTCTCTGTGTGAGGAAGCTTTGCTGCTGCAGACCTGGTGAAGTTGCTCTGGACAGAAATATTTTTGCTCTGCTGCAGTGCTGAAGGTATTCATTTTAATGATGTGTGTATTTATTCAACATGTTTAGTTTCACAGATTATCAACACAAATGTTTCTGTTTATTTCCTGTTTTGAACCAGCTACATTCTCCTACTTCAAGTCACTGTCTGTTCATCCACGGTGTAGCAAGTGCAGCTAACTAATGGTGATCCTACAAGTCCTGCAGTCCTGTGAAGCAAGCTGCAGCAGATGTCATCACATTCAGATCATCAGTTCATCTTTACTGCAGCTTTAAACTTTCCCTGACTCCAGTGATGCTGTCAACTCGAACACTGATAACTGCACACAGCGATTCTACAACCACAGGTCAAAGGTCAAAACATTACCTCACTCTAAACCTTCACTCTGAACTGTAGCGGGCTCTGCTTTTGGTTTTGAACAAAAGTGCCCAGACAGAACACAGTACTCACTTGAAGAACTGACTGATTTTCTTCAGGACAGGACAACTATTACTCTTATATTGTTTTGAATCCTGTTTTCTACATTCAGTGATCGGTTGTCGATATCTGTTAATATTTTAAGTTTCCTTTATGTTTCTTGGACTTTATTTGTTCTATTTTATTTTAGTATTTTCTTTCCCTTTTACTGTGTATCTGTCCTTATATCAAAAGATGACCAACACTGATGAAGGGAAATAATACCAGTTACTTCAGTTGTTGCAGGCAGCTGAATTTCTCATTTTAATATGCTCACCATATCCCTCAAATTTACCTACAAGAGAAGACGTGTTTTAGAAATTAATGATGTACTTTGGGTTTCAGCTGGTAGGTACACTGCAGGTTTTTCACGTGTGCTTAGTCTTGGGCTAATGTTTTGGACAGCAGTGATCCCAGCATTACAGTGTGAACCAATCCCTGCTGAAGGTTGCCGTCACAATCCTCAAACACAGGGCTCGTTTACGAGCTGTGTGAAGGGATTTCATAGAGGAACAAAGTTTTTATGCTTATCCTTAAAATGTATTTCTCCATAGTAGAAAACTTTTAAAAAAGAAACTATCATCGTGAAGACAACCCAGCATTTCAGTACGACAAGTAGTGTGAATGTTTGGATAAGAAAACACTGGGATCTAAAATGCTGACCAGATTGTCAGTCCACTACAATGAGCTGATGACAGTATTAGCCTTGGTCTAACTACTGTGAAAAGCCTTTTGGGTGGTAAGGTGGACCAATACATGCTATAAAAAATACCTTAGTGCCATATTTAAGTTATTAACCTTTCATCTTACTTTGCCTGTATATTTCCGCAAGCCTGGATGACTTTGCACCTTTTGCATTTGCATTCTTTACCTTACCCTCCACATTATTTCAAATCTTAAATTTAGATTTAATTAAAAAAAAATATTTTAATTTCTGTAAAAGACTTCTGTACTACACTGTACAGTAAACCGCTGAGTTATTTTTGCTGACCAGATTGTCAGTCCACTACAATGAGCTGATGACAGTATTATCCTTGGTCTACTGTGAAAAGCCCTTTGGTGGTAAGGTGGACCAATCCATTACATCAATTTATTTCAAGTTCTCAAATCTACTTTTTAATCTGATCATTTTAGATTTTGTTTAAAGTTTCAGTTTCATGTCATTTAATTTTATTCATTATTATAATTATTTATTATTCGATAATTTTCTTTTTTTCTACATGAGAGGGCCCACATTTCACTGCAGTTAGCTTTAAAAAATACTAAAATGCCATATTTAATTAATAAGCCTTTCACCTTACTTTGCCTGTATATTTCCACAAGCCTGGATAACTTTGCATTATTTGCATTTGCATTCTTTACCTTACCCTTCACATTATTTTACATTTATTCTATACTTGTTGTGTTTCACATTTATGTTGTTATACTGCTGACCGATTTTAGTAACTATTTTTTTTATAACTCTCAAGTCACCATTTTCATATATTTTTTTAATGTATAGGTATAATAAAGGTTTTTCAGCTGTGCAAACTTAGTCTTAGGCTAATCTAAACCCTTAAAAACACGCATAACAGTCCTGTATCAGACTTTGAAATCAAATTTCAAGGTCTGTCTTTAAAGCCCACAACACAGGACTTGGCTTAATGTGCCATGACAAATTTTATGAGCCAACTTTTAAGGCTTAGTAATCCGAATACACAAGAAAAGAGGTGAATGTGGGTCCAGGGCTGCTGGAGTTTGAATCAAGTAAATAATGGGGTGTTAGCCTCAGTCTAAGCACCGTATGAAGAGCCTTTAATGATTGGGCTAAACAATATTAGAAACAACTGAAAATGTGATACCTTTGTCCATCAATAATTACAGCAACTACAATCTTAAAACCTCAGGCTTAAGAGACAGATTGGTCACCCATGTAAAGATTTCTGCTTCCAAAACCTGTTCACAAACAAATTGTTTATAATTTGATTTAAGGCACTATGGAACATTGTTTCTTTATGTGTTTATGTTTTGATGTTTTGTTTTAATTTTTTTTTAATGTTTTATGATTAATCATTTCATTGCTCACAAAATGTTAAAGGATTGACAATTTTTTTTTCTTTCTTTTGGTTTTACTTATGTAAAAACTCAGTTTTAATTTTTTAAGTTGATGCAAATTTTAAATTAAATATATTTGTGTAATGTGTTCATGTCTCATTTAAATTCATTTCTACTTCGTCCAACATGAAGGCCTTTTCAGCCATCTTTAAAATTCTTTACCATATTTTCTGTAATGTTCAAGTTCAGTTCTTAAGCAATCTGAATATTCATACAGCTTCTGGTTTACCTCTCCCAGTGTTTTTACATCCATATAACTCATCTCTTTTTCAATATCTTCTTCTTCAGTTCTGTTACGGTTTAAACATTCACACAACTTCTACTTATTACACTTCACCCCTTTAACAGTTTTTTTCATTTATACTCTCCTCCATTTTTTTCACAGTTTTGCTTTTCAGTTTTCAGCATTCAGCATTTCCACGCATTTTCTGCAAGGAAATGCAACTTTTCTAGTTAAACTTATTATTTTTCTTCCGTACCTTTTTTGGACCGCTTCTCCTCCTTCAAACTTTGTCCGATTTCAACCGTTCAAACTTTAAACTATTCCACTCCTTCAGGACATGATGGCGTCTATTTTTTTTCTTTCTACCCTTTATACTTTTTGGTTTTTTTAACTTTTTGTGCAAAAATTTTAACATTGAAGTCAATGGGGAAATCTTCAACTTCTTCCTTTCATTCTTCCACCTTCTAGACCTTATAACTTCAGCATACTTTCACCTAGAGACCTCATTTTTGCTTTAAAATGTTCATTCACTTGTCGACTATTATAGTTGTACTCAGTTTTTTGATATCTTTTACAGTTTTTCCACAATTTAGCTTTAAGCAACTTGTGGTTTTCAGCAAATTTCAAGCTTTATAATGGGTGTGTATTGGAGAGTTTAGAGTGATGATGTCATCAGCTAGAGTGCAGACCTCGTCTCTGATCGACAGAACCTCGCTCGAATATATCACTCCCACGCCCACAAATCTCACTCCACTGACACAAATAATACATCAAAATGGAGGTATATGTGTCCTGCTTCTCACAAAAGAGGTTTCAAATCATTAAATCGTACCCCTTGGCCAGCAGGTGACCAACTGTCCAAATAGGCGGAAATCTCTCCCCATTAGACCTAATGTATTTCTTCTCCAAGAAAATCCTTATCCCCACTCAGGCTCAGACTTTTTTAACTCGCTGTTGTGGCCACATTTTTTGGAGTACAGACATGTAAAACACATCATTGTGTTCATGAAGGGCGGAGGATTCGTACGATGTTCTTATTTTCATTCTGGGACTTAAGGAAATCACACTATGTGAAGAAGTTCACATGGTTTAAATCCTCTGCAGTTCAGCTGCTTCTCATTCAAACAGTAGGTCAGTGATTTGCCTTTGATCTCACAGCTGTTAGGGATGCAGACATTAATGAGACACACACACACACACACACACACACACACACACACACACACACACACGCACACACACATTCTTGTACTTGTTGCTTTATGAGGTCTACCTTGCAGTTCAGCTGCTTGTACACACCGTTAATATGTGTCTGCTTCACCACCTATCTCCACCTACAAACTTTGAGCTACAGAAACCATTCTGGGCTTCAAAAATTCAGCTCATTGAAGATATTATGGGGTGTTTTAAGGATTGTGATAATAAATTGTATTAATGTCTTCAGCAGAGTCTTGTGGTTCTCACTACCTCCTTATCATGAATATAGCTGTTACAGAGGATGAGCATAGTCTGGGATTTTGTTTCTCAGCTTCAAGGCTCCTTTCTCCTGCATCTATGGTCCCCATAGCAACCAATTAGTGCACCTGGAGACACACAGCTGACTGAAAAGCTGCTTCTAACGGCCATTTGAGGCACATGAAGCCAGGCTCAGTATACAGAGCACTGAGTGTTACATTTAAAACCCTTCACCAGAGCACCTGAAAAAGATTAAGCCCCTATCTCCTCCCACAAACTTTGACCTATAGAAACCATTCAGGGCTCCAAGAATTCGGCTCATTGAGGACATTATGGGGTGTATTTAGGATTTTTATTCATTTACATATTTCAATTTTTAAGGTCACTCAGTGATGATTCATTATTTAATTTGTAAACTAATTTAAACTCATTCATACCTTTCTGATATTTAAAATCTTAATGATTCTTGAGGATTTTTGATAATTTAAATTTTCCCAGTTTAAATTAGTTTAAATATTTATGCATTATTCCATCCTTCAAACAAAATCCCACCTCTAGAGCTACAACTACTGCTAATGTCAATTAAAGTACTTTCCCCTCTACTTCAACTGCTATTGCTCCTATTTCTACTTTCTCTACTACTTTACTGATACTTCTTTTATTCTCAAACTACTTCTACTGCTTACATGACTACTAGTATCACTACTTGACTACTTGTCATACTACTTCTAGTACTACAACTTAAACTTATGCCACTTCTCACCTTCCTGCCTTTTAAGGCAATTTCCTTCTTCATTCAAACTTGCTTGTACACACAGTTAATATGTGTCTGCTTCACCACCTATCTCCACCCACAAACTTTGAGCTACAGAAACCATTCTGGGCTTCAAAAATTCAGCTCATTGGAGATATTATGGGGTGTTTTGAGGATTGTGATAATAAATTGTATTAATGTGTTCAGCAGAGTCTTGTGGCTCTCACAACCTCCTTGGCATGAATATAGCTGTTACAGAGGATGAGCATAGTCTGGAAGTTTGTTTCTTAGCTTCAAGGCTCCTTTCTCCTGCATCTACGGTCCCCATAGCAACCAATTAGTGCACCTGGAGACACACAGCTGACTGGAAAGCTGCTTCTAACAGACATATGAGACACATGAAGCCAGGCTCAGTACACAGCATATTGGTGATTCATACTGCCACTGAAGTTTAACTTTGATCATGTGTGTGCAGTACTGTCTTTGTGTCTATAAGAGCTACTCGCACACACACACCACTTCTAATTGTAACATCTCTTTAAGTAGTACTCCACTTTTACTACATATACTTCTAACATTTATACCACCAGTACTTCTACCACTTCTGAAACTACTACGAGCACTTATTCGACTACAGCTACCACTTCCACTACTACTACCACCACTTCAACTACTACTACTATGACTAGCTCTACAACTGCAACTTGTATCCCTCTACATCTCCTTCTATTCTTTTTCTTTAAACATAACTTTCTTTATTTGAAGTAATTACACAGACAGCAACATGTCAGTACAATTTGACAGAGATCTCCACTCTATCCTTTTCCCCAGTTTTTTATCCCTCCCACATCTCCTTCTATTCTAAACCCACTATAAGTACTGTGACAAGTACTACCGCTAATATGACTACTACTATCACTTCTACCACTATTCATTTTACTACTACTACCACTAAAACTTCTACAACTTCTTACTCAAATCCTCCTAGGTTTTTTTTTAGGTCCTATCAGTTGTATTTTTGCTGTCATTTTCACATTCATTATGCTGGTATGACAATAATTTTTTTGCTGTTAATTTTTTTAATGAATTTCTATTTCCCACAATGTGTGGATTAAGTTAACCACTGTGTTAACCACCTTGTCGAGGGAAGTGTGAAATTTCCGAGTGTCCCTGAACGCCTCAAACATTTCTACCGGGACTCCGCCTTGGCTCGCGCTATCCTGCTGCATCTTACAGAAGGGTGAGTCAGAGCTGAGTCTCTGTCAACGTCTAAACGTTAAAAAATGGGATTTAACCTGTCAAAATGGCACTGGTTTGAGTTATAATCGATGAAGAGTTCATTCATGATTGAAGTGGTCGAGATGTTGACTTGAAAAAGCTTACGCTAACAGTGTTAGCGTCGAGCTAGCGGAGTTAGCACCGAGCTAGCGGAGTTAGCGTCAAGCTAGCGGAGTTAGCGTCGAGCTAACGCTAAAGCTAACATTCCGTCATTTATGGGGCTGAATCATTAGCCAGCTGAGAAATGCACAAAATAATGTGATGTGCAGTTTGTAGAGTTTACTGACATTTGGACTGACGGGGATACTAATATTGTCAAGTATTAACTTACTACTGAAGCTAGCGCTGTTGCTACAGGTAGTAGCAACAGCTGTGACTGAGTCATAGCTGGGGAATTGGTCTGGAGACGTCAGCTGTTTAGCTCCTGGTCACTTTTTATCAGCCATTGTAGATGTATTAAAATATAGGCTGCATTTAGCAAGCATCCAGTTATAACACAAATGTGAGTGGTTTTTCTTGTTTTATGTGTCAGAATGACACTAGATGGTCCTCTATTATTGAAGGTGTTATTCATGATGGGGTTGATAGAGATATTTACATTGCAAAACATAAAATTAATTCAGTATTTAATGTTTAACAATACGAAGTTCCAAATAATAAATATATTCCAGTTGAATTTCCATTTAGGGATCTATAAAGTTCTTATCTTAATATTGAGTTGATGGATGGAGAGTTAGCTGCCTTGAAGTTGGTGAACCGACTCCTGGGCTGTCTCTGTCTCACTGGCTGCTGCTGTACCTCACATTATACTGTACCTAATTTACCTTTGATCACAAGCTGTTAATTTCGATATTGGTGATGTGCTAACACCACAGCAAAGATATTTTATCTGAGGGATAAATACTTTAATACAGTATATATTATGGGACATTTTCAGCTGCAGCTAACAGCCAAGTGATCTGTTGGAGCTGTTTAGTTTTCAATTAGCCCAAGTACTGTAATAATGTTAGTTTTCTTTACAGGCCAGTTGTTTTTAGTGTGCTATCTGTCAGAAAACACTAATGTATTGTTTCTTGTCTCAAACAAACAGAAGATACATCCACTCCAGTGCACTTGTTGGTAAGTATAAGTGTTTTAAGCAAGACTGACAACAAACAAAATAAGAATAACTCGATTAATGTTGAGCTTAATCCTGTTAAACAACGTGATATTCTAGATAATGTACAACATATGATGCATTTTTCAAATACTGAGTTTAAATTGATATGAAATGTTTATTTTTCTGTAACACTGTTGTATATCCTATATGAAAATCATAGATGGGATACAGTTTTTTCCTAGTAGAAAATAATGTGCTTACAATATTACAACAGTACTAAATTATTTTTTGTAAACATTTTAATTTGCTGGGAAATGCTGAATCTTGATTTTGACAATAATAAAGTGGGAAAATCATTCAGGAAAAATGTCTTTAAATGAAGTGAGCTGTGAGGGAGGTTCTTTTGAGTGTGTTAAAAATCTTTTTTCCTCCCTCTCCCCCTCCTCCTGCCTCATCTTGTCCTTTGACCTCCTGCCCTATCAACTCTGAAGTGTAAGTTCACTCTTGTATACTTATTAAGCAATCAATTAAGTGTTGCATTTTTGCTCTGCAGTTTATAATGACATTTCACTGTTTTGTATTTCACCTCAATAACATACATAACAAAGTAAAGAGAGGGCCTTCGTGCATTTTCTCTCCATCTTAAACATTTTTTACAGGCCAAGGGAGCTGCAGTAACATCCTTTTACTAATCAAGGGCTACCGATTGTAGACTTTGATAAGAAATGAGAAAACTAATGATCCACACTGAAAAGCGGTGTGATTACAGTAAACTATGAGTTACTGATTTTTTTTGCAACTAAATTTATTTACTTTTTGTCCCTGTCTTTTCTCTCCTGAACTCGACGCTATGTCTACTGCTGGCCCTGTTCACTGTTGGCGACTCAGCTGTAAGTTCACAAATAAAGTAACTTTAAAATATATTTTTACTGTTACTTTTCACAACACATTATCTAAAAACCTGACCTAAATAACACTTTATTTTAACTAATGCAGAAACAAATGGAAATAATTTTGCTGGCTGATCACAGTTGGAATTACAATGCAGTGAGATGTGCTGGTTTTGTACAATTAAAATAAAAATCTCTTGTCACTGTTTTTCCATTTTCCTTCTTGCCAACTCTATCCTGTCTCCAAGTGCAGACCGCTTTGTGGCGACTCGACGTAAGTTCACACAGGAATGACATTTTCATGAATAATACAGTGTGCCTTTATTCAACACATTATGGACCCCTCATCATGTACTAACTTGATGATTTTTTCCCTTTGATTATGTAATATTCACAGTTGGACATGAACAGCTTGAATGTTATATGCAATACACTTATTTGCATTTTATTTCCAATCATTGGAAAGCAATTTGTTACTATTAAATTGTGGAGTTGTAATTTTTTTAATGATGAATATCCAAATAGTTACTTATCATTGTGATTCCTTACGTTGTGATTACTTCGTTGGAAAACTTAAAACACAGTAAAGGAAATTACATTTCCTAAAATACATTATTATTTTATTAGCATAGTAATCCATTGTTATTATTGCTTAACAGGACATGGTTATGAACATTATAAAGGGAACTTTAGATGATTTCTAAGAGTCTAAAATTTTTTTGTAAAAAAATTCTTCTCTTTTTGTAAAATACTTTGAGGTCCTAAATTTAAAAAGCTGGCTATGTGGTTGGATTCAAGTTGGACTCAGTGTAGGATGTGGTAGAGAGATGTACGCTGAGAAGGTGGAGACTATTTTAAAGAACATGGATTACCCACTTCATAACACCTTGATGGACCAAAGGGCCTAAGGTGGTGGACGGCTCCTCTCTCTTCGCTGCAGGACAAAAAGATTCAGAAGGTCTTTTGTACCCACAGCCATCAGACTTTACAATTCTTTTAAAAATAGTAGATGACTTTTGGAGATAAGACAAATGAGACTACAATCAAATTTCCCTTCAGGGAAATAATAAAGTTCTCCTTACCTTAAATACATTTTTAATAAACTCGTATGAGCACTTTGGATTTTTAGTTCTTATTAATTTGATTGATGGGTTATCAAACAGGGCAATTGCCAATTCCAGGATTTGACTCAACTTGGCTTTTGATAGATATATAGTTAAGGATAGCCATATGGTGGGTTAAGTAAAAGCACATAATAATGACATTAGCTTTGGGTGGATGTTGGTTCATTTTGTTTCTCTTATAAAAAATGATTCATGTTTGTTTTCATTGTGTCTTACAGGTATCGTGTCCAGTCTCCCCACTCTCCCCTATCTTTTTGGCCGCTCTGACTTTCCTGTCTCCTCCACCTCTCTGTCTTATTGAAAAGCCACTCTATCTTGTGTCCCCCTTTTCTCTATCCCTCTAGCTAAATTTTGGACGCTCTTACTTTCCTGTCTCCTCTACCGCTCTATCTAATTGAAAGCCACTCTATCTTGTGTCCCCCTTTTCTCTATCCCTCTGACTAAGTTTGGTTACTCTGACTTTCCTGTCTCCTCTACCGCTCTATCTGATTGATCAGCTTTTCAGAAACCATTGTGACAAGCCTTTCAGAAACCATTGTGACAAGCTTTTCAGAAACCAGTGTACCAGAAACCTCTGAGAAACCAGTGTACCAGAAACCTCTGAGAAACCAGTGTACCAGAAACCTCTGAGAAACCAGTGTACTAGAAACCTTTCAGAAACCAGTGTACCAGAAACCTCTGAGAAACCAGTGTACCAGAAACCTCTGAGAAACCAGTGTACTAGAAACCTTTCAGAAACCAGTGTACCAGAAACCTCTGAGAAACCAGTGTACCAGAAACCTCTGAGAAACCAGTGTACCAGAAACCTCTGAGAAACCTATTGAAGCAAGCTACCTTTTTTTGAGCAACCATTGAAACAAGCTACCTTTGAGAAACCTATTGAAACAAGCTACCTTATTTTGAGAAACCAAACTTTTGAAAAGCTGTACATTTAATACAACCACTGTTTTGAAAAATCCCCAATTTTGCAAAAGTCTGACTGTTGTTCTAGGTCCTCCTTTCCTGTCTGTGGATCCAGAGTTTCACCGGAAGTGTCATCAGCACAACCACATCTGCATCCCTGATTTTGAAAGAAAAAAAAAAGTTCCATATAGAATATTTGAGTTAGATATTATTTCAAGCACAAAGCGCTAAGATTTAAAAATTGTTGTTGATTTGTGTTTTTTCTGAAAACATTTATATAGTCTTGTGTAGGATTTTCTTATAAAACATTTGATAAACTATTGTAGTATACACACAGTTATAAATTAAATCTTTTTGGAGACTATAAGAGCTGTTAAATAACATCTTCTTGAAGAAATAAAGCATTTTTGTCTTTACTGGTGCTTGTCAGTAACTTTTAATTGTTGCTTAGACACATTGTTGTGAACGAATAGTTACAATGCCAAGGAAGAGTAAGAAGTCACAGGTTGCAAGCCAGCGCTGGCAGAGGGTTCATGACATTGACTTTGTGAGTACTGGACAAGCAGATGGTGTTCCTCAGAGCAATGGAGAGGTAAAGAGGTCTGAAGTGTCTGATGCTGTGAAACAGGGAGGTCCAAGTGCATCATATCAACCACGGGCATCTTATGCAGATGTGAGTGAGTCACCTGCAGCAGGTCTGTCTAACTCTGAACAGGTAAACCACAGATGTGAAAGTAAAGAACCAGGTGCACAACAGGTAACATATGCAGACATGTTGAAGAGAAAAGTTCCTCGTGTGTCATGTACTGCAGGTCCGTCCAACTCTCGTCAGGTAAACTACATATCCCAAACTGAAAAGCCATTTTCAACCCAGGTATCGTATGCAGATACTGGTAAGAAGGGAAATCATAATTATCAGTCATTATCAGCCTCTCCTCGGGCAAGAAGTAGTAACGCTGTTAATCAGTCAGGTGAACAAAACGTCTGTGCGTCACGCAGCCAAGCGTCTCTGAAATACGGCCAATCCAGAAACCAGCAGTGCACCTGTAACTCACTGACATTTCTAGCATTCCTGTATGAGAGCGAACACATCACCAGAGCAGACCTGGACCGTGTTTTGGATAAAGGTGATGTGATGTACAGAGAAGTCAGAAAAACTGTTGATCACGCCCATCTGACAACCGATGAGCTCCCTAACCAGGTTCCTGCACGCAGACACATGCAGACTGTTGACATGTTACAGCTGTCTAGATACGGTACGTTTGGGGATCCGGATCCCGGAGCTGTTGATACCTTTCTGGACTTCGAGATGGGACTGAGCTGCTTATTATCAGATGTGCAGTATGCTTTGCTGCTAATGACTTCACTGTGCATTGCAGTTTTCAGAACCAGAGATGGCAGGTACGGTTTCTTTGACCCACATGCTAGGACAGCTAACGGTTTGCCTCTGCTTAAGGCCACACCTACTCCTGGTACCGCTGTCATGGTAACATTCACACGCCTTAGTGACATGATTCACAGGCTCATCAGGTATCACCACATATTGGGCACAGCAGCGTCCTGTCGCTATGAGCTCAAGCCAGTTGTGTTCTGTGATGTGAACCCAAGTGATGCTGTCCCAGCCACAGAAAGTCCGTCCACAAGTCCCTCTGTAACAACCACTGTGATGAATGATGACACAAGTGCCCCACAGATGAACACTGATGTCCATGAAAACACTGAATGGGACATGGAAACTGAACCAGAACCACTGATCAACTTCAACCAGTGTTCTGTCACATTAACTGGTCCTGAATTTCTCACTCCAGAGATTAACACTACTGTAAGTGATGACACATCACAGAAAGCCTCAACTTTGATGGAAACTCAAGCTCATCAACCAGGTGAAATCAACAATAATTCTGTCACATTAGAGGAAACTCAACAGACAAAATCAAATTTGACACAACCATTGATAACTATCCCCGTTGCTAGTGACAAAGTGATTCATGACATCTCCACTAAACTGTCAAAATTAAGCAAACAGCAAAAAAAGAAATTTAAGAGGAGACTAATGAGATCTGGAAAGACATCTCAAAAGAAAGAGAATCAAAAAAGGAGAGAGAGAGAAAAGTATGCTAAGAGTGAAACATATAAAGCAAAGAAAAAGTCTTATTCAAGTAACAAATATTCTGTAAATCCTGAGATACGGACAAAGAAAAGACAAAAGATCACATCTAAATATAGAGAAAGCACAGGCTTCAGACTGAAACAAAAAGAATATATCACCAAAAAATACAGAGAAAATGTTGATTTTAAAGGCAGACAAAAAGAATATATCACCAAAAAATACAGAGAAAATGTTGATTTTAAAGGCAGACAAAAGTTATATTTTAGGAAAAAATATGGAGAAAATGTTGATTTTAAAGGCAGACGAAAAGAATATTTCACGAAAAAATACAGAGAAAATGTTGATTTTAAAGGCAGACAAAAAGAATATATCAGGAAAAAATACTCGGAGGATGTTAATTTCAGGCAAAGACAGCGATCATATATCACTCATCGATATGCAAATGATGAAATATTCTGTCACCGACACAGACAGCTGATGAGACAAATGATGCGAGACAAGTACAAGACAAATCTTGCTTACAGAACTATGCATAAAATGAGGTGTGCATTGAAAATATCAAAGAAATACAAACGGATAAGTAAACAAATATGTGAGACTGACAGAGAGAGTGAAAACCCTCTTATTGAAAGTGCCATCAATGATTTCAGATCACACATTAAAGCTGGTCCCACCCATGTTTGCACAGTTTGTCACAAAGCCTCATTTCCAAACCAGGTTCAAAAGTGCAAGAGATCAAACTATGTGAAAAATCCAACCATGGTTTCAGCTTGTCTCAAAGGTCAGTACGTCCATGCATGCAACGATGACTGCAGAAATCAGTGCACTGTCCCTGATGAGAGAAAGACTGAGTGGATTTGTCACACCTGCCATGACCATCTGAAAAATGGATCCATGCCCAAACTTGCCATAGCAAACAACTTGGAGCTTGCTGACATACCACCTGAGCTGTGTGACCTCAACATACTGGAGAGACATCTGATAGCAAAGTGCATAACATTTGCCAAAATCATTCCTCTTCCCAAAGGCAGACAGAGAGCTATACATGGTAATGTTGTATGTGTTCCCTCTGAAGTCCAGGAAACAATTCAGGCTCTACCCAGATTGAGAAATGAGTCTCAGGTGATGAGAGTAAAACTGAAGAGACGCTTGAGTTACAGAGGTCACCATCTGTTTCAGACTGTTACCTGGTCCAAGCTAGTGCAGGCTCTGCATAAACTGAAAGAGATACACCCCCAGTATGAAGACATCACTATTAGAGATGAGGAGGACTTATGTGACCCCACACTTCCTGATGATGGTGATGAGGATGATGATGATGATGGTAATGATATTACAATGAATGATGACGACTATGACGATGAGGATTTGATGGAAATTGATCGAATTGAGGCTGCTGCCATGTATGAGGCTGAAACTAATGTTGAAAATGAGGATGAGAGTACAGAGCTGTGTGATAAAAGTCAGACCCAGGAAAATGATGATCAGACACAACAACAGGATGCAGACATACCTAATGGTGGTGTTGTTTTGGAGTCGTGCCTTCAGCCACGTGATGTTTCTGAGGAGATATTGTGTTTCAGTGACTCTACATACTCAGTAGCTCCAGCAGAGAGAAACAATCCAGTCAGTTTTTTCAAAACACCCAAACTAGAGGCCATGGCGTTTCCTGTTCAGTTTCCCACTGGTGAGAATACACTGGATGAAAACAGACCAATGAAACTATCACCCAGTAGTTATTTCAAAGCAAGGCTCTTTGGTGTTGATGATCGCTTTGCCAGAGATACCAACTACCTTTTCTTCGCACAGTTTGTGACTGAGATACACTTGGCTACCTCCAGCATGTCCATACAGTTACGCAAAGGCAAACCTTTGACCAGAGACGGACGTAAAATAACATCCAGAATGCTGAGAGACAAATATGAAGTAGAGAGACTGGTGAGAAACAGAGATGCTATCAGATTTATGCAGCCGCTCAGAGGAACACCAGCCTACTGGGACAAAACGACAAAAGATCTCTTTGCTATGATCAGACAGTTGGGCAGTCCTACTTTCTTTGTCACATTTTCTGCAGCAGAAATGCGTTGGCCTGAGGTGATTATTGCAATAAAATCACAACAAGGTGAGGAGGTGAATTTTGAGGAGCTCGACTGGTCCACAAAGTGTGACATTCTGAGAAGCAATCCTGTGACAACGATGCGCATGTTTGATAAGCGTGTTGAAGCACTGTACAGAGATCTGATCATGTCTCCTGCACAACCCCTGGGCAAAGTTTTTGACTTCTTTTGGCGTCTCGAGTTTCAACACAGAGGAAGTCCTCATATACATGGTCTTTTGTGGGTAGAAGGTGCACCTGTGTTTGAGAGAGACTCTGACAAAACTGTGTGTGACTTTGTGTCCAAACACATCTCTGCTCAGCTCCCTGACCCAAATAAACAGCCTGAACTGTACAAAAAGGTCAAAGAAGTGCAAATACACAGTAAGAACCACTCAAAGACATGTTTCAAAAGTGCAAGTTCTGGATGCCGATTTGGATTCCCAAAACCACCCTCCAGACAGACAATGATAACAAGACCTGTGGGTGATGATGAGGAGTCAGAGAGACTTAAGACAGCCAAAGAGAAACTTGCACCGCTGAATCAGCTGCTGAATGAGACACAAACTGAATCCATGAGTTTTCAACAGCTCCTGTCCGTCTGTGACTTAACCGCTGATGAGTACGAGAAACACATGAATGTGATGAGTCAGTCCAGCAACATCATTCTGAAGCGTGAGCCAAAAGACTGCTGGGTAAACACCTACAACCCTCACCTGCTCAAAGCTTGGGATGCAAACATTGACGTGCAGTTCATTCTCAGCTACTACAGTCTGATCCATTACATATGTACGTACATGTGTAAAAGTGAGAACTCTGTGAGCCAGTACCTGCAGACACTCATTCAGAACTCCGACAGAGAATGTGTCAATGAATGTGATGAAATGAAAGCAGTCATGCAGGCGTATTCCAAAAAGCGAGAAGTATCAGCACAAGAAGCTGTTGCCCGAGTGACTTCACTGAACATGAAAAAGAGTTCACGCAGTGTGGTTTTTGTCCCAACTGATGACAACCCAGTGAAAATGAGTCTGCCTGTGTCAAGCCTTGACAACACAACACCAGACAGCTTGAATGTGTGGATGACATCCTTAACAGACAAGTACAAATCCAGACCTGAAACACCAGAGTTTGAAGAGATGTGCATGGCTGATTTTGCTTCTACCTGCAGACTGGTGTATGGACAACAGACCAAGGGCAAGAAAGTGGTACCTTTGCTGAATGAACTAGGCTTTATACAGAGACGAGAAAGTGACAACGCTGCTGTCATCAGGTATCGCCGCATATCGAAAGAGAAATACCCTGAGCAGTTTTACGGCACATTGCTTAGACTGTATCTTCCATACAGATCAGACGATGAGCTGAAAAGACCATATTTTCCCACGTATGAGTCTTTCCATGAGAGAGGTGTGGTTCAGCTGCCGTATTCTGACCGACCCCTGAGTGTGAAACTCATTGTGAAAAGAAACAGAGAGAGATATGAAAAAAACAGTGAGGAAATTGACTCTGCTCTCGAGGACTTTGAACAGAACAGAGGTGTGGTCGATGAATGGTGTAATTTGGCACCTGAATCTGAACTGGTGAGGTTGGAGTGTATCGATGAACTGGATGCCAGACAGTGTGAAAATGTCCAAGAGGATGTACCGGATTACAGCAGACAAGCAAATGCTGCTACAGAGGCCAGAGTCATGAGAGAGCCCCCTACAATCGATCCCACACGGTTACGACAAATGTATCAGAGTCTGAACCAGAAACAGGCATGTGTGTTCTATGCAGTGAGAGACTGGTGCATAAAACGAGTCTGTGGACCACAACCAGAGCAGTTTTTCTACTACATCAATGGTGGTGCTGGCACTGGAAAGTCACATCTCATTAAATGCATTCATTCAGAAGCATCAAAGATTCTGAGAACACTACCTAGATGTGCTGAGGAAGCTGACATCTCAAACCCGACTGTGCTGTTGACTGCTTTCACCGGAACTGCAGCCTTTAACATCTCTGGAACAACACTGCACTCTCTTCTCAAGCTGCCCAGAAGTTTGAAACCTCCTTTTCAAGGTCTTGGGAACCAACTTGATGAAATCAGGTGTGAGCTTTTAAACGCTGAAATCATCATCATTGATGAAATCTCCATGGTGTCGAAGCCTCTGTTTGCCTATGTGGATATGAGACTGAAACAGATTAAAGGCAGCCACAGACCCTTTGGAGGAATGTCAGTCATTGCTGTGGGAGACTTTTACCAGCTACCGCCTGTGCGACAGTCCAAACCACTCTGTGTCTATGATCCAAGTGAGCTTGACCTCTGGAGAGACAACTTCCAGGTGATCACTTTGGATGAGATCATGCGACAGAAGGATGACAAAACTTTTGCCGAGATGCTGAACAGACTCCGTGTGAAAACAAGGTCAGATGAGCTTTCTGAAGCTGACAGAGCTCTGCTGTCACAGCGTGTCACTGAACCACAATTGTGTCCCTCTGATGTGCTGCACATTTTTGCTACAAACAAACAAGTTGCAGCACACAACTCTACTACACTATCTCTGCTCCATTCTGATATCACCACCATTGATGCAGATGACTTTAAAAAAGACCCACACACTGGACACATGAAAAGACAAGGTGCACCATGTCATGGAAGCAGAAATGATCTACCTGACACCCTAGATGTTGCAGTAGGTGCTAGAGTCATGCTTACCAGAAACATTGATGTGTCTCAAGGATTGGTGAATGGATCATTTGCTACAGTAGGCCGTCTCATAAGCTCTGAAAACAACAGTTCTACTCTTGTCACTATGCTTGGTCTCAGGATGGATGATGAAACAGCTGGCAGGAGCTATCGTACTCGAGGAGACAATCTTGTGTACATTGAGAGATCTGAGGAGGCTCTGCAACAGAAAGGAGTGGTACGCAGACAGTTTCCTGTGAAACTTGCCTTTGCATGCACGATACACAAGGTTCAAGGTATGACCAGAAAATCAACTGTTGTCTCTCTGAAGCACATTTTTGAGCCCGGCATGGCCTATGTAGCTATCAGTCGAGTGACCTCTCTCAGCGGACTGTACATGCTTGATTTGAATGAGAGTAAAATCCATGCTAACCCTGCAGTCACTGTATCTTTGGAGACCATGACGCAAGCTAACTTTGATCACCTCATGCCTTTTCTCCAGATCCAGCATTCTCTCTGCAGACAGGACACTGTGAGCATCATTCATCACAACACCGAAGGATTACCTGCTCATGTGAATGACATCAAAAGCCATCATGAACTGTGTCTTGCAGATGTTTTGTGTCTGACAGAAACTCACCTACAGGGCTCCTTTGTGGCAGACAGTCTCCAGTTTGAGGGCTACACCATGTTCAAACGCAACAGACATTTGTCCTACACTAACTTTCCACAGATGGCCAGTAAAGGAGGTGGTGGAGTCGCTGTTTATGTGAAAAACCATTTGCAGGTTGTGGAGAAACAGTACCTGAATAATGTGACTGACCTTGAGTTTGTGGCTTTGAAGGTTGAATCTCCTGTAAGTGCTCTGATTGCAGCTGTGTACAGACCTCCAGACTACAGTGTGCCATCATTCCTGTCCAATCTGGGAAGCCTTCTGGACTCACTTGAGATCATGGACTGTCATCCCATCATCGTCTGTGGCGACTTCAATGAGAATCTCTTTTCTAATGCAAGTAAGCCAATTTTGGATTTCTTTCAGTCCAAGGGATATGGTCAACTGATCACTGCTGCTACAACGGACAAGAACACACTGCTGGACCTGATCTTCATCTCACGACCTCAGCTATGTCTCTCCTCAGGTATCATGCAGACGTACTACAGTTACCACAACGCCACTTACTGTGTCATTTCATCCAACAGGTCATAGAGGAAACTGCTCTGAAGGGAAAGACAAACTACAGAAGCTGTGGCTAATGTTATGCTCATATTTTCAGTACAGATTGAAATGTGTTTGGTGACTGTAAATTTTACTAGTGCAAAAAATATTTTCATGGCTCAGAATTTTTAGAAAGAAAATATTTTTCAGGTTGTAAATTTTTCCAACTATTCAAATGTTATAAATTACAATTTTTGGCCTGTGCATTTATCAAGTCCAGTCAAGTCAAGTTAATCCATTTAACTTGACTTGACTGGACATAGGGAGGGTGGGTGCGGATTGATAAATGCACAGGCCAAAACTCTCAGCTGCTGTGTACAATAATGTATACAGCAGCTAAAATTAAAAACCTCCATCAGAAAGTGTGTGTTCCCTAATGAACACACACTTTCTGATGTTCTGTGACCTACCAGCTGAAACCCCCTTTTCTCCACCCAACTTTACACCACTCTCTTAGCATGGGTGGCTGTAAGTACACTAGAGCAAACCTAAGTTTCCTTTTGTTTGGGTATTTATTTATTTATTTTTTTTCAGTTGTCTCTGCCATCTTTAACCTGACCCCCATTAGTACTATCCTGACTAGCTCACTGTAGACTGAAAAAATTATCAAACTGTCAACCAAAAGTAAACACATCACCTGTAGGTACAGTAGAGTAAAGCTAGGTTTCCTTTTGTTTGGGTATGTTTTATTTCTTTTTCAGTTGTCTCTGCCATCTTTGACCTGACCATTAGTGCTGTCCTGACTAGCTCACTGTGAGCAGAAAAAAATTATCAAACCGTCAACCAGAAGTAAACACATCACTTTGGACAACTCAAAGACACAGTCTACTTGCTGTTTAACCCAGTCTTTGGTCGGAGGTGAAGAAGAGATGACATCCTCCACACCATCCCCCTGCTGCTCTCAACAACCATCATCGCTGTGCTGGACAGACTGCAGCACTCACCGGGACCCTTCTCTCATGGACTACACAAACATGTGTTTTACCTGCTCGTGCTCCAGATGTCCTGAAGCAGCTCTCAATGACCACCAGACACCAGACTGAAGCAGAACTGATGCTGTAGTACCTGTCACTCACCGGGCTCGTTCCTGCTGAACCTCCAAGAGATAAACCCCTCTTCAAGAAAGTCTGAGGTAATGTCTTCGTGAACTTGTGCTCATTTATTTTTTCTTAGTTATCTTAGCTGCTGTATTAATGCTTGTGACGCTATTGTACAGCTCTGCTGATATCGTCTTTAACAGCAGTGTTTTCTCCCAGGTCTTCTTCAAGCCAGTTAAGAGAGGAAGAACAGCTTAGACACTCAGGCAGCTGAACGCACCAAAGATGGACATCATGCAGCCACCCTGAGCCTTGAGCCTCTCTGTGCTCTTTGCTGCTGCAGACCTGGTGAAGTTGCTCTGGACAGAAATATTTTTTGCTCTGCTGCAGTGCTGAAGGTATTCATTGTAATGATGTGTGTATTTATTCAACGTGTTTAGTTTCACAGATTGTCAACACAAATGTTTCTGTTTATTTCCTGTTTTGAACCAGCTACATTCTCCTGCTTCAAGTCACTGTCTGTTCATCCACGGTGTAGCCAGTGCAGCTCAGCAGAGTCCTAATAATGGTGATCCTTCAAGTCCTGCGAAGCAAGCTGCAGCAGATGTCATCACATTCAGATCATCATTTTTATCTTTACTGCAGCTTTAAAGTTTCCCTGAGGTAACGGTGTATTTCCTTGCCCCATAACAAAAACCATGTTTGACCAACATAGAAAAGCACAGAATTACTGTTAGCACAGGATTACAGAGTTAAAGTGAAGGGGATTTTGTTTGTTTTTTTCAGACCTCTCCTCCTCCTCCTGCCTCTGACTCCAGTGATGCTGTCAACTCGAACACTGATAACTGCACACGGCGATTCTACAACCACAGGTCAAAGGTCAAAACATTACCTCACTCTAAACCTTCACTCAGAACTGTACCGGGCTCTGCTTTTGGTTTTGAAAAAAAGTGCCCAGACAGAACACAGTACTCACATGAGGAACTGACTGATTGTCTTTAGGACAGGACAACTATTACTCTTATATTGTTTTGAATCCTGTTTTCTACATTAAGTGATCGGTTGTCAGTATCTGTTAATATTTTAAGTTTCCTTTATGTTTCTTGGACTTTATTTGTTCTATTTTATTTGAGTATTTTCTTTTCCTTTTATTGTGTATCTGTCCTTATATCAAAAGATGACCAACACTGATGAAGGGAAATAATACCAGTTACTTCAGTTGTTGCAGGCAGCTGAATTTCTCGCTTCAATATGCTCACCATATCCCTCAAATTTACCTACAAGAGAAGACGTGTTTTTAGAAATAAATGATGTACTTTGGGTTTCAGCTGGTAGGTACACTGCAGGTTTTTCACGTGTGCTTAGTCTTGGGCTAATGTTTTGGACAGCAGTGATCCCAGCATTACAGTGTGAAACAATCCCTGCTGAAGGTTGTCGTCACAATCCTCAAACACAGGGCTTGGTTTAACGAGCTGTGTGAAGGGATTTCATAGAGGAACAAAGTTTTCATGCTTATCCTTAAAATGTAATTCTCCATAATAGAAAACTTTTTAAAAAGAAACTATCAACGTGAAGACAACCCAGCATTTCAGTAAGACCGAGTAGTGTGAATGTTTGGATAAGAAAACACTGAGATCGAAAATGCTGACCACATTGTCAGTCCACTGCAGTGAGCTGATGACAGTATTAGCCTTGGTCTAACTACTGTGAAAAGCCTTTTGGGTGGTAAGGTGGACCAATACATGCTGTAAAAAATGCTTCAGTGCCATATTTAAGTTGTTAACATTTCACCTTACTTTGCCTGTATATTTCTGCAAGCCTGGATGACTTTGCACCTTTTGCATTAGCATCCTTTACCTTATCCTCCACATTATTTTAAATTTTGATTTAATTTGAATTTTTTTTATTTTAATTTCTGTAAAATACTTCTGTACTACACTGTACAGTAAACTGCTGAGTTATTTTTGCAAACAAAAATGCTGACCAGATTGTCAGTCCACTACAATGAGCGGATGACAGTATTAGCCTTGGTGGTAAGGTGGACCAATACATTACATCAATTTATTTCAAGTTCTCAAATCTACTTTTTAATCTGATCATTTTAGATTTTGTTTAAAGTTTCAGTTTCATATCATTTAACTTTATTTATTATTATAATTATTTATTACCATTATTATTCTATAATTTTCTTTTTTTTCTACATGAGAGGGCCCACATTTCACTGCAGTTATCTTTAAAAAAATACAAAAATGCCATATTTAATTCATAAGCCTTTCACCTTACTTTGCCTGTATATTTCCACAAGCCTGGATAACTTTGCATTATTTGCATTTGCATTCTTTACCTTACCCTTCACATTATTTTACATTTATTCTATACTTGTTGTGTTTCACATTTATGTTGTTATACTGCTGACCGATTTTAGTAACTATTTTTTTAATAACTCTCAAGTCACCATTTTCATATATTTTTTTAATGTATAGGTATAATAAAGGTTTTTCAGCTGTGCAAACTTAGTCTTAGGCTAATCTAAACCCTTAAAAACACGCATAACAGTCCTGTATCAGACTTTGAAGTCAAATTTCAAGGTCTGTTTTTAAAGCCCACAACACAGGACTTGGCTTCATGGGCCGTGACAAATTTTATGAGCCAACTTTTAAGGCTTAGTAATCCAAAAACACAAGAAAAGAGGTGAATGTGGGTCCAGGGCTGCTGGAGTTTGAATCCAGTTAGTAATGGGGTGTTAGCCTCAGTCTAACCACCATGTGAAGAGCCTTTAATGATTGGGCTGAAGCATATTAGAAACCACTGAAATTGTGATACCTTTGTTCATCAAGAATCACAGCAACTACAATATTGAAACCTCAAGCTTAAAACACACAGTGGTCACTCATTTTTGTTGTTTGGTCTTGTTTTTTTTTTATTAATATTATCATCAGGGTTAGCTATCTAAAGGCACCTGTATTCCCAGGGAGAAATTAAGTAAGAAAACCAGAACTTAACAAAAGTGCAAAAACAAAGACTCAAGCAAAGAGTTTACAGAAGGAAAGAGTAAACTTTAAAGACTTAAAATAAAGAAACTCAAATTATGGCAAAACAGCCAACACAGCAGCCTGGTATCAGGGGCAGCGGTGAGGACAGGCTGGGCACTGCAAAACAAATAAATAAATCAATAAATTGGTCATGGAAACATGCCACTTGAATTAGTATTTTAAATTTAACACTACCTACCGAAAGAAAGGGCTCAGCAAGCCAGCAACCCAGGGCTCCACAGGTGATGGCTGAGAGAGAAAGAATATATTATATTTACATGTGTTATATATTATTATTATGTATATATATATATCCTCAAAACCTCAGTGGCCAAAAAAAGCCACTACTTTGTTTGCTGTAAAATCATATTGGATTAATATTTTTTTCAGATTTTTTTTAATACATCTCTTATTTTACTTCTGCCCTGTTAAAAACTAGCAAATGTTTAATTGAAAATATATTTTTTTTAACCTTTTAAGGGCCAATTTAAGACATAAAGTCACTAATATAGCAAAAAATTGAAGGAAAATGACCTATTTTTATTATAACACATAATCTGAAGCTGGTGATTTTTTACATGGTACTGATGTTGGTTAGTGCTGCTGTTAGTGAAAGAGAATGCACTTATAGAATCACTTCATCAATGCAGTTTTTTAGGTCATTTTCCTTCCATTTCTTTTGCTATATTAGTGACTTTATGTCTTAAATTGGCCCTTAAAAGGTTAAAAAATGAATATAATACAGGCAGACAACAAAATGCCTTACCAGTGCCCGTGGGGGAAGCCTATCACATGCAGGGCCACACCCTGATGGGAAAGTCGCCTCCTTTTACAAATAATGTTGGGCGTGGGACACAGTTTTTCCAGGGCAGCAAAATTCACTGCCCTGCGGAACTTCAGGTAAGAGCAGAGACTCTACTGCATCCGGCCTCACCACAGGTAGCACTGGGTCAGTACCAAGAGCATCAGGGCCTGATGTCGTTAGAGGGAGAGGTTGTAGAGGTCAGTATTAGCTTCTATGGTACAACCATTGATCTGGGAAATTAAAAACATCACAAATCACAAGAAAAAAAAATATTTTTAATTAAATAAATTACCAAATACAAAATATCCTCCTGTATGGCTGTCTGCTGTGAGAAAAGTCGAGTCAGGGAAAGAGGCTGTGCCTCTGAGGAAGCTTGTCCTGCAGCGGGTAACTGCAGCTCGAAAATTGCTGGTACCCCTCTGTTTAAGACAGAAAATGTTACATAAGTCACTGAAATAATCTAAAAATGACAAAAGTAATAAAACAATAAATAAGTCTGTGTATGAATATATGCTGAATAACATCTATGTAATGCATAAATCCTGATGAAATAATACTTGCATTAATGCAGATGTGTCATTGATGCTTTTTTCTCACTCAACACAAATGAGCCTGTCACTTTGAATTCATGTGATTATTCCACACTCAATAGATCATGAAATGATGCTAATTCACAGTCAGTTCATGCATGCATTGATGTGACTACATCAGCTTGGTTTCTCATACATTACTTTTACCAACATGCATCTGCATAAGATACACACACACACTTTGGTATTGTAAAGAGAATTGTTTCCAAAGATAAATCTGTTTGCTACAGAAATGTATTTATTTGAGAACATTTTCGTCTCTGCATACTCTGTTACATTATAATTACAAAACAGTTTATTATGTTTGATAACAGGCGTTCAGCCTGATGATGCTGCCTGGAGGCTACAATTACAGGGTTCCCACTCTTTTCCAGAGATCATTTTCCAGGACATTTTCGGTGGTGTTCAAGCTGGTATGACAGTCTAAATTTAGTTCCTAAATAGTCTATGTTCCTCTCAGTAAGCATCTTCATTGAAAGACGTGCAGTCTGTGGATACCTATGAAAACACCTCTTTCATACTTAAAAATTACGGCAAACAGATTATAGAATCATGCATCCACAGATGAACAGCACCTCACTTTATGCAACCAAGTAACAATGAACATCTCAGCCTTTTCTTTAATAAAAAAAAAAAAAATAGAAAATTAACTAAGTAAAAAACAAAAGAGCCAGCAAAGGAATCTGGAAGCTGTCTTTCTGAAATAAATAATAATAATAATAATAAACACCCGAGGATAAATTGAATCAAAGTGCATAAATTTACCTTAATAGAACTAAATGACAAAAATGGCCTTACATTTTTTCTGAACTAAACACAAAACATACCTCATTTATCAACATTCATCCAGCCAAGTGGTCTGTTATTGTGCTATTTGATTTACACTGATGGGTCCTATTCACTGTGCATGCATATTATTAACGCATCATGTTTTATATGTTACAGATCTATAAACACTGTTGTGAATTGGCGTTTGTCAAAGGTATGATAAGGTTGTATTTCACTCTCACTTTCGCTGGGCTCAGAGCGGAACACAGACTTGGAAGTGCGACCCCAGCTCAGTTAGCAAGAAAGACAGACAAGAGCGATTGAGCGCAAGCTAAAATGACAATAACAATAACATTACCGTAAACTCAGAGGTTTAAAAAAGAACAGTCTTCTTGCGTGGCGATGTCTACATCTTGATCACAGAGGTCTACCTAGTGCAGTTTCTGTGCAGCTGTGTCGCTCTTTTTGTCCCATTCCTCCCCCCCGTTTGTTTTCACTATCGGGAGTTTGCACTGCTACGAGCTACAGTACGGTAATTGAGCTCGGAGCCTGCAGGGAAAGTTTTGTAGCACAGACCCCCAAGCTCTCTGCCCGACCAATGTTGACAGATTGGACGCTTTTGTAGTCCGGTTAGAATAATTTTCCAGGACAAAACGTGATTTTCCAGGACATTTCACTTTTTCTCCCATTTTCCATGAGTTTTGCAGTACTGGGGCCTCATGTATCAACGCTTGCGGCGCAAGAAAACCTTGCGTACGCCAAAATCGGCGCACACGTCCAGATTTATCATCGCGAAACGAGCGTCGGTTCCAGCGCTAATCAACGCAAAGTCAGGAGGTGGTGTAGAAATTGGCGTTGAGCTGGATATTTGCGTTGACTGTGATTCGCACTTTGGCGACGCTGTGTGGCGGTGTTTGGTGACTCACTATGTGACAAGCGTGCACCACATCCCCGTGGCCGGGCAGCACGTCGCCCCACATGACGAACCAGCAGCAGACGGAGGGATGCGAGCTGATCCCTGCCGGGCCGCCGTCCTCGCGCGGGAGAATCTCATCGCCACAGTGTGAATGGGTAAGAAGTGAATACACAGTTCAATGAGCCAAATTAATTTATTTTCTCCACCAGACGCTCGAGGAAATTTACGAGCCGGTCCAGCCGCTCGTTGATCCCCGCGATCCCCCTGATGATTTCTTCCTGCGATTGCAGGACCCCCTCCGCGAGGACCCTTCCACTGCGTCCGGGTGGTCCAGCGGAAGCGCCGCGGCTGGTGGACGCTCCACCGCTTGTCGGCGCGCTGGTGCTGATGCTGGTGCTGGGGCCGGGGTGGCCCGAATGCTGCTGGTCCTGGCCGACGACTCCGAGCCGGCGGACGGGCTGCCGCGGGCCGGGGTTCCGCAAGCCGGCGACACGGCCGACACATTAATTTCTGTGACACAATAAAAATATTAGTTCATTTCAATTCCTGCTTTTGTGTATCTGTTGCGTTTACATCTCTCTCCACAGTATCATAGGTAATGTAATCCAGTATTTCGAGGTCAGTTATGCACATTACAGTTGTTTATTGCATAAAAAGTTATTGAAAAATGAAGTTAAGGGCGAAGTATAAATCACGTCTAAAAATAGACTGAATCCCGACGTTGAAATGAAGTATAAACTTAGACTAGACGTCTAATATACGTCTTTTGCTCAGTGGGATGACAAAGCATGTGGACATTTGTGTGACACGCCACTTACCCTATAATAATAATCGCCACCACCCGCTGCTCAAACGGTGTGAGGGTCTCCTCCCCCGGACCCCCACCTGTCTGGCCGGTACTCCTCCGGAGGGCAGCTGTACGCCGCTTGACCTCCACCTTGAGGTCCGACCACTTTTTTTTAATCTCCGCGGGGGTGCGTGTCTCGGAACCCACCGCATTCACCCTCTCGCAAACTTTCTCCCACTCCAAGCGTTTTTGTTTTGCACTGACGCCACTGGACAGGCTGCCAAACAAAACACGCTGTCGCTCCTCCACCTCCGCCACCAGCACCTCCACCTCGCACGCCGTAAATGTAGTTTTTCTTGTCATTTTGTCTGCGTGCGAGGACAGGGAGACCCTATTTAAATAAATCTGCATATTTATAGGAGGGCGTAACGGGGACGGGCCCAGTCACTCCGACATCTGCGCTCAATTCCACGCTGATTGGGATTTATCAAGGAAACACACGTGGATTTCGGCGCCCGCACACATTGATACATACGGATTTTTTTTAACGTGACGGACCTTGCGTGCGCTCGTTTCTGGTATGAGTTCCACGCAAGTGTTGATACATGAGGCCCCTGGTGAGCTGTTTTTCAGGACGTGTGGGAGCCCAGAATTAGCTTGTTAGCGATGTTAGAAAAACTACCAAATTATATCATAACTTACATAATTAAGAGCAAAATAACTGTTGTATACCTTCACATATGGAAATATGTAAAAAAGAAAAAAATATTTTGCATAATCAGACGTACCTTTGAGTCATGCACAAGCGGTCCTCTTCTCTCCGCAGATAACGATCTGCACGGGCTGCATGCGCAAAGGTGTTCTTCTTCTTCATTGGGTTATTTTGGTGGTTGACAAACAACAAATTGGCGCATTAGCGCCACCAATTGATGTGGAGTGAGTATTGCGGCGCTCACTCAGTCAGGTAGATAGATAGATAGATAGATAGATAGATAGATAGATAGATAGATAGATAGATAGATACTTTACTTTCCGACAGTGATACAACACATTTAGCAAGCACATACAGTGTTTCCTCTAGGGCTGGAATCTTTGTGTGAATTTGAGTTGCGGTGCGGGGGTGGTGGTGGTGGGTAGGCGTTGCGCGAATTCGTGGGGGTTATGAATTAGCGGTGAGTTCGCTGAAGATAACTTAGTTATTAACCCATTAAGACCTAAACCCTGTCTGAGACACGCCTCTGAAAGGACAACTTTGAGAAGGGCCCCCAGATCCTGAGGTTTTATGAACTTTTGAGGTTTATAAAAAAGCTGATATCTCAGCCTCTGTAACAGATATAAACAAAATTCATAAGCTCTCAAAAAAATGTATAAGCTCTCTCTGTCTATCTTTTATCTCTCTGAACCGTCATCACATTTCTGAAAACCTTGAGTACACAAACTCAACTGAAATAAACCGGCTGTATCAATAAAAGTAAAGGCTCTGCACTGGAGAATAAGAATCTATTTGCTTTCTGTAAAACAAGTGGCAGTCATGATAAAGTGTCCATTCAATACAACTGTAAATATAAAAAATAAAGTGTTGAAAGGGTATACAGCTGTCCCAGAATAGTGCCAGTAAAAAAGCAGCACTAAAAGCTAAAACCTAAAAACTAAATACATCAATAATTGTCTGACAGTGTGTTCATGTCTGTGCTCGCCCAAAGTCATGCAAGAGTCACAGAAAACGCCAAGAGTGTGAGCCAAATCACTCAATATGAAGAGGTTGTTCACTCTGCTGGATGTTTCTCCTCTGAAGCTGCTCTCTGCCTCAAACATTGTTCACTTTTCACGCGAAGCACGTAGTAAGATCAGAGCATGAATCCGAGCGCTTTATTAGCCTGTAAGAGGCAGGCAGGTTTGATGATTTGATTCGCCACAAATTATCGAAAAACTACAGAAATGCCTGAAATACCTACATGAATCCGGCTTTCCGAGTAGCCGCGCAAGGTGCTTGGAAGGTTGAAATGCGTACGGTTTAAATGGATTAATGGGGGTTGGGGGGGGGGGGGGGGGGGGGGTAATGAATCAGCAGTGACAACGCCGACAATAACTCACAAATCCTAATACTAGACGCGTGCACGTATGTATATACACATGAGTCCAAGATAGAGCCATGTAAGAAAGCACCTAATTTTAAAGGTGTGGCAGCTTTTATTTAGCCGTGGCGGTGCGCCACGTTCAATTGCATGTAGGGGCCTCCGGGCTCTCTTCCCCAGGCTCCAGGCTCTCCATGCGCGGCCTCCGGGCTCTCTTCCCGGGGCTCCGGGCTCTCCATCCCCGGGCCTCCGGAGCTCCTCCCCGGGCTCCAGGCTCTCCATGCCCGGCCTCCGGGCTCTCTTCCCGGGGCTCCTGGCTCTCCATGCCCGACTTCCGGAGCTCCTCCCCGGGCTCCAGGCTCTCCATGCCCGGGCCTCCGGATCTCCACCCCGGGCTGCAGGCTCTCCATGCCCGGGCCTCCACACCTCTTCCCCGGGCTCCAAGCTCTCCATGCCATGCCTCCAGGCTCTCCAAGCCCGACCTCCACATCACCTCCCCGGGCTCCAGGCGCTCCACATCTCCTCCCCGGGCTCCAGGCTCTCCATGCCCGGGCCTCCGGATCTCCACCCCGGGCTGCAGGCTCTCCATGCCCGGGCCTCCACACCTCTTCCCCGGGCTCCAAGCACTCCTTGCCATGCGTCCAGGCTCTCCACGCCCGGCCTCCACATCTCCTCCCCGGGCTCCAGGCGCTCCACGCCCGGCCTCCACATCTCCTCCCCGGGCTCCAGGCTCTCCATGCCTGGCCTCCACACCTCTTCCCCGGGCTCCAGGCTCTCCACGCCCGGGCCTCCACATCTCCTCCCCGGGCTCCAGGCTCTCCACCCCCGGCCTCCACATCTCCTCCCCGGGCTCCAGGCTCTCCATGCCCTGACACATTTCAATCATGGGCTGAGAGTGTTTGAACAGCTATTTCATCCACCGAACATCAGAATTGAATGAAGCTTTACATGCCACTAGGTATGGACGTCTAAGAGTGGGCTACGTGTGTAAGGAAAAGTTTGTGTGCTCCTGCGTATGCACAGGTGCGAATCTGCGTCCATGTTTATACCCGGGCATGCCGTGAGCGGAGTTTTTACAGTCGATAATCCAACGTCCAAGCTCTGCAGTGTGGGAGTAAGAGAGGGGGACATTTGGACAATTTCAACTTTGCCCTCACTTCGGAGCAAGTGGATGGATATGCATGAGAATGCACAGGTCCTTCGGATCATTAGGTGAGAATATATCACATCTCAAGTATGCAGTTATTTTTTACATGCGCGCAATCAGAGTAATCACGGTCATATTTTGGTTAGAGATGGATAACCACTTATGATTCCTGTCTTACAAATGTCTTCTGATTTTTATATGCCCATCGCTTAAAGTAATTTAATGTGAACAAATGAATTCGACCACATTCGATTTGGTAGAGGACGAGGCTTGAGAAAAGGTGAAATTCCGCTCAAACAGACTCACCTATTTAGAACGCACACATTATCAATAAATGCATGTCTTATGTTCAAGTCTTATGTCATGGCGCACAAAAACTGGCATCAAAAGGGTGATACAGCAAACTTTTTTATTTATTATTTTTAATGGTCAGGGCTGAAGTTGTTTAAGAGATTTGAGTCAAAAAAATTAAAAACAATAATTATTTTATCAACACTTAACTGCATATGCATTTTGGGGACAAACTAGGCTGGGTGGAGCTCCAGATCAGAAAACATGGCACTACAAAAAGAATTTAAATGCACCGATGGAGCTAAAATACGGAAAGCCTGCAGCCTGCAGTTATAGTTTTGAGGCACTAGTCTCGATAGAATAATTTTACTGGACAATAACAATACTTGGTTTTCCATTTCACCCATTTTCCAGTACTGGAAAACTGCTCAGCTGTTTTCCAGATTTTCCAGTACGCGTGGGAATCCTGATTCACGCATTAAGCCCTTATGAGTTTGATACCGTCATTTTCACCTGAAAGAATGATTCCATATTTTTCAGCAGCAACACCCTGTAGGTTGAAGTATCACCGAATCAGTGTAATTACCGCTCTCACGTGAACGAAAAGCATACTGCAAATTATAATGCACAATGTCACTATGTGGATTTTCTCATACTGATAACATGATGCACAAAGAACAACAAACTGACACACTAGTAGCGAGTAGCACTAGCCAGACACAATAAATAACATGTCTTTCAGCTCGGAAACTGTCTGTTTGGCCAGAAAGGGCAGAAGAACGACGAACGGGAAATATATTGTACATACTGCATCAGTCAAAAAATTGAAAAAGCTTCTTTTTAAATGTTTTTTTTAAATATATATATCTTTTTTTTTCACATCTAAGATTACTAACGAACGTTTTAAAAATATGTATATTCAATATATTATATTCAATAGATATATAAAAGACAGAGGGAAGGGAAGCAGGACGTCACTAGCCGGTCATCGGCTATTGTTTGTGAGGTAAACAACTGGCGCGAAAACAACAGGAAGAGACAGTGGTCATCAAGACAGTGGTCAGTTGCTCTAGCGGAAGACGACAGGACAGAGACGATATCAAGATTCAAGTGGGTGAAACAAATATAAAGCGATAGCTTACTCCGAGCTCGATAATTTTGTGTCACAAATTTCATTTTTATATTGTTTGATATAAGTTCGCAGGTATAATTTAGTTGTTATTTTAGGGAGAGCAGGTTTAAGAGTATGATTCTACCGGTAAGGTATGTACCTAGCATGAATGAGAGTTCACACGGAGTTCATACCGGTCACCATTTTGGACAACTTCTCGTTCAATGGTTAAATTTTTCTAAGATTTGATCCATTTTAACATTGTAGACTGATACTGAACATATTAAACGATTAAATAGTACAGAGATAAAAATGGGGGGGGGGGCGTCACTGTATGATGGCTATTATCCTTTGTAAAGAAAACTATAGGCGCGAAAATAGTAGAACCATAGGAGACATTTTTATCATTCACAAAAGACGAAGAGGACGACGAAAAACAAAAGTAAACTACAGAAATATAAGGAAATACTTCAAGTTCGTTTATTTTGAGTTTGTTTGAAATTAGTTAACTGGTGAAATTTGATTAGGGAGAGCAGATTTGTCATAACCTAAGGTATAGGCAATAGTTAACACGAACGAGGATCCAGAATACAGTTCCCGCCTTCACATATAGCCTAGCAAACAGCACATCTCGCACACACAGTAACAGAGGGGGCAATACGGCCAGCGGGTGGATGGAAGCACAAACCGGGGATGTATACGGGAATGTAATTGAAACCTCCGATGAATGTGAAGTTACGAGGGGAAAATGAACGCCGCCCTCTTGTAAATTTACATCGGCGATTAGCGAATGGGCGAAGAGTTCATGGACTAACTCTTCCCAGCAACTGACAAGTCCAGCAGGGATAGCCAATCACACACAAAAAGCGGCCCCGCGGAAGAGCCAATCAAGGACCTTGTGGGCGGTCCAAACCGAGGGAAACCAGTTTTTGGCTTCAGCGGCCGTTTGGTCCTAGTGCCTGATGTGTATGCTAAAGCGTAAGGTCACGTGACGAGAACACCCAACCCAGCCCTCTCTGAATTGATTACACACCGCTGTAAAGATAGATGCTTTCTAGGAATAAAGGACACAAAACCAAATTTTGCTGAGCAACTTCTCATTCAGTGCTTTAATTCTATAATTTTTTCAACATTGTACATTAATACTGAACTTATTTAAACTATTAAATAAATAACTAAATAAATGAATGAATAAATAAATAAATACATAACTTACATTTAGTATATATTATTAACTTATGTAATAAATACATAAATTAATAAATATATACACAAGTTAATAAATACATAAGTAAATAAATAAATAAACAAGTTAATAAATAAATAAGTTAATAAAAAATAAGTTAATAAATAAATAAATAAGTTAATAAAAAAACATATGTTGATAAAAAGATAAATTAGTTAATAAATAAATAAGTTAATAAAAAAATAAATAAGATAATAGATAAATAAGTTAATAAATACATAAACAAGTTAATAAAAAGACAGAGAGGGAAGGCGGAGAAGGGGCTAGAGAGATACGGAAGGGGGAAGATGGAGAGAAGAAAGGGGGGGGGGTAAAATGAGAGAAAAATACTGAACATGTTTACCTTTTTTTGTTGCAGAATGGCACTGAGAAAACTGCTCGACTCCAGGCCACCTACCCCATACTTCAAACTACCGCCACTACATGTGGTTTTCCTAAAAATCGAGGACTCGCCGAGAGTGGTGTCATGGGCATTTGGGGAGTCCTCAGCCACCCCCACCTGCACAAAATTAAATAAAATGGCCATCATTAGTGATGGCGAATCCCTGGCCAAAATTACTTTATTTGAGGCAGTGGCAGGTAAAGTGGCAGAGGGGGAGGCCTTCTTTATGAGGGGCCACACCCTGGTGGGAAAGTCCCCACCATTTCTTATTAATGTTGGGAGTGGAACTCAATTTTTCAGGGCCAGTAAAATTGCCTGCCCCGCTGAATTGCTGGCCAGAGCAGAGACCCTGCTGCACCCGGCCTCGCCACTGGTGGAGCTCAGTCAGTGCAGGGAGCAGCAGGGCCTGATTTCCATCGAGGGGGTGATTACTGAGGTCAGTATAAGATACTATGGTACAGCCACGTTTCTAGGAAATTAAAACCATCACAAATAACAAGATAAAATTGCATTCTCAGATATATAACTTACTAAATATGGAATTTTTCTTGTTTAGATATCAGCTGTGCGAAAGGTGGAGTCGGGGAGAGAGGCCTTGCCTCTGCGAAAACTCACCCTGCAGCAGGTAACTACAGCTGTGAAAATTGTTGGTACCCTTCTGTTTAAGGAAGAAGTTCATACAAGTCACTGAAATGAACTGTTACACAACCTGTACACTGACTACTGTACATTGCGTCAAAGTGTCATCTCTTTAGTGTTATCCCATGAAAATATATAATTAAATATTTGCAGAAATGTGAGGGGTGCTCTCACTTTTGTGAAATACTGTTTGCTTAATAACATTTGCGTAATGTATGAATCATGATGAAATAACACTTAAATTTATGCAGATCTGTCATTTAGCCTGTTTCTCGCTCTACACAAATGAGCATGTCACTTTGAATTCATGTGATTAGTTCACCCTTAATAAATTATCAAATGATGCTGATTTGATGTGATATCAAATTTCCCCTTGGGGGTCGATAAAGTTCTTCTTATCTTATCTTTCTCATAAATTATTGCTTAGTTTAGCACCGTGCATCTGCTCAGCCCCACTGACTTAAATGAGACAAGAGCCTATGGTATTTTGTAGTGTCATGTGTATTGTGACTACAATAAGGTGTTCCCTTACATTTTACAGGGCAAAACCACTGTCAGGGTCTCCCTGTGGAGGGAGGCAGCTGTGAAGCCCCTTGCTGTGGGTGAGACGGTGAGAGTGACTCACACAAAGTCACTCAAAACGGAGTATGGGCTCCAGCTCAACTCCACCAACTTTACAAAACTTGAGGTAATTTGTTGTTGTCATTGTTTTCAGGTAAAGACACTTTTTGAAAAATATAACCCTTTCTTCCCTTACAATTGGTAGCTTACAGAATCACAAAAACTTAACTAGGTTTAAAAACTACTTAATTAATCGACAGTTGATATAGAGATACACACGCACGAACAAAATTGTTGGCATCCTTTTATTAAAGAAAGAAAAACTCCCATCGAAACACAATTGAACGTCTGTGGAAGGAGCTGAAACATGCAGTCTGGAGATGACACTCTTCAAACTTTACACCTCTGGAAATGTTTGCACACCAGGAGTGGGCCAAAACACCTGTGGACAGGTGCACAGGTCTCTCTAAGAGTTACAGAAATCGCTTGATTGCAGTAATCGCCTCAAAAGGTTGTGCAACATAGTATACAGTTAAAGGTACCATCGATTTTTTTCAGGCCAGTTTTGTCAATTTTTTTGTTTTGTTTTAAAGTGTGTTTGGATATGTCAGTTTCACACATTTCCTTTTTAAAAGTAGTTCTGTTAAACCAAAATTCAAATCCAATGTCACATTTTCAATTGTTAATTTTCTGTTTATTATATTTCACTCTTATTTCTGTTAGTTTCTAGTCATTTCTGTGAGCTTTGTTGGTCTAGCTTATTTTAAAAGAAAAAGAAAGGTGCCAACAATTTTGTCTGCTTGTGTATAGCCATCCACGTGAGGGGCACTTAATTAATGGCAAGGAAGATTTCAGTGTATTGACACTTTTGTACCCGGTCTCACATCTGAACCACTTCCTCTTGTGCCAGGATGGGCAGGGCCTTAGGACAATGCTACTCACAATATTAATCAATATTGGGCCATTGTTACAGAAAAAACAATATAATACAAATCACCTGATTCCTTACCTGTGTTTGTCTTATTTGTCAACAGAAGCAGCTGCAGACCGGGATCGAGCTCACCATCATAGGTGTCCTTGAAGAGGAGGGGGCCACCTCCAGCAGCGGCCCAGAATTGTTAGAAGTCCTGCAGGAGAATGGGGAGACCCTCAGGATTTTAAAAGATTTGTGGGGGCCCAACTTTGATGAGGCCCTCCTAAAGGGCCCCTTGAAATGCACAGCCTGTGTATCAGGCACAAACATAGTCAAATTAAAATTAATTTGAAGGATTTCATTTACATTGTAAATAGTTCCCTCACAGACAGACACACACACACACACACACACACACACACACACACAAACACAAATTTGTTAAGATATCGTAATTATTATATATATATATATCAAATGTGTTAATAATTTGTTTCAATTGTTTTAATGTTATTTTTCTGTTCAAAATGTTATATGTTAAAAATTAAATTGAAAGAAATGTATTTATTTGAGGACATTTTTCATTTCTGCATACTCTGTTACATTATAATTTCAAAACAGTGTATTTCGTTGGATAACAGGTGGTAGGGTTCAGTCTCACGTTCCTGCATGGAAGCTTCTATTGCAGGGGTGGGCAATCGTGCCATGGAGGGCCAAGAGGCTGCAGGTTTTCTTTCCAACTCAAGACTCCACCAGGTGATTTCACTGATTAGTCCCTGCTCTCTGCTTGGAGGTAAGGTATTCAGTGAAATTACCTGCTGGAGTTTTGGGTTGAAAAGAAAACCTGCAGCCTCTCAGCCCTCCATGGCACATGATTGCCCACCCCTGTTCTATTACCTTGATAGCGATGTTGGTAAAACTACCTAATTACATTATAACTTACAGAATTTAGAGCGAAATAACTCTTCCATTCCTTAACCATACCTTCACACCTGGAAATATCTAAAAACATTTGATAATGTATAATCAGACTCACCTTTAGCTCATGTACACGCAGTCCGCCTGCCTCCGCGTACAGTAAAACGACCAGCGTGGACTGCATGCGCAAAAGTCTTCTTCCTCTTTAACGGTTTATTATGGTGGTTGGTAGACAACAAACTCATGCAGTAGCGCCACCAAAACTCTGTTTTCCTTCTTTGCTTAAGGCAGACCTCACGGGAAAATCAAAAGATAAATTTACGTTAGGTTTCACCTCGTCTAAGCGCGGCACTGTGGTGGAGCGGTTAGCACTGTCGCCCCGCAACTAGAAGGTCCTGAGTTCGAATCCCGATCACCGCACCTTTTGTTTTAGGAACTTCTTCCCCCAGTTCTAAATACCTATCTGCGCCCCTGATTACACAGCGACCTGCAGATAACTTAGCACCACAACTGCCAATAGGCTGTTTCAGCACCACGGTCAGCGCCACGGACTTCACCAATAATTGGCTGGAACATGGGTCAGATTAAGGTTAAATAGTGAAGCAGACTAACTTACGGTGTGGGAAACTAAGGATAAAAGGATAAAATGAATGAATTGTAGATTGTTCGTGACGTTACATGTTTGTTTCTGATATTAGTGTTTTGTCTTGTGCACTTTGTTGTGGAGACAGCGCTGCATGGCCGGTGTTGCAGAGGTAGCAGGTAACATAGGATCTATTCAGCTCTCGGACACTGATGTCTTTAGGGATATGATTAAAGCTAATATCATATTTGCAATCCGCTGCCGCAGTCGGGGGCTTGTAGTGGGCCCTTATAGCCTATTGGCTAATTCACTTGATAACAATTCACGTAACAGATCAAAAGGGACTGAATGAACGGCTTTAGCTTCAAAAATAAAAAGGAAGTCTCTCTCTCTCTCTTTAAACCTTTAAAATATGAAATAATTCACAGATAGACAATGAGACTCAAAGTAAATCCTATACAAGACACTGCGCAGTGATAGCCTGTAATGAAAGAGGTAATCAATTAGTAGCTCTAATAATGGGAAAAGGAGACAGATGTGCAAAATGGAGAAAGTGTGGATTACAATGAGTTGTGGCGCACAGTTTGCGCTATTTCAGCACTTTGGAGATTGCCATGGATTTATTATTACACACATGCGCGCAGATAGCGGGTGTGTCAAGGGGGTTTCGACATACCCAGATTCGAATGCCCTTCGATCCGTCCCCCTCACTTTTATTTTAAAAAAAAAACTGTGTCCTTTCTTTGCTTAAGGCAGACCTCACGGGAAAATCAAAAGATAAATTTACGTTAGGTTTCACCTTGTCTAAGCGCGGCACTATGGTGGAGCGGTTAGCACTGTCGCCCCGCAACTAGAAGGTCCTGAGTTCGAATCCCGATCACCGCACCTTTTGTTTTAGGAACTTCGTGCCCCCTAGTTCTAAATACCTATCTGCGCCCCTGATTACACAGCGACCTGCAGATAACTTAGCACCACAACTGCCAATAGGCTGTTTCAGCACCACGGTCAGCGCCACGGACTTCACCAATAATTGGCTGGAACATGGGTCAGATTAAGGTTAAAAAGTGAAGCAGACTAACTTACGGTGTGGGAAACTAAGGATAAAAGGTCAATGACAATTGGAGATGACTATCAGTATTGCGTCCTTTACGCACAGGTGGTTCCGATTTTAATGCCATTATAGCATTTGTCTCCGTTGTGATCTGTGCGCGTTCAGCTTTCAGCGCAGGCGCAGCTGGTCTAGTGGTGTCTTGGTAGACCGGCGGCGTGCGAATACGTCACCGATGACTCACTTGCAGGTTTCCACAGTGTCAGGCACATTTCAGTGCGATAAAAAAATCAAGAACAACTAATAATCTGAGTCAGCACATACATTTAGATCTACAGATATATTTTGATCTATACACTAGCGGAACAAATCAGAGCCGGGCCGGGGGCGGGGCAAATGACTGGGCCCTTTAAACCCACATAATAAAGCTCCTGATAACATCATTTTACAACATACACATGCCCGCAACAGCGGGACTTACAAGCTTCAGTACCACAAAGAGCGACTGTCATCATGAAGTCCACAACAAACAACAAAAACATTAGGCTACACTACACCACTTCAAAGCAGTTCAGCACCACGGATAGCGACCGCATAATTTGTCACCCACTTTAACTATGTATATCAACTCAGAGCCTGTATCAGTAGCTATAAAGTTTAGTAAAACTGGCACAGCGGCCCACATGTTCACAAACACAATTTCAATATGAATATGAAAATCACTACTCGCCACTATTTGAAGGGCATACGACGAGCCTTGCGCTACGCGAACTCGTCCACGATGCTCTGTATGTCCATTTTCTTTGCTCTTTCATTCTCTATTGACAAGATGGCAAGTCCACTCAGTCTCTCCTCTCCCACTGTGCTCCTCTGGTGGTTTTTGATTAGTTTTAACTTGGAGAATGAGCGCTCAGAGGTTGCAACGGTGACGCGAAGAGTCAAAAATAAAAGGAGGGCTGTGCAAACCTCACTGAATGAGGAAGTTACTGCTGGGTGGTTCACAAGGAGCATTTTTGCCACATCCGCAACAGACTTTTGCTTTGTTACCTGGTCCCTGAAAGAGGTTCTAAAACAAAGCAACTGACCGGGGAAGCTGGGGGCGATGTCCCGACTGTAGTGCTCACTAAGCCGCCGGGCAGCTTGGTGCAGCTCCTTATCTCCTGCGTGTTGGGATGAATTGCCTCAAAAATATTCACATTTCCATTTAAGCTGGTGAATCTTTGGGACAGTTGCTGGATGATAATATCAAGGCAGGCACTGAAAACATTCACCCGAAAGTTGCTCTCTGCGTTAGTGAGGCGGCTGTCTTCAGAAACTTCATCAAAGTGACACTTGACTTTTCTGGCCCTCCCTTCTCTTTTCGATTTGCCCTCTTTCTGTTTGCTGAGTGAAAGTCTGTGTTAGTATAATATTCCTAATCATTTAACGGAACATAATAAGAGAGTAAAATTCATTTTTGAGTGTGAAAAGAGCATTTTTAAGGGATCAAACTGCCACTTAATACTTACTTGACAATGTAAAACATGATCAAAATGAGAAAATGCCGATGTCTCACCTGAAACTCTGGGTTTACTGAGTAAAACCTGCTCCCGAGCAGGTTAGGTTCACGGCGTCTGTTACAATGGTAACTGACCGCGAGGTTGAGTTACCTCTCTTTGTGAAACAGGTTAGAGTTACCCCTCTCCCTCTGGTTTAACTGACCCTCCTTTGTGAAACGGAAAACTCAGAGTTTCCCTGATTTCAGGGTTAACAGACTCTGAGTTTCCATTAAACCTGCTACGTGAAACGGACCCCTGCAGATAACTTAGCACCACAACAGCCGATAGGCTGTTTCATCACCACGGTCAGTGCCACGGACTTCACCAATAATTGGCTGGAACATGGGTCAGATTAAGGTTAAAAAGTGAAGCAGACTAACTTACGGTGTGGGAAACTAAGGATAAAAGGTCAATGACAATTGGAGATGACTATCAGTATTGCGTCCTTTACGCACAGGTGGTTCCGATTTTAATGCCATTATAGCATTTGTCTCCGTTGTGATCTGTGCGCACAACCCACTTTTGTCACGTGAAGTTTAAATATATGCCATTAATGTGAGTGTCTTCATTTGTGGAAAATGGTGTTTGTCTTACCAGTGGGTCCAACCTTACACACACCAAATCCATCTGTGCTTATATGAGACGGTGTGCAGGACGCCCTCTGCAGCGCTCACAGCGACACTTGTGGAGGGGCTGCCTTCCGTCGCCATCGTGTGGCGTTGCTGTCTTCGGCCAATCAGCTGGCGCAGTGACATTTTCGTGCTCGCCGGTTGCGAAAAAAGTGCGCTGAAAGCTCGCCGATTCAAACCTGGTCAGCTTTCAGCGCAGGCGCAGCTGGTCTAGTGGTGTCTTGGTAGACCGGCGGCGTGCGAATACGTCACCGATGACTCACTTGCAGGTTTCCACAGTGTCAAGCACATTTCAGTGCGATAAAAAAATCAAGAACAACTAATAATCTGAGTCAGCACATACATTTAGATCTACAGATATATTTTGATCTATACACTAGCGGAACAAATCAGAGCCGGGCCGGGGGCGGGGCAAATGACTGGGCCCTTTAAACCCACATAATAAAGCTCCTGATAACATCATTTTACAACATACACATGCCCGCAACAGCGGGACTTACAAGCTTCAGTACCACAAAGAGCGACTGTCATCATGAAGTCCACAACAAACAACAAAAACATTAGGCTACACTACACCACTTCAAAGCAGTTCAGCACCACGGATAGCGACCGCATAATTTGTCACCCACTTTAACT